GTCTCTACAGTACATCAAGAGATTGGCCCGGGGACCGGATCTAGGTCTTTGCAGCTTCCCGTCCTGCAAGATTGATCAGAGGAGCCTCTCGGGTCCATGGAAATCCTCATGTGCGATTGTCACCTGCAAAATCCTCCCGACTTGGCGATGCTAGCTCAGGAAGAGAGGCCCGCTGTAGGATTGTTACACGGCTGTGTGCATCGTGATCCAACAAGAGTCGACTCGTGCATGGGAAGGACATCCATGCTGTTTTCGATGTCTTGTTGCGAGCGAGCGAGTTGCCAAGCAATCATGTTGAAGAATGGCTGTCAAACATTCATGCTGAGTGAGCCTGGACGCAAGAAACGGACCGATGTTGAAGAAGAGAGGATTGTCGCTACATAGGACTTGCTGATGTCTTGTTAGGACTTGCTGAGTGAGCGAGAGGCTGTGGGTTGATTCTTTCAAGTCGGGCTGGCCGGGGATGGGATCCGAAACTCGACCTTGTAAGTCAGCGGCACATCAGAGCATCATGAGTAACTTGGGTACAGGTCAGAGCTTGGCATGGGCAACGAAATAGTGGTGCCCAATAAAAGAGAATGGTTAAAATGCAATTAGAACAGAACGAGAACAATGACTTGTTGCGTTGAGATGAGAGCCCAGGGTTTCCTGTCCGATCACGGCTATGCTCAGCTGAAGACGTGACACAAACCTCCAGCTCAACAGCGCCAGAATTAACCATTGTAAGATATCAAGACCGTCGATCGATCAACCCATCAGTCATGTTTATCTGACAACTTGACAGCCTGTGTGAACCCTGCTAAGCCCCAGGGACCAAGCCCTGGGGGCAATCTCTTCTTGGCCCCCCGGACGGGTGCTCTCCCCTGCCCCGGGACCTAGGGGGTTAATGGAACTGGTGCCCAAAGATTGGCTGATTATGTTCGGGGACGTCGTACAGCGGCAAACCGATATAGCAGCAAGAGGATGCTTAGCAGATGACTGTATAGTTTCTAGCATGGCGAAGTCGCAAGGCTGATGCTTCGGTATTCGGTGGCCGTTTGCAGAGGAAAAGAAACAGAGTAAAGGAGCCAAGAAAGAGGTTCAGTTCAGGTGCCGTTGTTCACTAATTTAAGACCCCATGCCGCGGGAATGGAACGGCATCCCCGTCTCCTGGCCAGTGGGATTATTTCCGTTTTGTAGGGAACGCACTGACGTCAAAAAAGCTGATATCCATTATTATCCCATCTAGTCTCCTTTTTAGCTGCTGGCTGCCGGTGGTAGGGGAGATATTTACACCCAGAGAGGGGCACGTTGACGCGACCATAATTTTCACAGGCCAGAGACGTACTGTACTTGAACTGCCCGTCGACAATCTCATCCTCCTCTAGATGCCGAGCCCTGCCATCTCCATCGTCTGCCCTGTCGCTGCATGACATTGAGACTCGGCGGCTGTCATGAAGTTTGCAAAGGAGCTCGAGCGGGAAGCCGTGCCTGGTAAGAAACAGAACCCAACCCAACCCAAAACACGCCTCCCCGTTGATCTTCCCACAACCACTGCGCCGAGACACTGCAGGCCGTTTCGTTTCCAAAACGCTCGCTGACCCGACCCTCCGTCGCACAGAATGGCGCGTCAAGTACCTCAACTACAAGGCCGGCAAGAAGCACGTCAAGGCCCTCTCCAGGGCCCTCGCCCGTGCGAATGGAACACCGAGGACTGGGCCTCTGAGGGCTGGCACTTTTCTCTCGCCCATGACGCCTCGCCAACCCTTTAGCAAGTCGAGAAACTCGGGACGCGATACTGCACATGGCACCGACGGCAATGGCTCCGCGACGATACCTGCGACCGCCTCTTCGGCCGCCACCAAGGCCATACCTACACCACGAGGTCGCGAACACGATTCCTTAACAGAAGCTGGAGATAATCGACATTATGGAAGCTTTGTCGAAACGCCGCCGGATCCATCGCCTATGGCCGAAGCACATGGCCATCACCACGACTTTCAGCTTCCTGCGCCTGCCATGACGGTTGATGAACATGAAGGTCCACATGCGCATGCCGCGGTGTCAGCCTCTGACCTCATGCGACGGAGCTTCCACCGCCTCGATCCCCGAAGGACATCCTCCACCAGCATCGTCCCGACCGCCTCAACAATTGCGTCGCCCGTGATAAACAACCCTACCAAGCAGCCAATTGAAGTAAACCATGCCGATTCGCCAGGCCACCTCCGCCGACTCTTTACCCACACGTCCACCACGAGAAGCGAGCGGAGGGTCGACATCAACATGCAGAACTTTGATCTCATGAAGGAGAAGGAGCGCGAGTTCTTTGATTTTCTCGACCATGAGCTCGAAAAAGTCGAGACGTTCTATAAAATGAAGGAGGAGCAGGCCGGTCACCGCCTTGACATCCTGAGGGTGCAGCTCCACGAGATGAGGAACCGGAGGATCCAGGAGATGGCCGAGGACCGCGAGCGCGAGGATAATCCCCCAAAGAAGGGGAACCACGAGAACGGCAACGGCAAGCTCAACGGATGGGTCGAACCTATCAAGGCCAAGATCTTCCCCGTGGGACCAAACTCCAAGGCCCTGCAGCGGATGGACCTGACGCCCAACGCAAACGGCGTCCTGCAGAGCGGCACAGATGCCGAGAGGGACTACATCCGCCGGCCGGATCACCACGAGGTCCCTTATCGCACGGCCAAGCGCAAGCTCAAGCTCGCGCTGCAGGAGTTCTACCGCGGCCTGGAGCTGCTCAAGTCTTATGCGCTCCTGAACAGGACGGCCTTTCGGAAACTTAACAAGAAGTACGACAAGGCTATGAATGCCCGGCCGCCGTATCGATACCTCAACGAAAAGGTCAATCAGGCATGGTTCGTCAACAGCGATGTGCTTGAGGGCCATATCCGGACCGTTGAGGACTTGTACGCCCGGTACTTTGAGCGTGGCAACCGCAAGCTGGCTGCTGGCAAGCTGCGTAGTCTCAACAAGAAGCCCGAAGACCAGTCTATTGGCATGTTCCAGAACGGACTCCTTATCGGCACCGGCGCCGTCTTTGCCATCCAAGGCCTCATCTACGGAGCACAACTACTATACCATGAAGACGATGACGTGCGTGAACAGACGAGCTACCTGATGCAAATCTACGGCGGTTACTTCCTCATGCTCTACCTCTTCTCCCTCTTCTGCATAGACTGTCTGCTCTGGAACCAGAACAAAGTCAACTATCCCTTCATTTTTGAATTTGACCAACGACATCATCTCGACTGGAGAGAACTCGCCCAGTTCCCCAGCTTCTTCTTCCTCGTTCTCGGCCTCTTCATGTGGGTCAATTTCAGCAGATATGGCGACCCGTCCATGTACATTTACTATCCTGTCATTCTCATCTTTTTCACCGCTTGTGTTCTCTTCTTCCCCGGGCCTTTGGTATGGCACCGGAGTCGCAAGTGGTTTGCCTATTCTCATGTAAGTCTCTTAACCCGAGTGCAAGAACAAAACTAACAGGCTATAGTGGCGGTTGCTTTTAGCTGGTCTTTATCCCGTCGAATTTCGAGATTTCTTCCTTGGTGATATTTACTGCTCACTTACATACTCGACAGCGGTAAGTCCACCCAACCCCCTCGACCCCTGAACCAGGCGACTGACAGCCTTAGAACATCGAACTCTTCTTTTGTCTCTACGCAAATCATTGGGACGATCCCGTGCAGTGCAACTCCAGCCACTCTCGGCTCCTGGGCTTCCTAACTGCCCTCCCTCCCATTTGGCGTTTCCTCCAGTGTATTCGTCGTTATAAAGATACACGCAATGTCTTTCCTCATCTTGTCAACGGTGGCAAATATACCGCTACCATTCTTGCTGCTGTAATGCTTTCACTTTACCGCCTTCACGACTCTCGGAGTCACTTGGCGCTTTTCATTACATTCTCAACCATTAATAGCGTCTACTGCTGTAAGTAACCCCCTGTACCCTCCGTGGCCCTCACTGACCTCAACAGCATTCTGGGATCTGTTTATGGATTTCTCCCTCCTTCAACCCCAGTCCAAGCACTGGTGTCTGCGTGACATTCTCGCCCTGAAGCGTCGATGGATGTATTACTTCATCATGGTGGTTGACCCCATCCTCCGCTTCGCCTGGATCTTTTATGCCATCTTCACACACAACACCCAGCACTCGACCATCGTCTCCTTCATGGTCGCCTTTATGGAAGTCACTCGACGAGGCATGTGGGCTCTCTTCCGCGTCGAGAACGAGCACTGCGCAAACGTTTCGCAGTACAAGGCCTCGCGCGATGTGCCCCTGCCATATCGCATCGAGCCTCTCATGGACCGCGCCAGCACCGACGGCTCAGTTGCTGCCCAGCAGCCTCCAACCACAGCTGGTGTCACATCCTTCGAGGAGCCATCCCGCCAGGCTACGGCAGAGTCTACCGCTGTCTCGCTTGGTGCCGCAGAGCAGGGCATATCGCGCCGCAGGACGGGGGCGCCTGCTCCTCCGCGACGCACCTTCTCCCGTATCATGGCTGAAGCGCATAAGCAGGACTTTGTGAAGCGTCGCCGGCCGCTCGAGCAGACTGAGGAGGAGAGGGCTGCTGAGTTGGGACAGTCTGACGATGATGACGACGAGGGCGATGAGGTTGTCAGCTTGCTTGAGGCGACAGATGATGAGAACAACAGGCCCCGCTCGTCTGGTCGTGGATATTGTCGAGGGGCTTAAAGATAGCGCGGACGTGATTTCGCAGATTGGACTTTTTCGCATGTTGTTCGTAGATTTAGCGGTTGGGAAAAGGCGATACCCCTAAACATACACTGCACATATATTCGCATGAAACGGAAACGCTGGTACGGCCTTGATAAAAATAAAAGTTGTTTGCATCTTGCCATGATTCAACGACCATCCAACATCCATATCGCCTTCTACTCCAACGTCCAATCTAACCACCTTCTACATCTAGGATATAACTGTGCCCGGTATTAAAGAAATCCCATACGCTCTGCACAAAGTCAAACGCCTTCTATGATTACCATCTAGTTCCACTCGCCATCGATCTTCTCCCAGTTATCCAAGAAACCCTTGAAGAACTTGACACCCAGACCAGGGTCCAGCGATCCGGTGGTGGCACGGACAGAGTGCATGCTCAGCTGGGGAAGACCAGCATCAGCGGCCCGGACACCCATCATGCTGGACAGAGCAGGTCCGATGGTGCCACCGCTGCGAGAGTCGTTGCGGATCTGGAAAGTCTGGGTGCGGCAGTCGGCGAGCTGACCAACACGCTGGAGGATGGCGGTGGACACGGCGTCGGTGGTCATGTGGCCATTGCTGTCACCGCAAATGACGATGCCGACGTTGAGCTCGGGGACGTGCTCAGAGAGGTACTTCTCGAGGAAGTTGGGGTTGCCGGCGTGAGTTACGTCGGCAGACAGGAGGAAAGACTTGGCATAGGTCTGGCCGATGAGGCTAGGACCGTAAGTGCCAGGGTTGAGGGCCTCGACAGCGCGCTCAACGACGTTAGGGAGGAAGTTACCTCGAGCACCCTGGCGGAGAAGAGAGCCAATCTCCTCATCGTCAAAGAGCGCAACGAGCTTGATGTGACCCTCGTCGTTGTTCTCACTGGCAGCAAGAAGGCCAGTAAGAGCAGCCCATGAGCAAAGCTTGTCGTCAATGCGACCAGCAAAGATGAACTCCCTGTCCAGACCGCCAGTCTGCGCAGGCTGCGAGTCGTACAGCTCCAGCTCCCAGTTAACAATGGAGCTGTAGGACTGGATCCTGAGCTGCTTAGCAATCAACTCAACCAGTCGGGGAGGCTGAGTGTTGACAAAGGAACCAGCAGGTCCGAGGGCCTCGGTCGAGGCACGCTGGGAGCTCTCAAGACCAATGATGGGCACAGCCTGGGTCTCGGCATTGTTCTGGCCCATCATGCCAACACCAAAGTGAGGCGCAAGAGTGGGAACCTTGGCGATGGGCCAGTCCAGCTTGACGAGTCTTGTGCTAGTCTTGCCCGTCTCCTCATCTCGCACAATGACCCTGCCACCAATGCTCAAATCTCGGTCCCACCAAGTCTGGTTGAGGGCTCCAGCATACGGCGCGACACCAAGCTGGACATATCCGGCCTTGACGGGCTTCGTGCTCACGGGCTTGAGCTTTGCGGTGAGGGCGTCGATGTGGCCGCCAATCATGGCGACACCATTGCCGGGTTGGTACGCTTTGCCGACAGTAAAGGCGATAAGAGAGCTACCATTTCGGGTAACCCAGTACTTGCCACCAGGTTGCACCTTATCGGCCCAGGAGTCGCGCGACGAGAGCTTGCGCAGTCAGTATTGTCCTTATCAGTAGTCAAGATGCATGTACTCACTTGCGTGAAACCAAGCTGCTTGAGCTTCCCCTCAAAGTAATCTACGGTGTGAAAGATTGTAGGGTTCTCCTGAAGGAAGTCGCAAAAGGGCTTGGTGAAAGCCTCCGGTCGGATCTCAGCAATCTGGCACAGCCGACAGACCTGATCCTCAGCAAGATGCCAGTTGACCTGACCGACTTCGCCAGGGGCCAGCTTGGCGATGCAGGACGAGCAGGCTCTGTTGTCTCTCGTGTCGCGACCCTCCATGTCAGCGAGCACAAAGTTCTTTGATCGTTGTCTGAGCTCAGGGCTCGAGGTCGCAGTGTTGTTCAGGGTGGTGGATGACGACAGCGCCTGCTGGCGAAGGGAGAGCGACGAAGCGCGCGCGCTCAGCATTTGGGGCGTAACTTTGGTCATCGTGATGAATCAAGCTGGGCGCAAGCTGTGTGAGGAGATGGAGGTCTTATCGGGCAGTCGATGCGCAGTGCAAGAGACAAAACGGGAGGAATGGGAGCTGTTGACGGGGTTGAGTTGCGGACGATGACGAGCTCGGAGGCTGGACGGAGGTCAGCTGGATAAGACGCGATAAGATAAGCTCCAGGTGCCAGGTGCCGGCTGACCTCCATCCATGCCAGGCACCTCCGCCAGGCACCTCCAGCCACAGGCACAGGCAGTGTCTGTGCCTGACCAAGTGCCTGAAGATCACGTTCCGAAAAGCCATAGCTAGGCCGATAAGAAACAGGGTTTCCGCCGGCCGGAGTAACGTGGGATGGGACTGACTCGAGTTGGACGGCACAGTTGAGGCTGCAGCCGACTTTGACTTTACTTTCTTCTTTATTTAGATGAGCCACCATTAGCATGACTAGAGCCTACACACTGCTAAGAGACGCCGGCATCTCGACCTCAACCTCGCTGTGACACCACCATCCCACAACCATGGATCGGAAGAAACCACCCGTGCCAAGGCTAGGCAGGAAAGCGCAACATGGTCTCGGGAGTCATCGTGATACAGGCTTTGGCCAAGCTGGGACTGCCCAGAAATCTTGCCAGTCTAGATTCAACTGTGCGTCATGCCGTGCCACTCGAGAGCCACTTTAGCGGTCTAAACTCTATTCTCAACAGCCGAACAAAGAATTTCACCACTTCAGACCATCAAGCGTGAGAAAGTTATTACTATTATTAAGGCCATTAATGCCGAACCGTGATGCCAATCCTTGACGCCGATCCCCGAGTACCACTACCTAGGTAACTATGCAAAGTCGTGACCCATTCATCATTACAATCCATACTACCAGCCAAATGCCCGATGTTCGTAAGAGACCAAGTCCCAATCCTATGGACTGTACTGCTCCCACTTGATCTTGGCGACATCATCGTAGCACTTGGAGTTGAGGGCGAACTCGTGGCTCGAGTAAGATCCCTCAGGAACCTCCTCCAGCTCGGCACACTGGGGAACCAGGCGGATGGGAGCACAGCCATCGGGGATGTTGCGCTGAATCTCGTTGTTCTCGTCGATCGAGAGACGGGCCTGCTTGATGACGATAAAGTGCTTGCCCTGGTAGTATTCCAGGCTCTCGTCACAGGCAACAAAGGTCTCGGGGAGCATGTAGGTGTAGGGGTCGTCGAGAGCGTTCAGCTGAACACCCGGTGTGCCAGGGCCAAAGTTGAGTGAGGTGTCGTAGAGTTGCTTGTTCTGCTTGTTCTGCTGGATGGCCAGGCCGGCAGGAGTCAGGGGAGTGCCGCCGTCGGTGAGGACAGTGGCCTCGCCATCTTGTCGTTGGTCCTTTGTGCCGTTTTGGTAGAAGACGCGGCCGTCTTGCTCAACCACACCGACCAGGCTCAGACCGGCACCAACGTGAATGGTGGTGATCTGGTAGTTGTTGATGGGAGGGTCAAAGTCCTTTGAGTGGTCTGTGACGTTGACGATGAGCTTGAAGCCCGTTGATGTTGAGCGGTCGGGGTAGCGAGGGTTTGTGACAATGTGTGGCTCGACATATCCGTACCTGGTGGCCAGGGGTGATGCGGATGCGAGGCCCAGGAGACCCAGGACGATTGTTGAGGAAATCATAATGCGTGTGTGTATGTGCGTGATTGTATGGGGGATGGTGAGTGTGAAGTTTGAGAGGGGATAAAAAGTGTGTTTGTGATGTCAGGGACTTGTTGATGCTGTTGGTTGATGAGAGGGGACCCGGATCTTATATGCTTCTTTGAGATGCTCTGATGAGGAAGGTACGTACCTAGTGCAAGTGCGACCTCGCATGAGGATCCACCGCCGTTATGTTTATACTTCCCGCCACACAATGGGACATCAGAACTTCAGGAGCACTAAAAGTCTCCTCGTCAGGATAAAAAGCAGGTTACAAAAAATATAACAAAATAACGAGAAGAATATTATAATCACTATAATACTTTTGATCATCTTTATTTATTCTTATTATCCTCTATTAGCTATCTTTCGAAGAAGTACCTCTCACAGTCTCCCAGAATAATGCATGCATTTTTGGGACCAGACCAGCCTCCACTCCTCAACAACCAATCCTCCATTGCAGGCCGTTAGGGCGGCGGCATCATGCCAGGTCTGGTCCAGTGCTGAACTGTGGGCTAGTACTTCTCCACAGTCTATTTTAGATGGACTCGGGCATTTTGTGGTGGCTTCGCTTAGGTGCTAAGGCCATCACGTCGTTATTCGCAGGTAGTGCATTACAAGATGCTTTGTTGAGGCTATTCCGGCCAAACTTGCAGCGATTGAGAGCCCATTCGACATGTCATTGTGTAATTGATCCTCTGGGATAAACTTCGGTGATGCCGCCGTGTTGTTTTGGCTGGGTTACATGCTCTGGAGCCTCTCTTGGGTCCTCATCCAGCCGTTTCGACACGATCCGACAAGTGAGCTCCGGAGAGAATCCAGGCGGCGAGCTGAAGCAACTCCACTATGCCGGGTGTGGAGAGTGTGGGTCCTTTCTTGGTGGGCCGATCGACCGCTGGCGCAGGAAGTCGCAGCCGGGTGGGTGGATCATGACCGGCCACCAGGGCAGCCACGGATGGCCTCGCGGCTGCCAGCGTATGGCTACAGGGATGCAAGCTGCGGGGAGTCCCCTGTGGAGCGCTGCACAGGCGATGTCGGGGGCCCTAAAATACGAGGGGCCCTGCGCTAGAGCGACTGCCATTTCGTCATCCTGTCCCGGCCGGGCCTTCCGCTGCACACCAACCACCGACCTACACCTGCCCAAAGATGGGGAATGGCAAGAGCCCAGACAAGCCATGAGCCGAGACTGCCCAGACCAGGCCATCCCGATCATGGATGAGATGGTGTTGACAGCTGAAAAATTCTCCGTAGTCTGCTTTTCTTTGTTGAAAGGTTTTTACTCTGCCTGTTTCTCCTTTCTAGATGATGCAACAAGCAAATGAATATCATCATGACAGACCCAATGATTGACGTAAATCAAGATTATGATGCACATCACAACCCCGTTACAAAACAGAGAAAAATAGGGACCCAGAGAAGCACCAAATCCGGGGATCCTAGTGATCAACGGGTCCCTAAAATGTGCCCCCTTCGTCCTCTCAGAGCAATTGTTTCGTCACATGCTGCAAAAGCCATTGGCTTTTTCTGGCCGGTGAAACCCAATTGTGTGGAACCAACCCATCGATTTTACAGTAGCATCAAGTTGAAAAAAGCCGACAGCGGGGATCCCGATCCGAACAAAGGATGGATTGCTGCTCCATGTGTGATGATGAAGGATCGCACAGCAGCCCCAGCCTCGATTGTTTGCGAAATTGTGACCGACGCTTCCTCTGACAGGTTCTCCATGCATTACACGCAAGCTCGATCGCGTGGCATTGCAGCACGTTACGGCATGAGGCTTTGTTGAGCCATGGATCATGGTCGGTCAACGTCCATGACGTTCTGTCTCGGTTGTCGACAAACATTACGAAGATCTCCGGTTTCACATTCCTTGAGGATGATATCACAGAGGACCCTGAACACCTCGCCTAGGTGTCATGGCGAAGATCACGTTCAGCTGATTATATCATAAATGTGGTCCGATCCACTAGGTCACGGATATGAGATGACAGGGCATTCATCCGAGCTCACGATTCCTCCGTCGTACGCGTTTCGGCATGTCGATATGTTGGTTGATGAGATAGTTTGATAGGGTTGTAGGATCTAAGGAGGATTCGATTTGATCCCTCACCCTCTAATATCCGTCAGTTAGAGACATAATGGGCAATCTAAGCTTTGCTTGATAACTCGCCTGACCCATGTCGTTGTATCAGTATGATTGTATGGAATGTAAAAGACGGGCCTGGTGTCTGTCAGTCCGGTCCGAGCCGAACACTCGAAGCATGGTGTCTCAGATACACAACTTTCCACTGTTGGACGCCAACGATATGGAAGGGGAAGTGATTCAACCTACTTGAAGCCGAGAAGAATTAACGGCACGTTTTCGTTTGCAATAGTCGGTGAGATTGTGAACCCTGAGAACACGCGGAACACCACAGCGAGTATGCACATTTGTTCTTGTCTCACGTTGGCTGTGCCTTAATCCAGTTCGCCGCAGCAGCGACCAACCGTCCAAGCATCGGCCTCACAAAACATCCAATTAACAGCATCGCCCAGTTCTGAAAATAGACATCCGAACCACACCAGGCACATCTTCACAGTTCGCATCGCTCGCCCGCCCGCCCGCCTAGGCGCGAGGCAATCGCACACAAGGTTCTCGCTCGGCCTGCATGCCACCCAACTCGGTTCCGCGGCCAATAAGCCTTGGCCAGATTTCGGTCGGCCTCCCTTAGCGGACCTTGATACACTTTTTTCAACCAACCGCACCACCAACCAGAGGTGAATGGTATGATAATCTGCTCTCTGAGTGAGGGGCTCGGTTGGTCTGTTGGCTGCAGAGCAGACGCGTAGGAGGGGTGATTGAGTCCGTCATTGGAACCTGCTGGTCGAGTTGCCTGTGATAAGGCGTAATGGGAGTGCACTTTGGTCTTGTGTTGACGCCATTGAGATAAGAGAGATCAGGCACTTTGCTGAGGGGAGCAAGAATTATAAAGTAAGCTCATGGTTCTGTCGTCTTGCTAGCTTTCCTTTCAAAGCATCCTCTCTCGAACCCTCTAAAGCAACCCAGTTCATGAGCAGAAGACGATCTTCCTCCCACCATCAGTCCGAGCCCACAATGTCATCTCCTGCGGGCTCGGGCTGTTCCCCCGATTGTAAGTGCCCGTCAGCTTGAAGTCATCATGTGGGGATGAAACACCGCTCACTAACACGGCCCCGGCTGTGAAATAGACTTCGACGACGACATCTTTGCCCTAGATCCTCATGAGGATCTTGTGGGGCACCAGACGCAGTCTGGACCTTTGGTTCAGGATGCAGATCCTCTTGGTTTCACGAACCAAGAAGGATTGCCTGAGATGATTTCGGGCTCCATGCCGCAAATAGTCACAGACAATCCGATTCTCGGTGACGGACCTCTTCCTCTAGCGGCTGGGATGGATCCGCATCTCGACAGTATCGACCCCGCTCTTTTGCTTCTGCCAGCAACCACGAACTCGGGCTGCGATCCTTCTTTGGCGACCTCAAACGAAGCATTTCAAGGCTCAGCATCAGCTTCTGGCTCACAGGATGTGTACCCTGCTCTATAGAGCGGAGACCCGGAACCCGTCCCCAGTGATGATGCTGGTCCCTTGATTTACTCCGGCGAGGTCTCGATCAACAATCAAGCCCAATCACACTCGCTAACCTCCGATGACGATTCGTCTTCCGCTGACACATCCAGTGGAAGCATCTCGGGAACAGAGAACGGCTACGTTCAGAGATACAGAGAAGATGCCATCATTCGTATGAGAAAAGACGAATGTGTGAAAGATGGAATATTCTTTTGCAACCGGGAGAAATGCACCAAACGGTATCGCAGTAACTCCAGGAGAACGTGCGCTCGCCTGCCACCGGCATACATCCATGTCCTTGCTAACAAGAACTCAGAAAGCATCTTCGGTCTCATTACAAGCCCGTCCACTGTCTATACTCTGGATGCGGATACAGGTGTGCTCAGAGGAAGGAGATGCTCAAGCACCTCATCTCTCGTCATTCTGTCGAGAAGCCATATTACCCATGTCCCGTATGTCGTGAAGGATTCACACGCCAGGATAACCTCCGTCGACACTCGGATGAAATCCACGGTGGGAAGAGGAGGACGCGGTCATTGGAGCTGCGGTAGCGTGTTGGCGGAATTGTTGGCTATTTAATGATGTTAGTTGTTTAATTGTCACTCTTTTGTGCTTCTGTGTCTTTATCCCCATGACACTTGCCAGGAGTTTGCACTTTTCTAGGCAAATCACCTATTAGTATTCATGGCAACACGCTTATTCGTATTTGTAGACCTCTTGCTTCACCATGGTGTTGTCCATCTCACGTAGCAAAACCGCCATTTTGACTTTGATGTGATATCATAAAGGGCAAATCCAGGCCATGGTAGCTTCTTGAGAAGAGGCATAGTATCAGAGATATAACAGACACATGACTTAGATCAAAACAATAGAGTCCATCCAGCGACCGAGAGGAGACACTGATCCACGTAGGTTCACTGAAACTAAATATCATCTGTCATAAATGCAGCAATAGAGATATCTTCCAAATCAAGTGTTGCTCCGGCTTATAAGCCATAGGCTTTTCTCGCTCACAATGCCACACCTCCCTGGGATTCTCCATCGCTATCAGAAGGCTCCTCGTCATCTTTCAAGCCTGTCTCGGTTGCTGGGGCGGTTTCTATATATTGTCAGGTTCCTGTGGAGAATGGAACATATACTGAACCTACCTTCATCTGTCTCGTACCCCCCAGGTAACTCGTATTCGAAATCGGAAGATTCAAACGATATGTCTTCAGATGCAGTAATGTTGGTTATCGAGTCCGGTTGTAAAACGGCACTCGTCCGTTGAAGGGCGATATGATCTACGAGCATATTGCCGATGTCCCTACCTACCTTTCCCAAAAGGGCTCTCTGTTCTAGAAACAGAGGGTCCTCATTCCCTTCGTGGAGGAGAATCGGGCGCCAGTTCGTGTACACTTTCTGGTGGGAGTCCGGTTCCACGTAGAAACCTGGGTGATGTCTGAAGTATAGCTTGCAACAGAGACAAGCAAGCTTGCTGCAGGCTATGTAGCGGTCGTTCTCAACGAAGACGCGATCACCTCTGTGGAAAAACTCCAACATCTGCAGTTCCGCATGGACACTTGATTGCATGTCGCCCCTGTCATACATGGTCCTCACTCTGGTTTCAAGCCCAGTCTGTTCATCTAGTGTCGCAAGGAATGCTTGAAACTCTTCGATCCTTGGGTCTTTAGGGGTCTGGAGAATCCGCCTGGTTATCGAATTGAGGGTAGTTTGCGCGTCAGGGGGAGGGACGATCGCTGGTTGAGGAGCAGGAACCGAGGCGACACGATAGCTGCCGAGAAGTGTACCCAAACGACTGGCGTCTTCGACAAGTTGCTTCGGTACACGAATGTGCTCAGCTAGACGCCCTATAAAATGCTTGACAACTTGGAAAGATATGGCATGCTCGAGGGCTGCACCATCCTCGCGGCTGAGGACCTGGAGTGTTGTCATTTGAGGATCCTCCCGGGCTCGATAAGCAGCATGGCATAAAGGCAAGATCTCTGCTGTGGCGTCGGACAGAAAATTAGGTAGCCAGTTCTCGAGCGCTTCAAGGCCTAAATATCGGTTAGCGTAGTGCATTTCGAGGTTCATTGGTGTTAATCTCTAACCACTCTCCATTGTGCTCGACGCGGCAGTCGACAAGTACCTCTGGCATTTTCTTGTTGCATTCCGCAGTATGGCGCATTCCTTCCTGAGCCTGAGAGTGCCAAACTGTACAGAATCCTCCGTCAGCCTGGCCTCCAGCTCTCTTCTTTGCAGCTCGTCAAGTGCCTCTACCCCCTGCAAACTGTCAAGAACACGATCCAAAAAGTCAACAACTCTCGATGTTGGAGTGACATTCCCGGCCACCCAGAACATGAAACAGTCAGGCCGGTCCTCGACAGCGATAGAAGTTGTCGTGTCGCCACCTTTCTTGTAGTCGCAGATAAAGCAGAGGCTCCTCAGAAATCTGCGGCGGGTGGCTTCCAAAGTCGACAAGTTGTAGTTTGTGATGACATGAGGGCCTTCGGCTTTTCTGAGGATTGAAAAGAGGGCCAAGAACTCGAAGAAACGGGCTAGAGTTCTTGAGTAGGAACTCATTCTGGGTGTCAGAGGACTCATTCTTGCAGGCAAGTTGTTGTTCGTTGAGACTGTTCAGATTATCGGTATCAGAGGGGATTCCAAACTTGAAGTTACTCATCCGTGTCCATATCATAAATAACTCTCCCCGACAACGTCTCAAGTTATCTCTTTCATAAAATGAGCCTAGTCCGCCTGCCTAGAGTTCACGTGTCTTGGGGCCTTATATCCAGTTTCACTTTCTAGGATGGTCGGCCTCCCACATGAGGGGAACCGGGCTATGAATCATGTTGGTTGGAACAACATAGAAGGGTCATTGGACAGTCCTCGAGGGCAATTTTCGACAGCGCTCGCAAGGCAGATCATTTATGGCGTGAGATTGAGATAAGGCTGAAAGCACGATAGCTGTGATGGGGGTCCCCGACAAGAGAAGTCCTTCATCAATGTGTCATTGTTGCGAATGCGTGAACCTTGCTCAGTCCACCCTACAGCTGAAGGAGATAAGGAGAAAATTCCCAATGGGCATTGTTTGACTGATAAAAGAAGGCTATTGTATTGTGCTATGCGGAAGTAATTCATTTGTAACGATTATGCGTGACAATTGACCCTTTGTGTCGTTGTATTCTTTGTGTTGAAGAACGAATACAACAAAGTCCCTCGGGGCCTCGCACATAATTCGAGTTTGAGGCAGTTGGGGTTGAAAGCGGGGACATGCATGTGAGCGGCCCAACGACAGACCTCGCGATAAAGGTGGGGGTATTTTCAACCGTGGACCTTCGTCTTACAGCTGTTTAAGACATATGCACTGGTTTGGAATGTGAAATGCCTAGTCGAAACGATATCACTAGAAACAGAGAAACAAATGTTTTCTTGTTTATCGACTTCAGCTGGTCGGGTTCATCGTGTCCTATCCTCCATTTAGCTTGTCAATGTCTCAACTAGGCAGCGGGCTGCGATATAAAAGCGGGTCCGGCATCAACCATAGGGCACCGACCACTGTAACAACCCGGGCTCCATCCATTTGGTTGCGCTAAAATGCGGGGCAGATGCCACTGTCGCAGGCCATTTACAGGGGCTGGTTGGGCTTCGCGAAGTCCCAGGCAGGCGGGTCGAAAAAAACACCGCCGGTATCAGCACCAAAATTGTATGGGGAGAGCGGCGGTGATTTCTTCGACCCGCCTGCCAGGCAAGAATTTCCAGGCCAGGCGATTTGGCGCGACGCGCTGTCTTGCAGCCAGCTCGTGCTCGCCCATCCAGGCGGGCGCGGGCCCCTCGGGTGGGCTCCACTAAAATTTGGTTAGTAGATGCACCTGCTGCATCCACCGTTTTGCGAATGGATGGGAAAATCAACGGCGACGGAAACAAAATCCGAGAGCTCCCCTCACTTTATCTCCAGCCCAAAACATCCACATTCCATCCATTTCATCATCGCCCTCCCTGGGTCTCGTCTCGCCTCGTCCCGTCGCTCGACTCTGGCTGCTCGCCGCTGCCAGCTTCGCCCGTCATGTTGTCGCTGGACCGACTTCCTAATGAGGTGCTGCACAGTATCGCCTCTTTCCTCCACAAGAAGTACGACCTAGCTGCTCTATCGCGCGTCAACCGACACTGCTATCATATTGCGAGCCCCATTCTCTGGAAGCGCGAGGTCAAGTCGGACAGGCCAGGCGCACTACATTGGGCCGTGGAGCATGAAGACATCGATCTCTTGCGCCGCGCCCTCGAGGCTGGTGTTGACCCCTCGCGTCTAGCCTATGCTCACAGGCCCAAGCCACGAATCGATTCGCGTCACAAGTGGTGGAACTATCATAGCTCATATTACGACGATCCCGAATGGCGCGTTGACGACGACGACGAGTCTGTCGACCTGGACCCATCCTATGTTCTACATGACACCTGCGATTGTTTCGAGAGCGGCTGCGACGACGGAATCTTTAGCGACTGTCGATGGGAAGCTATCCATGTCGCTGCCAGCAAAGGGCGTATCGACATGATCGAGGTGCTGCTCGACAAGGGCGCATATATCGAGGCATCCTCCTGGGGACTCTGCCTCTGCCGTCCTCATCTTCCCATGGAGGCCTTTAGCGACTCGCAAGATATCGAGGAGGAAGAGCTTGAGGATCTGCATGGTGGAAACTGGACACCTCTGCATGTTGCCATATGCCACGGCCAGTTCGAGACCGCCAAGTTTCTGCTAAGCCGCGGGGCTTCCACTGTCATTTACCAGGGTATCGATTTCGAGCTTGACCCCAACGTCTGGCGAGATGATGATGCTGCCCATGATTCAAGTCGTTTCCGACTCACCGCGATGCACCACGCTGCCAAGCACGACATGCTCCCCTTACTACGGCTCCTTATAGAAGGGAAGCTTCAGGAGAACATCGATGCAGAAGGCCCTTTCATGGGAACGCCCCTATTCCAGGCCATTTGGTACGGACACTGGGACACCGCGGTTCCGTATCTCATTGAGAAAGGCGCCAATATTGACACCAGGCTCATCGAGACGGGATTGACACCTCTTATGATGGCGTGTTTCTCGCGTCGGTTTGATGATGCTGCCAAGCTCATCGACCTAGGTGCAGACGTCAACACGGTCTCAAGGCACCGGTTCAGCATTCTTCATCTGATTCTCGGACCTGGCCAAGTTAGACCTGACGAGTTTGCCGACCCTTACGATCCCCCGAAGCCAGTCAGCAAGATCACCGAGATCGAGATCATCCAAAAGTTCATTGACAAGAAGTTTGATGTAAACGCCCGTGACTCTCTCTTGGGGATGACGCCCCTGATGCATGCGAGCTCAAGCTGTAACACGGATGCTATGAAGGCGTTAATCGACAGCGGAGCTGACGTTAACGCTTTGGATCATGAGGGACTGAGCGCCCTTTCTCGAGTCGGTGAAATGGCTGAAGGATCTGCTATCCTTGGACTATGCGACGCCGGAGAGATGCTCCTCGATGCGGGGGCATCGATGAAAGACTCGACGGAAGACCTGACACCTCTGAACATCATCTGCGCCCGGCGCTGCGAGCCCTACTTCAGTCGTGATTGGGACCACCAGCACGCCAATTTCGCCGCGCTCCTCATTGAGCGTGGCGCTGATCCAAACGACAAGGGGGTAACCCTGCACCGCCCATTCACCGAGGCCGTTGTGAACGGTAACTTGAGTCTTGCCCAAGCAATTCTTGAGAATGGCGGCCGGCCGGAGAAGGGTGACCTCGAGGATCTGCTTGACAAGTCAGTGCAGGACCCGTATGACGACGGGAAAACCGAGTTTATACTGAGCATAGATTATGCCGGGTATGGCATCACAAGGCCTTCGGATGCCTTCCTGGTGCGCCTCCTTAAGCTGTCATTGGAGGAGCAACTCTGGACACGAGCCGCTGATCTGATGAGGGCGGTGCCCACACCGAGGGAGATGCGAAAGGGGCTGATCTTCCGCTGCTTGAAGGACCAGTCACCAACCGCGGATGAGCCTTCTGCGCTTATCCAGGTGCTACTAGATCAAGGACAAGACCCGAATGAGCTTTTCGAGGACGAGCCGCCGCTGTATTACAGTCTCAAGTCGGGTTCCTTCTGGCGGACAACTCCGGTGCTGGTCAATGGTGGAGCGGACGTTCACATGTCCACCAAAGCCATGCCTGATGGTGCATTCATGTACACCATCACTCATGGCTACCAGCCGCAAACCGTACAGATACTATCGAAACACCCACATGTGCTGCGCGAGAAACCAGAGCGGCTGCATCGGGAGTGCTGGTCATCTATGATCCGTTGGGTGCCCGGCATCTTGAAGCCCACGAGGGCTCGCTATGTGCGAGCCATAGAGCCCAAGCTGAACTGGACCTTTGCAAGCCGACTGATCACAGCAGGTCTAAGAACCGATGTGAAGACACTAGATGACGTGGACGTCAAAGAAGTTGTCGAACTGGCGATCCCCAAGGGGGTTCCGATGGGAGTTGAGGGACGCAAGGTGCTGGACGCGCTTGATATCCCCTATGTGGAACCGACGGCTCGACCTGAAGATGAAGAAGATGAAGATATAGAAGAAGACTATGAAGCTGGGGGAAGCGACGTGAGCGAGGATATTGATGATGATTCGGGTCTATCGGAGATGGATGATGGATATGACGGCTTCGGGCTGTTTCCGCCATTTCCGGAAGACTCTGATGAGGATGAAGACTCGGAAGACGGATGGCAAGACGATGATGGGGAGAGTGACTTTGATGATGATGATGACGACGGGTTGATGCCGATTCCCGTGCCCTTACTGTTTGGATTCCTCATGTGAGGAGCGAAGAGGGAAGATTGATCATGTATGGATATGAATGTTCTGTTTGCGGCGGCCTGGCATGGCCTTGGGTTGGCGCTATATGGGATATAAACTATGGGGGACATCTATCTATAGGTATCAAGGGACGGGAACCGGAACCCTGGGACAGGCTGGACGGACAGGGGTTTCACGGCATGAATAAGTGTGGTAATGCTTCTGTGGAGTTGATGACATGATGAAGTTGAGGTCCAATGCTGTGCAGAATGAGGTGAGCGTGTATGAATGTAGGTGAGGTTTCGGTGTAAGATGGGTGGCTAGGTGAGTTGTACGAGTCCAAGAGTTGATGTTCCTGTTGGACAACCTCTCTCAGCCATGACGTGGAACCATGCTTGAGCTGGAAGAGTGATCGAGACAGTTCTCATGAACCATGTAAGATCTACGACAAGTTCATGATGGCCAGAGTTGCACCAGGACAATAACCCCCGAGAGGTCGGCTTCTCTCTCCGATGGACTATTACCCTCAGTCGGAGATGTCACGGTGTTGCGGGACGAGGAATACAGAAGCAAGGAAAAGAACCCTGAGGGCCAGACGCCGCCCGGCCGAGGGCGCCTAATGAGGGATATGAACATGGATCTCATCTCATCGACTTGAGGGGAGATGGGATCCAATGCGGGGGAGGGACGAACTGGCGCGTGGAGGCGGAGGGCGGAGGTGGAGGCCGGTAGGCGAAATTGTCTATGTTTGGCAACAGTAGCCCATGAGTGAGACGGACAACGGGTCGACTACCGAGACTTGGCTCTTTGTGCATGACTTGTTGCTGTAGCGTCGAGTTGATGGTGCTGCGACACGGCACGCGAGTCGTCGCCCGGAGATGAAAGTGCGAGAGAGAGAGGCTTTCCCCCGCACCGGAGGCCGGGGATCTCGGGGCTTGACTGGGCGAGAAACGGCCGGATGGCGGGACTCCGAATAGCGATGGATGGTGGATAGCACATTAGGATTAGGAGGGGGAAAGGGCCGATGCGAAGGAGTAATGGTATGATGGCTTGGATCTGAGGCGTTTTCACTCTTGGTGCTTGCTCGCTCGTAGGTTGCTCGGAGAACGAGAGGAGGTATGGATATCCATGGGCTCATGGGCAACAATGGTTTGACATGTCTGTTACCCCCTGCGACTACATACGTGACCGGTCTACGATGTGAGTTTTGAGCGATATAATTTCACAAATGGCCATCGTAGATTGAGCGAGATATCTCTGCGAGGCTGGAGTGGATGTGGCAGAGAAAATCGGTCCATGTGCTCGTGTTGCATCAAATCTTGCCAGGGCAAAAGACAGGAATCTAGACCTGCCAGGCATGGATGATTATGCCATTGATATCCAAGATTCCCACTATTGGAAGCTCCTCTGCTCCGTAATTTCATCTTTGAGGTCCATCGCCGTGGAGCCAAGTGTGTGTCAAAAGCAGGCCACGATTACCATCTCCATCTCCACTTACACCGCTGACACGGAACGGAGAGTTTTGAGGTCGGACTTGAGTTGCCAGAGCCTTGCATGGTGAGGCTTCTCCAACGGAAGTCATTATTGTCATTTTGGAGAAGTCAAGACCCCGAATTGCTATGAATCGCCGTAGAGAGTACTCAATTGGACGTTGATCGATGGAAATATTGTCCGTGCCTATGGATGGACGGCACGGAGACGTTGACCGTAGCTGCCGTGCCCGAGAGGTGAAGCTTCTCAAGCTGGGCCTGCCTGACACTGTCAACCCCGCTCCTATGTCCGAAAACGGCAAACCCCACCGAGAGAGTCGACACACGTGATTGGCCAGAGCATATTCTCCCCTGTACCCACCATCCGCCATGATTCGCTCTCTTGCAACAACAACACCGAACGCCGAGATATGCCCATTCACTCGCTCAACTCTGAGCCTCTCAAAGCCGTAGACTGTGCTCATACTTTCCTCATGCGGTAAGCCCCCTCGAGAGTGGATGGATGGGATGGTCGCACGCTCTTGCTCGGCGCCCCCGCTTTGCACGACCGCGCGCGTAGGTGGGCGGGATAGGACGACGGCATGCGGCGGGTGACCGTCCGGGCCTCGTCATGCGAGGAGGAGAGGACACGGAGAGAGTAAAGATACAGTCCAGCCTCATGGGACTAATTTGCTGACTGGAAACTGACCCTCTCGAGGGCGGAGAATTAGTGCCAGAGAGGTACACTGCCCCCTCCCTCCCAGATACCGAGAGCTTCGGGGTTCGCGGCATTGATGGAGATTCGTGGAGCAAGACACACACGGCCACGGTATCCGTTCCGTTCTTTTCGATCGGATGGCACTGCGGGAGTGTGTGAGGAGAATGCACGCGGCACAGGTACACACACGCACACACAGACACCACACGCAGTGAGACGTGGAACCTTGGCTGTGGAGGATTGTCTGTTGATCCCACTGAAACCAACCTGAACCTGGATGCCGCTGCTGCTGCCGCTGCCCGTTCCCCGTTACATACGTTGTTGTAACTTTTCGTGGTAACAAGACTCCGGTGCCCGACTGGAGCATAAATATCTGGCGTTGGACGCTCGATATTTTGTTTTTCTTTTCTTCCTCCTCACTCTCATCATCATCACCATCTTCCTTCCTCTTCCTTCTTCACTTACAACCAATACTTTTATACAACCGCCAAAATGGTAAGCATTCCTATTTACCCATTCGCACTTTGATATCCCTTTGAGCTCTATCTAACAACCTCAACAGGTCAAGGTTCTTGCTGTTCTCTACGACGGTGGCCAGCACGCCAAGGATGTACGTCTCGCTCTCAATCAACTCTCCCAGCCCTCTCAGCCTCTTCCTCTTCACCATTCGATTTCCGCTCGTCGATGGTCGTTTGCTCTCTGCCCCTCCAAACGCCTTCACGTCGACAACCCCTCCCCACTCACACCCACGCTTGCCGATCCCAAACGCGGGGAAATCGTCTCCCTACTCAAGATCAGCCACATTCAACCCAAGATGCGGGGCAGTGCCTCTGGGTAAGACATCAGAGTTGTCCCTGGGTGGGATTCTGTGTGGGCTCGTGGCTCTTGCAGGATACACTGCATGGTCTTTGAGTAACCATAATGCAACCCCAGTCGCCTCTGGGGCACTCGATGTCTTGCCCCTGACCCCCTCATTCATCAACCTGCACAGTCTCAGTCAATTGAGTTTCAACCATAACTAACACGCCTGTCATAGGTCCCCGGCCTTCTCGGCACCACTGAGAACGAGCTCGGCATCCGAAAGTGGCTCGAGGACCAGGGTCACACCCTCGTCACCACCTCCGACAAGGACCGTGAGGGTTCCAAGTTCGACGAGGAGCTCGTCGATGCTGAGATCATCATCACCACTCCCTTCCACCCCGGTTACCTGACCGCTGAGCGCCTGGCCAAGGCCAAGAAGCTCAAGCTCGCTGTTACCGCTGGTATCGGCTCTGACCATGTCGACCTCAACGCCGCCAACAAGACCAACGGTGGTATCACCGTCGCCGAGGTTACTGGCTCCAACGTCGTCTCCGTCGCTGAGCACGTTCTCATGACCATCCTGGTTCTCATCCGAAACTTCGTTCCCGCCCACGAGCAGATTGAGCGTGGTGAGTGGGATGTCGCCGCTGCTGCCAAGCAGGAGTACGACCTCGAGGGCAAGGTTGTCGGTACCGTCGCCGTCGGCCGCATTGGCGAGCGTGTCCTCCGCCGTCTTAAGCCCTTCGACTGCAAGGAGCTTCTCTACTACGACTACCAGCCCCTGTCTCCCGAGAAGGAGAAGGAGATTGGCTGCCGCCGTGTCGACACCCTCGAGGAGCTCCTCGCTCAGTGTGACATTGTCACCATCAACTGCCCTCTCCACGAGAAGACCAAGGGTCTCTTCAACAAGGACCTCATCGCCAAGATGAAGAAGGGTTCTTACCTCGTCAACACCGCCCGTGGCGCCATCGTTGTCAAGGAGGACGTCGCCGCCGCCCTCAAGTCTGGCCACCTCGCCGGCTACGGTGGTGATGTCTGGTTCCCCCAGCCCGCCCCTGGCGACCACGTTCTCCGAACTGCCAAGAACCCCTTCGGCGGCGGCAACGCCATGGTCCCCCACATGTCTGGTACCTCCCTGGACGCCCAGAAGCGCTACGCCGACGGCACCAAGGCCATCATCGAGAGCTACCTCACTGGCAAGTTCGACTACCGCCCCGAGGACCTCATCGTCCACGGTGGTGACTACGCCACCAAGGCCTACGGCCAGCGTGAGAAGAAGTAAGCGCCTCGCTACAAGAGGAAGGAAGAATTTACTGTACATGATGATGATTACGAGTCCCACAACTGCATAATAGACGCGGGGATTTAAAAGATGGCGTCGCAGATAATAAAAAAACTGTAAAAATTAACTCTTGGCTCTTCTCTGTTGCTTGTGAAGTTTGCTTTCATTGTCTTGGTTTCTTAATCACCAAGGGGTACCTGTATTGAGAAGGTATCTCTGGCAACCACAGTGACATAGAAACCTAGATGACATAGTTTGCTTGACTGACGAATTCGGATGTCTTGGCACCTCGCTCATTAGAGTTGAATATCTTGCCCTCTTTTGTAGCAGAGTCAAAGTAGATAAAGCTGAGGTCTCACCACGGAACTTGAGTACCGGCAACTCTTCTACATCATTTTACATCTTGCTGCTATCATGCACATTTCCAATATACATTACGATTAAGTTGCTTAAAACCAGCATAACCCTGCTGTATTGTTTGTTGATTATTTCGTTTTACCATAACGTTTGTTTGGTTGTTACTGTTACATTTACACGTCCAATTGGTGGGTGGTATTCCTCATCAAGCCAACCGTCGTCATCAAAGCGTCGTTGTCTGTTCCCTTCCCCTTTATATCTCTCATGCCATGACAAGACCATATCCAATTCTCTAACCATGTGAAAACCCATGTCTCTTGATCATGAAAATCATTTCCAGAACTGCCACCACTTTCTCTCCTCCCCGGGCTGCGCCCTCCTCCTCAACGTCGTTTCATCGCGGCCATGGATACGCCAGAAGTACACTGGCACGCCGGCCACGACGAATGAGACGACGGCTACTGTCTGGAACGGCTGGGCAAAGACTGCGCGGCTGAGGAGGAACAAGCTCACGCAGCAAAAGATGATGGGCGTCGTGATCCATGTCTTGTAGGGTCGCTCAAGCTGCGGCTCGCGCACGCGTAGCACGATGAGACCTAGCACCGTGAGGAAGTAGAAGGTGTAGCCCGCTACGCCGTAGAATGTGACCAAGGTGCTAAACTCGCCGACGATGACATAGCCCGTAGTCAAGACGGCGTTCAGCACGAGCGCGTAAATAGGGGTATAGAACAAGCCTGTGTCTTCATCACCGAAAGCACGGCTTAGCTTGCGTGAGAACCAGCTTCGTGTTCGCTGCGTGCTGAGACTGTTCTCGTTTTCATTTCCGACACCGATACGGCCAAAGATGGAGGGGATGTAGCCTTCTTTGCCGGCGACGTAGGCAAGACGGCTTGAGGTGAAGGTGGACGAGTTGAGAGCGCCGAAGCAGCTAGCGCTGACGATGAGTGCGAGGATGAGGGCTCCAACGGAACCAAAGACTTGGGAGCCAAACATGACGGCTACGGTGTTGGCACCATCCATGCTCTCAAGGGGAAGGACCAGGAAGTATGCCATGTTGGCGAGAACATAGCAGAGGATGACCAGTGGCATGGCCGTATGGATAACTCTGGGTAGGTCTCGAGTAGGGTTTCGAAACTCGCCGACCACATAGTTTGTCTACATCAAGTCAGTCGTTGAAGTCATAAAGAGGAGTTTGTTACTCACGTTATCCCACCCATCGTAGGCCCAGAGACCGGCATAGAGCGCAAGTGCCCAAGCAGACATGTCAGTCGACGTATTGTCAAACAATTCATGAGCCTTCCACTCAACGTTCGACTTGCCCTTGAGTGTCTTGCCCGTGATGGCAACCACAACACCCGTGATGGTGACACCCAGTAGAGCGACAAACTTCATAAACATGAGCATATCGTTCAGGCGCGTTCCAAGCCGTGTCGAGACACAGTTCAGAAACGTCACAGCAACGAGACCAACGAGCGCAACCGCCTTGTTGATCCAGGGGCTGATGTGTTCAGCATCAGCGCCAATGAAGGCGCGCACCAAGTACTCGCCCATGATGATGGCGATGATGGCAGCGCTGCCAGGCTTGAGCACCAGCATGGCCACCCATGTAAAGAGGAAGCCCGACAACTCGCCAAACGTCTTGGCGAGATACACCTGAGCACCGCCATTCAAAGGAATCGCTCCACCAAGCTCAGCGTACGATGCGGCGCCTGTCCACGCGAGCACACCTGCAATGACCCAGACGAGCAAGGCAGCGCCCGGCGAGCCGACTCTAGCGCTCACTGAGCCTGGAGACGAGAAGATACCAGAGCCGATAATGAGTCCGACTATCAGCGACAACCCGTTGAGGTAGGTCAAGGTCTTGTGCTTCTCCAACGATCCTCCTCCAAGTCCACCGTTCGGCCGCGCCGTCGAAGTGGGAGCCCCAATGGGCGCGTACCCTCCGGCGCCGGCCGTCGAGCTCAGCGGGAACATGTTGGCGGCAAAGTCAAAGGCCGACGAAACCGAGTAGGACCGGTGCATCCTCCCCGCCGGGTTGGCGCTGTCGAGGGGGTCGTCCTGCTCTAGCGACAGCCTCCGCGACGACGATATGCTGGGTCGCGACGACATCTCCGACACGCCATCTTCGTTGCCCTGGCTTGAACTGGCGAGCGACGCGAGTTCGAGCGAGTCTCGTGTATGCGACGGGAGCCCGTACGGCGCCATTGTGACTGCTGTTGGTGGTCTCTGTCGCTCTCGTCCTTCGCTTCGTCTCTCTGCGGCCTCTCGTCGTCAATCGACCGTCCAAGAGTATTCCCAATCAGACGGTATATTCGCTAGCAGCGATAAAACATAGCGGTCGCGAAGACGTCTTGGAAGGGATTCGTATACGAAAACAGACTTTGGGCGCCAGGTGACGTAGATGTCGGGAATGGGATGTCAGGAACTTTGTAGCGGTCGGTTTTGAAAGCGTGTAAAGTCGTGAATTGGTCGTGAGATTAAAAATCAGTAAAGAATATTTCGTGTCGTCAATGATTTATTCGTCAGATTTAATTCAAGCACCAAAAGGGGAGCATCGCGCGTGTTTGCATGAACAAGACAAAGACAGTCCAAATAGGAGAGAGGCTTGCTTTCAAAGTCTTAGGATCTCACTTAGCTCTGGCTTAGGCTGGGTCCCCTAACGCTTTGCAAACCCGCGTATTGACGCTCGTTCTTTTACTCGTTCCCGCTCGTATCCACCACTGGCCGCTTTTCGCACCGCCACAATTACGATTACATAACAAAGGTGGCTCCCTCCCAACCTCAAGCCTTGAGCAACCCATGCATCCTGCAACGTTCAAACCATCAGCGCTATGGCTTCGGACGATTATACTGCCGTCGGTGGCGGCGGCGCCTTGAAGCTCAAGGGGTCCAAGGTGCATAAGAAGAAAAAGAAGCGAGACAAGAAGACGGATCTGGAGAAGAACCTCGACGCCGGAAAGAGAGAGGGTCCGGATCCAGACAAGAAGAAGGAGGTGGATGATGAGCCTCGCGATGAAGAGGATGACAGACCCGCGGTGCAAAAGACTGAGGCTGAGAAACGCCACGACGAAATAAAGAAGAAGAGGGTAAGTTTTCTTTTCCCATCACCTGCATCAAGCTTTTGCTAACATGGTCAATTCGCAGCTCCTCCAGCTCGCCGAGTCTTCAGGCTCCAGACCCGAACTTCTCAAGACGCACAAGGAACGCGTCGAAGAGCTCAACACCTACCTTTCCAGACTAAGCGAGCATCACGACATGCCCAGAATTGGCCCAGGCTGAACAGGTCTTGGGTTACTGCATTGGAGGGCAAGAGTTCACACACACATACATCATGGAGCAGGCGTTTTTGGGTATACCCTCATTTTATACAATCAACTTTTGATGCACATGTCCTTGTTCACTTAATCTTTCATAAATACTGGATGAAAATTAATGACGTCCGATGTTGTAGGCTTCCGTCTGGGCTGTGCGTTGCCCGGAATGACCGTCACCCATGAGCCGGTCGATGTCCATGCCCAAAGCCTATTTCGAAACCCCTGCCCTTGACACGACCCAACTCCATCTTGTAAAATTTTCAAGTCCGGCCAAGCCAAAATGTTAGTTTCACTTAAACAAATACTCGATTTGATCCTTGGGGTGCGTGACAAAACGCCAATCTCTTTGTACCCGCTTAATATAATATGCACTCTACTATCCGTACATGCGATTCTCATGCCGACAAATATGCTAGGCGCCATTAATGATCCCAGTCCTCCAAGATACAACCGTACGTGGATGCTCTTGTCTAATCAAAAATCCCCTTGTCCAATCTGCCTGAGCGTGTTATTCCGCTCCCAGTCTATTACCATCATTTTGTTTCCCATATGTAGAAAGAAGACCGTCAAATTCATAATGTGGACCCCGCCGTGTTCAGACGACTTGGCAACAGTTGGGGTGACTGGTCAAAGTAACTCGTAACACCGGGGTCCTCGTGTTTTCGTCCGTCCGTCGCGTGGTCCGGGGCCGTATTCGGCTGGGCTTGGCTTACAGAAGCATCAGACCGCCAAACAGCATGCCAACAACCGCCGAGATGACACCGCCGACCGAGGCCGAGGATCGGGGAGCGGCGTTCTGGAGGTCGGGGCTTCCGCTGGCGGTGGCTTCGGCCGAGGGGACAACCTCAACCCAAGAGGTGGAAGTCATGGTGGTGACACCGCCGTCCTCAAGAGTAGAGGTGAAGGTCTGGGGCACAGCGCTCGAGGTTCGCCTAGTACCGGTTCCGGTGATGGTGCTTCGGGTAGTCGTGGGCCTCTCAGTGGCTGAAGTCTCCTGGTCATCGCCTGCGTTCATGTTAGCATACTTGTATGAAACGGATGTATTAGTGCTAAGCGCGGTCTCGAGTCAACATGCACGTGGTCCATCAAGCTCAGTATAGCGATGATCGGGTATCTGGCGCACTTGCGAAGGCTATGGATGCGGGTCAGGGTGTCGAAGAATGGCACGAAACACAATAACGCAGCAGGTTTTGGGATTTGGATCCGCATCGGAATCTCCGCAAAGAGACCCGATACTGGCAGTCCGTCCCACATACCGGTGGTTGTCGATGTCTCTGTTTCCTCTGGAGGCTCGGAGGATGTTGTCTCTGCCTCTTCGGTGGACTCAGACGCTGATCCAGTGGCGGACTCAGACGTTGATTCATCGGCGGACTCAGAGGAAGCAGTTGTGGCATCAACAGAAGTAGTTTCAACAACAGTGGTGGTGTCAGGGGCGGTAGAACGAGCAGTCTCACCCGAGGAAGCCGTCTCAGACGGCAAGGAAGTAAAAGAAGAATCATCAGGCAGAGTAGTTTGCGGTTCAGACGTACTGGCAGCAGTGGAGGTTGCAGTTGCAGCACTAGGAGCAGAGGACTCGGACGTTGGAGCACTTTGAGAAGAGGGAGAAGTCTGGGAAGTCTCCTCTTCAGAATCAGACGTACCGGTAGAAGTGGGCTCGGAATCATCAGTCGACTCGGGTTCCTCGGTCGACCTGGGTTCCTCAGTCGTAGACCTTCGCGTGGGAGCTGTAGTCGTCTCGGCTTCAGACTGGGTGGGTTCCTGGGTCTCCGAGGCAGAGGGTTCCTCGGTAGCGGTGTCCTGAGCAGAGGTGGGATTGTCTGTTGACGTGTCAGGGGCAGGTTCACTGGGTTCTGAGCTCGCGGGCTCGGCGGAGGAGGGCTCACTCGACTGGGTGTTGGAGGGGGCTGAAGTTGGTTCCCTGGTGGCTGAGGGCTGCGAAGTAGGTTCTTGGGTAGGCTCCTCCTGAGTAGATTCTTGGGTAGGTTCCTGGGTAGGAGGCTCCTGGGTTGACTCTTGGGTAGGTTCCTGCGTAGGCTCCTGAGTAGGCTCCTGCGTAGGTTCCTGAGTGGGCTCTGTAGGTTGCGCAGATGGTTCAGTGGCCGAGGGCTGCTCCGAAGGACCCTGGGTAGGCTCGGTGGCCTGGTTTGTGTCGCTTGGTCCAGGAGTGTTCTGACGCTTGACCATCAAGGCAATGGACTCGGACAGGTTGGGCCTGTGAGAGTTCATGCCGTGCTTGTCCAAGGCATCACCATGACCATGGCGGAGATGGCCAGGGCACATGCTCATGTTGGTGGCATGTCCAACAACACCAAGTCCAACACCAAGCAGACAGCAGACGGCAAAACCGACCAAAACCTTGCGGGCAGGGGAGATCCTTCGTTGTTGGGGTTGGGTAGGCTCCGAGTCCTCAAAGTCCTGGAGTAGGGCTTCCTTGTCAGACATGATCCTCTCTTCTCTGTCAGTGCTCAACAGTCCGGCCTCCATGTTGTAGTCGTTCTTGTGCGATGCCATGATGATGATGAGTGTCTTGAAGGCTTGAGGTGAGGGTGGTGGTTGAGTTTTGTAAGTTGACACAAGGAGGAAGAGAGGAGGCTGAGATCAAGCTTGGCAGATATGCAAAGCACGTCTAGTGTCCAAGGATAGGTACAGTATCCAGGAAGATGCAGTGACCAAGATGGGTGGACAGGTTTTGGGTTTGTGTCGTGGGCCGGAACGAGAAACGACTGGCTGGAAGCAGGTGGTGAGAGGTTGAGGAGGCGAATACCAGGCCGTGAGTGGTGACTGGAGACGGCAAGCTAAATAAGGGACCCAAGAATCTGCAGGCGACAGCTGGCGAGAGGGGGCTGATTCCCTTTATCGATGATGAAAGAGTCGTGGGCCAAGCAAATGGGAGGTGGCTCTAGTGTCTTGCGGGTGCTAGCGTGGGTGCTCAAGGGAGAAGAAGCACGGAGCAGCAGCAGACAGACAGGGCACAGGGCAGAAGCTGGTGATGCGAGAGTGAGGGAAGTAAAACGACGGAAAGCGAATAGCGTGCCGCCAGCCGGTCAACAGTTGACAGTCGATGGAGGCGCTGCTTGGAAATGTGCACCAAAGGGGTGAGGTGAGTGCTGTGCTGTGCGGTGCGGGTGGAGGACGAGGTGGAGAGAGTCCGCGACGGTGTAACACGAGGAGCTGAGTCGAGCTGGAAGCTGTGGACAAGTGGGAGGCTCGGAAGAGAGACAAGACAGGACAGCCCAGGACAAAGTTTGGTGTTAAATGCAAGCCCGTGATGCTGGATCGCTCATGGATGGTGGGGATCCGTCCACTAAAGTCCCGAGAGCTAAACTATGGCTGGTCAAAGGAGGCTGAGCTGCAGACGACGACCTTTCTGACTGTTTGCTGGGTGGTGGCAAAGCAAAGAAAGAAGTGCAGGGCACACACGGGAAGCCGGTCGATGGTGTTGGAGATACAAATCCCATGTTTCTTTTTCGGGATGGAGGGAACCGCATGCAGTTTTAACAACCGCCACCCCGGCTCTAGAGACACCTAGCGCCCTTGTCCGCCTGCCAGGTCCCACCGGCTGCCTTCTCCGTCCACTGGAAGACAGCTTCGACGACGTGCCCGGGAAGCCTGGCAAGCCTGGCCCTGGCCTGGACTGGAAGGGAGGATGGGTGACAGTGGGGTTTAGGCGCTGAGAGGCGGCTCGACCAGGCCAGTCTAGCCCCGGAGCACGCCTTGAGAGTCAACCGGTGTCAGCAAGGAGGCGCTGTCTGGCACTCTATGGCGCTGTCTGGCTGGCTGATCCGATGTAAGGCGCTGATATCTGGCGTTCCTGACGCGCCAACTGTTTAAAAGCAATGGCTGAGAATTCAAGTTCCTGAGACTTGTTCCTCACTTCCCCGTGGAAACTCGGGATAAGTTTCAGCCTCCTTCTGGCGTCAATAACCGCTGGCTCGCAACGGCGTCGCCCGCTGCTGCTCTCCATAGCCATCCCCACGCAAATATCGAGCATCTTGGTATTCGCCTTGGCGGACGGAACAGTAACATGATCCTCGCTGCCTACGTACCGTTTCTTACGCGTTGCTCTGCTGCTTCTGCTGCCTCTGCAATCGGTTGCAGGGTTATTTTTGTCGGGAGCACCGCTATCCGTACGCTGTCACCGCTATCGGGTCTTCCACCCCGTCCTGGGCCCAGGGCTCGTTGCCCAGCAGGCGCTTCTCAATCGGACGCCCCCATAGTGACGCCAGGTGCCGACCTTCTGGAGCTTTGTGATGTCACTGCGGGTGCGACGACAAACGGACGGACATGGGCGTAGCGTAGGCACGGGGCCGTGATGCTTGGCTTCGTATTCCCAGAAAAGAAAACGTTGACCGAGAGAGCGAGCCCACACGATCCAGTTGACACGAGACGGAGCAATCATCTCCATGACTGACGGCCTCCATTCCTCTGGGCCGACAGAGCCCCTTTGACGTTGCAGTCCCCGTGCCAGAGGCACACGAAGACGCCGACAGGTTCCAGCACCTCATGCCAGGCAGGAAAATACGAGAAAATCGGCAGAAAAAGTCGGGCATCGGAGGCGTAAGCGAGTAAGCGATCGGGCCCAAGTCATTGGTTCCAGCCAGCCAGAGCGTCCTTCTTTGGTCTCCGTCGCCCCGTTCCCCGGCCCCTGTCTGACCCACGTTGTTAGCCCCTTGATCCCTACCCCTGTCTTACCTGTCGTCTTTGCAGCTTTCGTTATCCAACCCCCTTCGATTTGTTGATCTTGTCTCGCGGAGCGGCACGAATGTGTTTGGTGATTGTCAACAGAAACCGTTTTCAAATCACAACATTTGGCCCGGCTTGGCCATCACTCGTCATAATGCCCATATAGACTGTCGACTCTGCCAATTCGAACATCAATCCCGACCATAACCAGGATGAATGGTGATTCTTGGTCTTATCTGATACGCGGAGATGTGCGTTATGACATGACAGGTGACGAAGTGTGACGTTTTTGTCAACGCCGAGCTCGACAATTGTGTCTGAATGTCTGGATCTCTGACAGTCCGACGGCTGCGATCATTTCCTAAACTCCTCCCAGCCATCAAAATCCGAGGTAAAAGACCATCAATCCTTGCAACACCATGGGAGCCGCTCACGTTGATCTTAATTTGGTGCTTCTTGCTCGTGTAGATGCACACGTTGCTGCTACAACTGCACATCAGCTCATCCGCCTGTTGAGTTCCGTGGAGCTGGCTCCGCCCGGCGTGTCCGTGCAAGCGGAAGCAGATTCAGTATGCCAAGGAGACATGATGCGGCCGCCGGATCTGGCGGCTCATCGACAAGAGCGATTTAGCGAACAATGACACTGGCCGCGTAGCACGCCCAGGAAAAAGCTGGCCCGGCCTGTTGAGGCTCGGTCGATGCTAGGGTCGTATCGTGAATAAGCTCCGCGCGGTCTTGCTCACCTTTCTTCTTGTCCCGAGGTGCGAGGTTGGGTTGCCCTCCTTGTCCCTCCTGCCACCCAATACGGATAGCTCTGGCAGAACATAAAGAGGATGGTTGTAGCTCGGGGTGCTGCCGTTGCAGCCAATTCGATGCTGCTGTGACCATTGCTGTTGCAGTTGACGCAGGTCGCCATCCTGGTCAACCCCAAGCTCAGCCTGAAACTCCAACCCCTCCTGACTGAATAGACTTGATCGAGTCTTTGTCCGTTTCGGTCTGTAAGCAACTTGTGCCTACAATACATAAGCTATTGCCCGCCACCAAACACACTTTCTCAATCGTCAAACACGCCAATGCAGTTGTACGAGCCGAGGCGCAATCATTGGCCTGTAGGATGCGAATGGTGGCCAAAAGAGAGACATGGTCGCCTCTGCTGAAAAACTGCAACTAGTCCCGCAACTCAATTGTCGCCGTACTCCATCGTGAAGTCTCAGAGACGTGCAGGAGGTGGTGTCGAGAATCTTGCCCCTTGACCGGCGCGTGTCTTTCCAATGCCGGGCCTGACCATTTCTTTGTTGACTTGGTGAGAACAGTACGTAGCAGCAACACCTTTGTCCTCACCTGATGCCACACTGGGAGCTCTGTGGCAGCTCTGGCCAGGCCATAGGTGGGCCAGTATCGCTGGACGCCGGGATGGTCTCGAGCTGGGGCTGACATGTCTGACGTGTCACGGTTGTTGATAGATGCGGCCTCGTGCTGCAGCTGCATCAATCCGAGATGCAGCCATCACAAGATGTTACCAACCCGGGGAGGCGGTATCGAGAGAGCCTGCCGCTCGGCGTCAAGTCGCTCGGGAAGGATTCTCTTCGTTGGTGCTGATCTGGGATGGGCGCGGGGAGTGACTCTGGCGTGTGCATCCACTGGTCGATCGTCGTCTATATTTATCCCAGCGGGGACGACATTCGAGGTCTAGCCCTCAGTGGTTCCATCTCAGCCTGGAAATGTGACCTTGACTGGGCCGTTGAGGATTCATCCCAACCATGATTGATAGATGAACTGGTGCATCTCTGTGTAAAGAAAAAGATGGGTGAGGTCGGTGTTACTGTCACATCTTTTCGGATGGCACCTTCTTCACCCGTGAAACCGTTTAGGTGGGTGAGCAAAAAGGACAAATGAGACAGCAGAAGAGCCAAGAAAAATCCAACCCCTCTTTAATATTATGAATGATATAGGTACCAAGAGATATCCTGCCTTGTTTCTCACCTTGAGGATAGGAAGTAATGGTGTCTCCTTGACCTGCGTGCCATTGAAAGCTGAGCTTGATTCACGTGACGTCTTGTGTGGCTTCTGTGTGCTGGCTCAACAAGTGAGGCAATGTGTTGAATTTCTTGGCTCTCGATCGAACCGATGAAACCCCTTACCGAGGAAGTAAAAAACAAGAAACTTACTACGAGGCTCGGAATAAAGAGCCATGTGCTAGGGAATAAACTAGACCTGCTAGATTACCAAATTGAGCGTCTTTTGCGTGTCATGATACTCAGAGTTCATGAGGCTGTCGATCCTCAGCCACTATAACACGTTCGTGGCTTGTGCCCCTGGCTGCGGCTGACTGATGCCAAAGGCTGACGAAACATATGGTCGCCCGACTGAGAAGGCCACTTTCACATGATGACGGCTGTTCAAGCTTCTCTTCCATGTCAACCAAAACCGTCGGTGTGGGAACGTGCTCCGATTGTAAAGCCGCTGACTCGGATAATCTCCAATTCAATTCATATTCGTTCCAACCAAGTCACCCTCCCTGCGACGAGCTCTCAACGTCCTTATTTGATGCGCCTGCGCACCCCTACCATCTTCAATGATACCGCTGCGTCCTCGACAGCCTCGTCATGACAGAGCATCTTAGCCCCGAGTCGCTGAATTCCCTCGACCCCGATGAGCAATCCAGCTTGAGAGTGCGCTCGCGATCTCCTCATCCATACCATCACCAGAATACCGACCTCCCGCATCTGTCAGATCGATTCTCCCTACGTAACCGCCAAGCGCAATCGAGCGGGAGTGGTGACGACGCCCAGCTTGAGCCATCCAGCACAGCATGGCCCCCTCTCCCTAGGGACTCGCCTCAAACGAGTGACAGCGGATCCGAAGCTGATGATGAACACTTCTGGAAAGGGCTACCAGCGCCCAAAACGAATCTACACAAAGGATTGAGGGGTCTCAATGAGCCGCTTTCTGGATCCTCAACGCCTTTGCCCTCACCAGCAACGCTGGACGGCCATGCTGTTCGCGCTGTGGAAAAGGCGCTCACCCCTGTCGATACACCGGAGTCACGACGGTTACTTGAAGCCCTTCGACGACGAAGACGAGTGATTGCGCGACGAATAACTGAAGCAGGCATTGTCGTGGCGTTGGGTCTCATGGTAGCTTCGAACCCTCAAGTATCGGGGCTCCTTAATATTTGGGGAAAGGGTATGTGCAGCATGCTTTGTGCGAATCGTATACTGACGTGCTTTAGACATTCTCTTTCTTGCCATTTCTTACACCGGACTACTCATCCTCTACCCTCTCCGAGTCGTGGCATGGGGTTACCGTAACCATTCTCCCACTCACCCAATTCCTCTCGAACTTCCTGCGCATTTCGATCCCGCGCCACTACTATATCCTCCAGCAATCACCCTTTTCGTATCTCTCCTTGTTTGCTCCAATAACCCGGCTGGAATTCTTCCGAACCTTGTACTCAGTCTCTGTTCCATCCCTCAGAGCGTCATTCCAAAAGTCAACCCTTATGCCACCTACGATGTGATAGCGTGGGGGGTTTCTTGCCTTCCGTTGGTCTGGAGCCCGCGACAGCGCGAGATTTTCGAAGTCGAGAATCCAGACAGTTTTATATCTGAGGAAACGGCCGTCTTGCTGTATCCTCTGCACCAATCATTATGCGTGGTGCTGCACCACCTTACAACCACGAGTCTCTTGACGGCTGAGCTCCAGCTGCTGTCAATTGCACTCATTAATGTGCTACTTTTGGCCTCTTCACCACAAATTCAGATCCTCAAAGCCCTGCTTTGGGGAGGTGGCCTCAGCTTGCTTGTCTTCTGCGGTCCTGTCATAAGATGGGGAATTGCTCTGGCCAGAGTCCCCAAATGGCGATTTCGCAGGGCATCAGTCTCTCAAAGCCCTCCTCTGTGGAAGTCACTAGCTCAAGCATTCTCATTGCGTCGGATGAGGAATGAGCTACTGAGGACGAACTTTGAGGAGACGGTTTATGACACGGTTGGCTCATCCGAGGATGAGGCTGGGCCCCTGTTCAGGAAGCCTGCAAGAGTCAAGACTTTTGGGCCAAGTTATCCTGTGACAGCGGATGCTGACAGCGTTCCGTCATCTCCCACGGCTATCGACGACGCCTTTGCCAATGGCACTTCCTTTGTCCGAAGACATACTCTGTCACACATGGACCATGTCGTTCGACGGAATGCCACGCATACTCCTTCAGGGCGCAAGAAACGGGCAACCTCAATGTCTGTTCGACCCTTTTTCAAGCTCACCCAAGAGCAGGCTACATTGAGGAAGTGGTTGTATGCAGGATATGTGTATGCTTGCATCTTGACCATCATCCTGGTTGGTATCCGCACATATGTCCAGAAATTTGCCATGGGCGGCAACGAGCCCATCGGCTGGGCTTTGGGATACCTCTTTGGAGACCTGCCTTGGTTCAGGTACCAAGTGGTTATGGCCAATCTTGAACGGTGGATCTGTCTACCAGCACGATCAGAATCAGAGCCAGGAAAGCAATGCCACTTTGGCTGGGTGCAGCATGTTCGCCATGACGACTTTGGCGAAGCAAACACCCGGCTCTTGCTGAGCGTTTACTGGTTGGGTATCTTGATTGTCGGCCTCATCATTGTCTTCCGTCTGAAGGATATCTACGAGGTTGACACACGGCGGAAGGTATTCCACTTCATGATGGTTGGCATGTTTCTCCCTGCAACTTACGTCGACCCTACCTACGCAGCTCTGGCTCTCTCTTTGATTTTAGCCGTCTTCTTGATACTTGATCTTTTGAGAGCAAGTCAGCTTCCTCCTCTTTCGAAACCGATAGCGTCGTTCCTTGCTCCGTACGTGGACGGAAGAGATTTCCGTGGCCCTGTCGTCATTTCGCACATCTTCCTCCTTATCGGTTGTGCAATCCCTCTCTGGCTAGCTCTCGCCTCGATCCCGAGGACTGGATCCGGCTATCTTGTAGGCTGGGAGGTGCCAACTCGTGAAGTCAGCATGGTGTCTGGCGTTATTTGCGTGGGCCTCGGAGACGCAGCTGCCTCCCTCATCGGCCGCCGCTACGGTCACCGGAAGTGGCTTTGGGGCGGCGGGAAGAGTCTAGAGGGCAGTGTTGCATTTGCCATAGCTGTGTTTGCTGGCTTGGCTGCTGCCAGCATCTGGTTGAAGGTTGGCGGCTGGCCCGCCACGAGTGAGCAAGCTGGTGTTTTCGCCAGTGCGCGGAATTCAGCAATGTGCGCCTCGATGGCGAGCCTTACGGAGGCCGTATTGACAGGCGGGAACGACAATGTCATCGTACCTGTGGTCCTTTGGACATGCGTAAAAAGCCTCGGTATTTGATACAGTGGTGACGGCGTTTGATGGTGGTCCTTTGGTCGGATGGAGAAAATAGATGAGAGGGGCGGCAGGCGGCTGGATAGAGATGAATGAATGTTTTATGAGACTTTAAAAAGGAAGACTTCTCTTCAGGTCTTGGGGGAGTGGTATCCCCGAGATGTACTTTCTATACCCCTAAGATAATATAGCAATCATCCTTCAGTTCCCACAGCCAACTCCTACGCCAAATATGATGTGTTATGCTTTTACGTGTACGGTAGTGATTATCCAAATTATGACATGAGATCCTCCAAGATTGCCTCCAACTCATCCTTCCGGAAGGGAAGACTCAGCAACTCTGTTCCTAGGGCGTCTGTGATACTCTTGATGATATGGTGGTCGTGGAATCTACTCCTCGTTAGCAACAGGTTGATATAAACCGAGAAAGAGGGTACTTACTCCTTTAGCAGAGTCCGGAAAGCCATCTCGGAACTGCAGATAAACTCCTCCACCGCCTTGTTATACACCATCCTGTATTCCACGCCTGTAGGTTCATCGCCGCCATCGCCCTCTTCTTCCATGGCGATGAGAACCTCACCTACCAACAAGCGGAACAGGTTCTTTGCATTCTCGGGCAAACTGCGCAAGACGAACGCAACACCCTCGCGGCCATTAACACGGTGGGCATTGCGGCCGAGTAGCTCATGAACCTCGTCAACAACATCGAGCTCAGCAGTGTACGCCGCAAATGTTGTACAATCATGGAATACCAGGTTGAGAGCAGAGCGTACGCCGATATCCCAAAGCAACGCAAAATCGGGTGTGTCAGCAGAGCAGATCAAACGTATACGGGGATGTGCAGCGAGCTGCGCAAGAGCAGCTTGAGAAGCGGGCTTGCGGAGTGGTGCTGCGTCTATCGAGTTGACAATGAGGGTGAGTGTCATTGATGAGTTGGCGAGGTGAGAGAGGACGGCTTGAACCATGACGGAGGGCTGAGCAAGTGGAATGCGCTGAGAAGGGTCGATAGCAGTGCCGACAGTGCTAAGGATCTCGCGCATCGTCGTAGTTGGAGCGTAGCCATTGATGATCACAATCTTGTCTCCCTTGTCCCGCCTACTTCGAGCGTGAAGATGTCCTGCAAGTTTGTGTAATAACCGCCGTTTCGAGCCATAACCGTAGAGACACAAATTGAAGCCCTGAGACAGCTCAAACGACCATTGCGGAAAGGATTCAGCGTGTAGACTCTCCAAGTACTCGATATCGGCTTCATGATGGTCTTTGTTCTCCCTAATTATCGTAAAGTACTCGTCGTGGGTGAGCAAAGAGAGTGATCCGAGGGTATTGTTCGACGTCTTTGGTCTTCCGGGCTTGTTGTGGGCAAAGTATAGTTCGTGAGGAGGCAGGTCTCGAGGAGGGCTTGGAGATCTGGTCTTCTTGGGTCGCCCCCTTGGCTTTGGGGTCCTCTTTGATGGTGTCGCAGCTTCGTCTATGGTTGATGCGTCTGCGGAAATCGAAATGCCATCCTCGCCCTCTTCCTCATCCTCGCTCGAGTCGTAGATATGCCTCGTGAGTCCTTCGTCTTCCTCATCTGTGAGGTTATCGCCCACCACATGTTCTATGAAGGCTCTTGCGCTCTTCTTCCTTGCGGATCGATCTGCAGCCCGAGGGGTGGCGGCACTCAAAGAAAAGGCCGCAGATTTTGTAGGGGTTTGGAAAAGGGCGGTGCGACTCGCTTTCGGTGTGGGTGTTTCTCCATTCACAGCCTTCTTCGGGGGTCGACCTCGACGTCGAGGAGTGGGTTTAGGGGTCTCGTCATCGTCGGTCTTGAATGATTCAGTGCTAGTAATCGCAGGGCTTTCAGTGCCATTCGTAGCGAAGGCCTCAGCCTGACTGTCAGAATCATCGGTGACTACCGGGGAGTATCGAGCTGAGCTTCGTATGCGCTTCGAGGGAGTCGTTTCGAGGTCTGATTCTGGGATTGCATCGAGCTCTTGGTGGCTTCGTTTTCGGAGAGATCGTGGCTCTTCTGCCGGAGGATTGCCTGGCTCGAGAACAGCCTTTTTCCGTGGCATGATGGAGATTTATGTAGAAGCAAGATCAAACTGGATCCCTACAGCGACTGATTTGCCTTATTCAAAGGTGAACAGGGGTGACGAAGGAGATGCAGTGACCAGTCGCGTTTGAGTAACGCGTTCCTTGCTAAATTGGCTGTGGCGCCTTGTGGCGCAGAACATGTGGCGCGAGCTTTCAACTTCCTCTCAACCACCATTCACTTCGCTCACAACATCACGGTCATCAACCTTTGAAACTGTATCACGATGAACTTGAATCTCTCCGCATCATTAAATATTACAAGGCTATTCTTCAAGCCGAGTCTTTGTCTGCCTCATCACACTGTATCCACCTTCAATGAACTGCCAATCCCTTTGGAGAAGGGACTGCAGAAGGATGGCCGAAAGGTAGAGATCAAGGCAGTCGTCCTTGACAAAGACGATTGTTTTGCCTACCCTGATAGCATTGAAGTCTACGGTCCCTATCAGGTGAATAATCAATGATCTCGGGAGAGACACATAGAGTCATTTGCTAAGGTTGCGACAGAGTCACTTTGAGAAACTGAGGCAAGCATACCCCGGTCGGAAGCTGCTCGTGGTATCAAATACCGCCGGGGCAACTTCCTGGGACAAGAATATGAAGCTAGCCTCCGAGGTGGAGAGGAACACAGGCGTTCCAGTTCTTCCTCACGCAGTCAAGAAGCCAGGGTGCGGGGAGGAGATCATGGAATACTTCCAAAAGCATCCAGAAACAGGCGTCACTGACCCTGCGCACATTGCATTCGTCGGCGACAGGCTAACGACGGATATGATGCTCGCAAATATGACTGGGGGTTGGGGGTTCTGGGTGAGAGACGGGGTGATCCCTTTGGAGAAGAAAAGCATTGTGAGTTGAATATGAGTAACCTCAAATGGCAAATAATAACTTACCGGAAACAGTTTTCGAGGGCTGAGCGACACTTATCATCGTTTCTCCTTTCTCGGGGGGTTCATGCGCCTGAGCCTCGCAGCATATTCGAGGAATAACTGTCGTCTGATATTGTTCCTATTGTCACTGTCAACCTACCGCCAGCAAAATCGGCCTCGATCAAGCAGCCTATTTCGGATTGCTCGTCCCAAATAGGTGAATCACCAACAATACCTATTGTATTGTCTTCTATTCAGCGCCCTGCCCGTGCCCAATTCTCAACACAACAATGATCCAAAAGATCACGACAATACAATTGGGACTGAATCACCCATCTTGGGACATTTTGCAACACCACCCCAACCTATAAATCTTCCCTCTGATCCTCCCGTTTGTAAATTTTATCTCGAGACTCAACCTCTTCCAAACAAGTTTGCAAACGCCGACTCTCTCGTAGCACTACTTGACCAATCATCGATCGCATCTCTCTCCCTCTCTGATACCCACCCACCACGACAAGCCTTTTGCTCTGCTTCTTCTGCGATTTTTTGCAAGATGGGCGGCAAGGTTTGGTCCACTGAAGAGGAGCGGGTCTTTTGGGAGGTCGTTGTCCCCGTCTCGCCTCACGCTGCCAACCCTGCTAAGCGTCTTTTGACCTGGCCGCAATGTGCTGAGCTCATGACTCGAGAGGTTGGAGCCAATGCCCGTCGCGAGTACACCAACACGATGCTCTGTAAGCAGTAATATCACAGGTTTCTCCGTTTGCGCTAACAAACAAACAGATGAGCATCACTATCAGAACTTCAAGCCCGGCGCCAAGTCCCCCAAGGCCAACCCCTTCTTGGAGAAGCACCTGCGAGACATTGGTAAGTTTACGTTCGTTTTCCCCGTTTGTGATTTTTGAAAATTGACAGTGCAAACAGAATGGTACAAGGAGAACAAGACTTCGCCCCCTCCTGCTCCCGCTCAAGCTCCTACTTCGGACGACACTTTGACCTCTCTTCTGAACGAGATCAACAAGCCCAAGCCCAAGGCGAAGCGTGGGCGCAAGGCCGCCCTGCCTGCTTGTGATGGCCCAGGAGTCGGCGTTGATTTTATGTACAAAGCTGCCTATGGGCGCGATCTTGCAGAGGATACGGCGCTGTTCATGGACTTCCACCACGGCGGACAAGACAGTCTTACCAACGCTGCTACCAACACTACTGTCGACTCTTCTGCCAAGCCCGCTGTTTCCCGTGCTGCTAAGTCAGGGACTACTACAACTCCGGACGCCGCGGACGTGTACAAGTTTATTACTGAGCGCGGGCTTCCAGGAGGTGGTCTTTCGTTCTTCACGCCCATCAACCAGGGCGGACGAAACACTGTTGCCAGCTCTTCCGCCAATCTTGCAGCCAGCACTGCCGCCAGCACTGCTACCAACTCTTTTGCCAAACTTGCTATCGCCCCTGCTGCCAACTCCTCCGCCAACTCGTTCGCCAACCCTCCTGCCGGCAACTTGGGTTCTGCGCCCGGTCCTCTTGCGTCCGGCCAGCGAAAGCCCTCAATGGCAATCCGGCGCCAGGCCAAGGCTACCAAGTTTGCGCAGCCTGTCAGACAGCCATCTACCTCGCAGGCGCCCGTCACCCAGCCCTCCGGACCCAATGCTCTTCTCAGCCGCCAGCCTCAGTCTTTCGGGAGTGGCATTCGTGGCACGACCACAGGAGCTTACCAAGATGTTCGACGCACTCAGGGACTCACCGCGACCACTACCACCCAAACTCAAGGTTCTTCTTCGTATGCCCCATTCTACCAGAACTACGCGACGACTTCTCAGCAGACCCCTACCCGAGCTTCTTACCAGACGTCCACCCAAGCTCCTGGCCAGTCTTCTGTCCAGCTTACTTTCCACACTCCCGCCCCAAGCAAGGAGGAAGGGCCTCTTAGACTGCCCTCTATTCGTGAGATGTTCCCTTTCACATTCACGGGAGGAAAGCAGGAGGTGTTTGCTCGCCAGGTGGCTGATGCCATGCTGCAGAGCCGAAAGCGCAGCATCTCTGTCGAGGATGAGGAGATGCCCGCTCCCAAGCGACGACCTCTTCCTGACCACCCCACCCCTCACCAGAACTAGACGAGCCACAGCGGTCTCATGAGCGCAACTGATTCAGCACCCGAGTCCAAGGATTTGTGACACACGATGGGGATGGCTTTACGACTTTATGACAAAGGGATAATGAATATTTGCTAACGAGAGAGACTGCGGCGGACTATCAGGAACGGATATGTGATGGTTGTAATTCACAAGCATGGAAGGTCTTGCAGGACGAGACTTGACCAGGGAATTGTGATGGGGGGTGAAGGAAGGGTTTACAAGGTTTACATCCATGGTTCCAGTTTTGTAAGGATTTAGTTGATCCGCGCAGATACTCCGAGGTTAGCATTCAAGTAATTTTGGTCGACTTTCAATGTGCCTCTTGAGGTGATATGATATTACCTGTCTTGGTAGGTGGGGGTAGTGATCCTGAAGTTGAAGTTGACATTGAAGCCCCGCGCCAAGATCAAGGCCGGAAGGGTGGGGCCGATATCATCCCGCCCCCGGAAAGCGGTGGCAACTGGCAAAAATCTTTCCTCCGAAAGATTTCCAAGGTCCATTCAGCCGTAGCTAAACCCGCGATAACCTCCACGACATCCAACGCAGCCACGATGAACTTTCCCGGGACCGCTCCTCCGACTGCTGCCACCGCCGCCGCTGCGGGCGCAATGCCCACACCCGGCGGACCTCAAGATCCCAACGTCAAAGCTGTACGTTTACCCTCTCGGCATGTGGAGGGGTCGCAAAAGTTGACTAACTCGTGAGAATTGTAGGTTCAAGCTGCGATGGAGTCTTGTTATGGAAAGTCGGTCATGTCTGGAGTGATGGGTTTTGGTATGGGCGGTGTATTTGGAATGTTTATGGCTTCTGTACGTCCTCAACTCTTTTCCATCCTTGAAGAATCACCAGCTAATTCGCTCTCTCATTAGATGTCCTACGATACACCCTACCACACAGCCGCCCCCGGTGCCCCGCAGACGACAATCAGCTCCCTCCCGCTAAAAGAGCAGCTCAGAATCGGCTTCAAGGACATGGGAACACGGTCATGGTCCATGGCCAAGAACTTTGGCAAGGTTGGAGCTCTATACTCGGGCATCGAGTGCGGTGTCGAGGGTCTCCGCGCAAAGAACGACCTCACCAACAGTGTCGCAGCCGGATGTCTGACGGGCGGTGTTCTCGCAAAGAACGCTGGTCCTCAGGCTGCTGCTGGTGGATGCTTGGCGTTTGCGGCGTTTAGTGCTGCTATTGATGCTTGGATGAGGTCGCCTGCCAAGGATGAGTAAAGAAAGATATGAAGCGACAAAAATGGCGGATCGTGTTGTACAGATATGAATGTTTTTGTGGGAGTTTTGGGGGTTTTATTAGAGCATAGGGATGGCGTTGGGAGACGGACTTCTCTCTCCTCTTTGGATCTTTGGCCCCTGGCGGATGTGCCAATGGCGGAATAGACGATTGTACGTGTATAACAGAGGTGTGTAATACATAAAACGCTTCAAAGAGGAACGAGTTTGCAAGGAAAGAGTTTATGATTTTGTCTATTCTTCAACGTATATCTATCTACAAACAGACTAAAAGTCAAACACAATGTCCCTTTTCCTCAACGCCGCGCTTCGAATCATAAAACAGAGTCGTCCATACTAATCCAACAATCAAACTCAAGAGGTCTGATAAACCTCGAAAGATCCAAACTCCCAGTATGCATTCTTGAAAGCATCGGGGTTGTTAGCAACGAGATCAGTACAGTTGCTCGGACCTACAATCGTCAGTCTATCTCTCTTCCAATTTGACCATATCAACTTACATCCAGATTCATCCCAGACGGCATAGACCAACTCGCCGCACAAGTCAATATTTGCAACGATGCTATTGTTCTTAAAGTGAGAACCAATGTTACAGTCCGTGTTGGGAAAGTCGGCGAGGGCAGTTCCCCAGGTGCTCGGGTCGGGTTTCTTGCTCGTGATGTCAGAGGGGATAGAGTCTCTGGCAAACTGCCACATTCTAATACCCTCGTCTCGCCATTCCATTGCCATGATTCCTCCGCCGTTGTTGTTGAAGCTCGTTCCGTAGCCATCGTCGTCGGATTTGACACCACAACCGGCGTTATCGTTCTTGCTGTGGTCGCAGTTCTTCTTTAACGCCTTACCAGTAGCTTTTCGTCGCACATCCATGGAGCAGCCAGATGTAGTATGTAGTGTCATTTGGTTCCCGTCGGCAGCCTGATTCGTAGCCTCCATAACATCGATCTCGCCATTGTCGGGCCAGTTGGAGTGATCGGTAAGCCAGAGAGCGGGCCAGGTACCGCAGCCGTAGGGAGTGTGCTTGACGTCAAAGATGAAGAGACCGTTATCGTAGGTGTTCTTAGACTCGACACGCACTGAGAAGCGACCTGTTGAAGCGTTGGGTTCATCGTTGGGGCCGACGGATGTGTCGACTCGGAGGATGGCGGAGCTCGACGAGGCGTAGGTCAGGTTCTGTGGAAGTTAGTATCACGACAACGTTGAAGGTTAATAGAGGAGTTGTACAAGAGATGTTGCTTGATCTTTGGGAACATAGTGAACGAAGCCCCCGGCTAGAGTTGTGTCAGTTGGTGAACTGTAGAGTCAGAGGTATACTTACTAGGATCGTATCCAGTAAAGTAGTTGAAATTGTCAAAGAAAGACTCTCCATCAACTGTGACAACTGTTAGATCCAACCTCTGGTAAGCAAAGAATAATAACCAACTTGTATCTTTCAGACTATACGAAAGCGTCGTATAGTCTGGGTACGCATTCTTCTTCGTCTGTGTAACCGCAACTGCAATAATGATTGCGAGGATAACGAGGATAGCAATCACGACTCCCGCCCATACTCTCTTCCTCCAGTATCGCGGGTTCCACCAGGGCATACTCGGAGAAGCACGTCGGACATCCTGTCCTGGCCTGGAGAGCATGATCTCGTCGTACGCAGGTGGTATCTCTCCAGGTTTAACTTCAGGTATAAGTCGAGCCATTGTGTTGACTGTCAAGTGTAATCGGGTGTGTAAAGTTGATGTTGAAGAAAGAATGCCGGAGTCTTCTGGGTAAAATCACAGAATATAGTGGTTCAAAGAAACTACTGAAACACTTACGCCTCACTTGGTACACGCAATGCCCAAGGGTATGGAGCCATGATAAACACCACCACGGGCTACGACTCCGGAATGCCAACACTCAATCTATCGATGTTTCTTCTCCTTCCCCCCACATACCCGTATCCACACCCACGCTTTTCTGTGTGGACACCGTAAAAAATCAAGGCTGTGCTCCGGTGAGGATATCCATGATGTGCTTAATCAGGGGTTGCGAGGCCAACACGAAGAAAACCACTACCCAAAAAAGGAATCACATCAGTCAGACTAAATTCCCATCAAATAGAATCAGTTCAAAGAGAAAAGGCCCCAGAAATAAGTTTGCTGCAGGTTTCCTTGCAAGGGAGGGAGTGTGTGGCTGGCTGCTTGGAACAAGAAAGACGCGTAATCTGGACCACGACCACGACCGAAACGATCGATCGATCCTCCCAGATCCCGAACATAGCGTCACCCATTCCTGTCTCCACAGGTGAAACCAGACTCTTTTTGGTCTGCTTGTCCGGAGATAAAAGAAGAAAAGACAAAACTTTCCCCTGGTTTATCATGTTCATCCCGTCGGTGATCCGGACGAGGTCCACTGGACGCTAGAGCACTTACATATACGAGGCCATGTGGTATGAATGGTAACCCCGACGGTGTTATTGGTAAGCGAGCAATGGTCTCGATAGGCGATTCAACAATGAAATCTTTAAAAAGCAACCATTGCTCATCTTGATGGAGGGTTCGCGTTGGGATGGAAGTGCTGCTCGGGAGTGAACAAGAGCCCGAGCCGTCACCTATCGCTGCGGTGTGATGTGCTATCATTTGAAAGTCGCGATAAGACGAAACCATATATTACATGTCATTTGCCTAGAAGAGTCAACTCCTTGTGTGTTGCAACATAAACCTTTTGTTTATCACGAGAAAGCATCCTTCACTGTCAAATTTGTGAGTGTGGGCAGGTGATTTGAGTCAGGCACCAGAGACACTTCTGTCTAACTCACAGAATCGCTAAAGCACCTTTTTCAAAGCGATTCAACGTGTCTTGGCATGATTGATAAGTTACGGATTTAAGCGTCTATGAATAGAACGCCCGCCAAGAGTGGCATCATTTCAAGAATCCTAAACAAGGGCCCTTGACATCAACAATTGCAGTATTGTACATTGTGAATAGAGCTACATCACATTCTTAGTAAAACAAGATAGAATGATTCTATCATACAAGCCATGACACAGAAACATCCGACATGGCAATAGCCTCATACTCCCGACTCTAAACGGCCAAAGTCCTCGAAATGGCAACAACAGCGCAAAGCCAAGCTCCAATATCCGTCGTAAGCATCCTCGTCATGTTGACGCTCAGCCACCTCCTCAACATGCCCACATTATCCGTCTTCTCCTCAGCGCACGTGTCGTCCATGAGATTCTTGAGCTTCCAAGCGACGGCGGGCACATAGACAAGGTGTCCCAGCGCGAGCGCAGCCGTCCCCGCGTAAAATGCCGTCGACCCGCGGCTCCGCAGGAGAGGTCGCTCCAGCCACACAGCGGCGAGAGAGGTCCAGAAGGTTGTGCCGATGAGTGACACGACTGCCCACGGCCCGGAGCCGAAGAAGCCGGTGATGTAGGTGGGGAGGATTGCGTTGGCTTGTTTGTCCTCTACGGGTGGGCGGGTGAAGATTTTGAGGAAAAAGTCTTGGTCCCAGGCGAACCAGAGGGAACAGGTTGATGAGACGAGTGGTGTCACCAGGAGGAGTGTCCTGGGATTGAAGAAGGCGCCAGAGGCCATGGTGGCTGTTGGTTGAAGTCGAGATGTGGTGATAGCTTGAAGTACTAAGACTTGGTGTTGAGGTGAGATTGAATGAATGCAAGATGCAATGCAATTAATTACCTCGTGCAGTTCTAGTCTTTAACTGTTATAAGAACCTACCCAAGCCAAATCTGTTGGTAGTTCCTTCTCAATTGATCCTTCAAATCATCTGATCTCACTCGCGACGCGAAAACCCTCCGACTGCCTCTCATCGTTCTCACCATCTCCACACAGACGATCCATCTCTGTCGCATTCCGGAGGTTTTAAAACGTCACAAAGCCTCCGATGTTACAGGCATGTTGGTTCAAAACCTCCATTGACGATACAATTATTTTACAGACTATCGCATGATCTCTCGAGTTTCATTCCGGGTTTTTTTCTTCATCATTTAACTAATTCACATGCCGGCATCGGAAGCTGTTCTCAACTCGTTACACTTTCATACAGGTTGACCACATTAGTCAATCTCAAGCCTCAAAGCGTCGTACTGCACATAAACAGAAGCCGGCAGCACAGCAGACTCATAGTCGGTAGCGTTGTAAGGCAGACTCAGCACAATCTCGTTCTCGCCCTTGCTCAAGAGACCAGCGTCAAAGACAAACTTGTGCGCAATGTTGTAGCAACTCACAGAAGAGCGCACGGCACACGAGCTGCTGTGGTGATATCTTGAACAAGTTAGCACTGACATCTTCTAGAGGGGGAAGCACACTTACGGAATAACCCACGGCTCAAGATCCTTGCCGTTGATGTTGACCGTGTACTTGAGGTTCGAGTGAGGCTCCGAGGCGTTGTACACATCCGTATTTCCGGCGGCAGTCTTGGCTCCAGCGAGCTGAACTGTAAAGGTCGCCTGCTTCTTGCGCTTGACCTGAGATTCCTTGAGATCAAAAGCGATGGTCCAGTTGTTGACATCGCCGTTACCGACATAAGCCTCGGGGCGAACGTAGTTTGCCCGTCCACCAAACACGCTCCAGTGCACATAGTTGAGGTCCTTGCCGACATCGCTCTCGCCAACCTTGAAGTGAACACCATCGGGGTAGTCCTTGGGGAAGTCGTATTGTGCCCAATAGATGCGGTATTGCTCCGGCTGCAGCGGCTTGGACGTAAGCGGCTCAAAGCCATGGCGGTACTCACCCGAGGTCTTGTCGGGGGTTCCAATGCGCCAGAGCTCCTTGCCCGAAGTTTCTTCCTTCCAGGTGACCTTTGTCTTTTCAGTCTTGCCAGCCTTGATCTTGATCTTGTCCTTGGTGAACTGTCCAAAGATGCCATCAGCGTAGACGGTCAGACGGTACATGCCAGCCTTGACCATGGGAATGGTGGCTCTGCCGCTACCATCAAGATTCGCCCAGTACTGGTAGGCGTTGACATCAAACACATTGTCTTGGAAGTCGACACCGCTCTGGGCGAGAACGGCGATGGGGTTCTTGGCTCCCTTGGGCAGATCGACCCTGACCTCAAAGGTGCCGCGGTTCTTGGATGGGACGTAGTTGGGGACATGCTTGGCGATCGAGTCGTAAAAGTCGGCGTTCCACTCAGGGTCCGCATACTGAGCGGCATCGGCCTGAGCAGTCAGGATATCCGTGTCGGCAGGGAAGCGGTTGAAATGGTAGTATTGCTGTCTGCGGTTAGACATGTTCATCTCTCCTAACTCGGGGTATACTTACAGGCCCGAATGTGCGGTCGAAGCCATGGGTAATGTTGGGCTATTACTTCTCAGCAAGCTATCAAAAGGCCATGGTTATGGTTGCTTACAGTCTGGTCTCCGTGGTGGTTGGAGCTGATGTAGTTGTAGAGAATACCATCCACAGTCAGATCCGAGTGCAGAGGTCCTCCAAAGTAGGTGTCCTTGGTGTTCATAACAAGCCAAGCACCATAAGCATCACCATCCTCGGTCTTGGAGCCATCGGCGAACCTTTTCAAATCAGCAATCATTCCCAAAACCACGCAAGAGGCACTTACAGTCCATAGGCGTCGATATCACGCCAGTTGTCCTGGAACGTGTACTTTGTAAAGTAGTCCGCCTCCTGCTTGACATAGGCATCATCAGGCGTGTTGCCCATATACCACGTCGCATCCTGCACCACGACCTGCTTCGACTGGGCCTCTTTTCCTGGGAGAGGCGCGTAATGCTTCTCGTTGGTCAGGAGGTGCGTCCACATCTCGCTGTTGGGCCGGAACATGGTGCGCAGCTCTTGGAGGTTGCGCAGGAACGGCTGCTCCTCGTTGTGGTAGGCCACCCTGCTAAAGGTGTGCAGGCCCGTCTCGCCGTCTCGGAGGAACCAGTACTGCTCCAGAACCTGGCCCGTCTCGGTGAACGTGTCGGCCATCATGATGCCGCCGTAGTCCTTGCCGCTCGAATCCTTGCCCTTGAAGAGCTTGTACTTGGGCGTCATGGTGCCGGGGGTCCAGAATCCCTTGGGTGTGCAGTAGCAGTCGAGGTAAGGACCCTGACCGGTAGAGCCCGATCTCGTGCCCAGGAGGTTCGTTCCATCGAGGGTGAGCTTCACGATGGAGCCACCAGGCTTCTGAACAGCGGCATAGAGGCGGTCGTTGGAGATGACCAGCTCAGTGTCGGATTCGGTTGCCTTGAGAGCTGCGGCAACCCATTGAGGTGCCTGAAGCAGCAAGGCGGCGAGGGATACGCTGCGGAACTTCATAGCGGCGGTGGAAGATGTGAGTTTGCTGGAAGCCCTAGCTCTTCACCGACAGCTTCACGAGCTTCATCTCCTTTTTATAAGCTTCCCAGGTCCCCCACAGCCCAGCCCAACCCCCATTGTCATTTGGGGGATGAAGCTTCTAGTCAAGACCTGGCAAGGTGAGCTCGAGTTCCACCGAGCAGGCCCATGTTTCCCCATGGGGAGATGCCGATCGCCTCCTTTCAGGCTAACGGGACGACCGGTTGGGGGAGGTTCCCCATCTTTGCATTCGGGGTTCGGGAGAAAGACTTAGCGAGAGGGGAACCCGGCTGTCAGGAGAAACCCTCTTAGCTCCGGCAAAGACCCTGTTGCGGAATGGCATGGCATGGTGGAATAACATGATGATTCTTGTTCGAGTCAAGGGAATCGCGGGTCGTCGCCTTGGCCCCCCCCGCAAGTCGGGGCCCCGAAGCGGCCATAATTCCGAGGCTGGGGGAGGGGGGCCCAAGAGAGTCCAATTCCACGTATTGGAGATGGAGCTACTCAAAAAGACTTCAACGTGCGTGACCACGTCGTAGCTTTTCGGGGTAAAGTTCTCCAGGCATCCCTGTGTTGCGGTCGAAATTGTATGGCGAAAGGGAGCGGAAATTTGACACACCGACTTGGGCATGACACTTGTGCCTAAGTGCAAGGTCAAGTGAGATGAGTCTTTACTCTGCCTCGTCTTGCTCTAAGGGTGCTACTACGTAGAAAAGCAATCGATGCTGATGATGATTTACAAGGACAGTCCAAGTAGTATCTACACATAAAAGTCGAGTTGGTGTGAAATATCTGCTCCTCAAAGCAAAAGCTGTTGGAACACACCATCCATATTAATCATTGACGCCTGACCTGGGTCTAACTTTATACACCGCACATAACCGTACAATCTGCTGCTTAATCTGAGTCGTCGTCGTCCACTCGTGGCCGCTTTGATTGCCTGTTGTCTTCATCCTGCAGACCGTAACCTCGCTTTGAAGACGAGCCCTGATCCACCTCGGACAGGAATTTGTCCACATTAAAAGGGTCACCGGCATCCTTCTCGAACTGTACTGGTCCCTCTCGCGCCTGGGGGGTGTGTGTTAGCAAACGATTTGACCATTTGGAAGATGAAATACTGACCTCAACCTCGGCGGCGCCCTTAAACGTTCCCTTGCCCAGTGCCTCTCCAAATCGGCTTGACTTTTGAATCTTGGCCATCTCCCTATCTCCTGCCTCGGCGTCATCGTCATCATCCATGTTGGCTCGTGGTCGGTAGATACTGCTGATGGCGTCCTGCGCCGCAAACAGTGGCTTGTCGTAGGGGTTGTCCTCGTTGATGCCGCTATCAAATCCACTCGACTGGTTGAATAGTCGCGAGTCGTACATGGTCTCCTTGGATTGCGTCGGTTTGGCAACACCCAGAGCAATCTTCTCCGAGATATCTCTGCCTTGCTCGCGCGCCATAACCTGGGCTCGGCGCTCGGCACCCATGCGGTTTTGCCGTAGCTTTCGCTCCTCATCTCGCTGCTTCTCCTGTCGTGCCTTGATACGCTCTCTGACCTCTTCGTCCTCGCTATCAGATCGATCAGACTCGGAGTAGCTGTAACTTCGCGATCGTGACCTTGAATCTCTCGAATCTCGGGAATCGTGAGAGTCTCTGCGTTTGCGGCCTGCGCCTGCACGCTCTGCCCGCTCTGCCCTGGCCTTCTGGGCCAGCTCCCGTAGATTATCTTCCTTCTGTGCCTTCTCCTTCTCCGCCAGTCGCTGCTGCATCATGGCGCGCTGCTGAACCTCGTCACGAGCATGACGTTCCGCCATCTTGATAGACTCAGCAAATTGGGCATGCTTGTCGCTGATGGCCACATCCTGCAGTCCCCTTCCGTCTGCCGCCAATCGCTTGTCCAGTGGTACCGTGAAACCCTTGGGGTTCTTCCAGTTTGAGACTGGAGGCGGAATCCTCCACATCTCTTGGTCTTCGGCTGTAAGCTTTCTGGGCGGCGAGTGCATAACTGGCGGAGGGGGCGAGGGTGGTCCTCGAGGAATCTTCTTGTGCTTGAACTTGGGAGGTTCCATAGGATCGCGTTGCCTCTCGACAATCTTCATGATGCGGTCCTGCTTCTTCGAGTTGTCGCCCATCTGGTTCGCCGGTGTGTATCGCACAAAAGTAGCATCCTTTCGCTGGCCAATATTCACATTCTTCGGCTTCTGCGCAGCCACCGCACCGCTGACCAACGCGGCTAAGGCATTCTTAGTCCTTTCCGTTGTTGCCTCGACAGACTCCTTGTCCGGTCGCGAAAGATCAATCTCGCCCGCGTCGGCGCGTTGTCGAAGAGGAATCAGCTCCTTGAACGATGTGTGAACTATGCGGGTTTCGCCGTGGCCTTGTCGCGCGATCGCGTCGTATTTGACCTTGCCCTCGGAGTCGACCTGGATCGCCAGCGCGTTGCTCGTCGTCGCGCCCTTCTTGCCCATGTCGAGCGGGTACTGGGCAATGGGAATCTCGGGGAAAGCGCCTCCATCGCCAAAGTCCTCCTGCGAGCGTGGTCGCCATCCTGATCGCTGTCCGTAGGCTGGAGGGCCGGATCGTTTGAGCACGAGCTGCGTCTCGTCTAGCTGTCCTGGGCCAACGATCCTCACGCCACGCTGCTGCGCTCGCGCGGGAGCTTCCTCGTCCTCACCCGTATACTTAGGCTTGGGCAGCGCAGCCTGAAGCGACCCGGCGATCGACGTCATTTTGTTGTGGTGATGGGGATGAAGTGTTTGAATGTCTTTGAAGATCGCGGAGGCTCCAAGGTTCAGAATTTCAAGAGGCGACGCGCCTAAATGGGTTTAGCGCGGGCTGCTGCAGCACCACGCCAAGATCTTGGGGCGTAGGCCGCAGGGGCACTACCTCCAGGCTCCTCAGTGACACCTAGAGCACCTGGAACAGAACCTCAGAATCAGTCATTTGTTCAAGGGCGATGAATTGTACAAGTGTTCAAGTGTTTGGGAGCTCAGAATTCAGATATTCACGTCATATTATGCCATCACATCGACAATTATTAGAACAACCCTCGCTATCTCTAGCAGTCCAATCAAGCGCATCATGACAACTTTCATCGGCTTCGTCCAAGCATGGAACATCACAGCCTCGGGGCCGAAAACAGGCGCCACGTAAATCCCCAGCCAGACCGTGAGCTATGTTTCCATTGATTATACATAACATTTCCAGTATCCGCCTCCTTTTTGATCTCGCGCCTCATAACACCCAGATCCAGCTTGGTATATGGTACATTGAATCCTTTATACGTAACCCTTGCGCGCACCCTTTTGGACAGTTAGCGCATGCCAGTCTCTTAGACTTGGTCAAACATACCTGGAAGAAGAACCGAACAACAAACACCTGAAGGGCACCCATACAGATGATAAGGCCGATCTGGATCATGCTAAAGTTGATGATTCGTCCCTCGGTGCTGTTGACGGTGGCAAAGTTGCGGTTTTCACGGGTTCGGAAGTACTTTTGGTTGCGCGAGATGGTAGAGAGCTGACCAGACACCTTGAAGATGGCCTCCTCCAGGACAGAAGTCTGCTCTGGGGTGGTTCCCTGCTTCGAGGGCAGCTGGGCGCGGGCCTCGTTCTCGACGGCTATCTCAAAGTCGACATACTTCTCGGCAAAGGTACTCATCTCGTTGTCGAAGCAGAACGAGTAGTCACCAACCACGTTGGCCGAGAAGACAAAGTCTCCCTGCCTCTCCTTCTGGCCGTCCATGATGATCTTGCCATTGGGACCCTCAACAATGTAGTCAACATCGAAAGAACCTCCAGATTGGACCTATTATTATATTCAGTTCGAGTTCCGATGCGTGCGTTGGCGTCGTGTGAGCTCACGGCAAAGTAGAATGCGATCTTCTCGCCCTCCTTTTTCGTCGCAGTGTAGAAGCAAGCCTTCTCGTTGGCACCGAGCTTATAAGTCAGGGCAGTAGCGGCGACGTCGGTGATGAGGCAGGCGAACAGCCCGGCGAGAAGTGTCGGCAGTCTCATGGTTGCAGTGTTGTGGGAGATGTTGTCGCGTGCTTGACTGGACGGCTGCTGGTTCAGGACAAGCTGTCGCCAAAGTGGATGGTACTGGAGCACATGTAACTGAACGGGCCACGATTGAGCTTCGGCGCGGAATTTTGCACCCACCGGCCCCTGGGCGCTGAACCCCTGGAATAGACGCCAGAATGCCAGTTGGAGCGGAGCCCCTCCTGAGCTGAACTAGCCACAGTCTAGAAGCAGCAAGCCACACCTTGTTGGTGCGCCAAGGGTGTCAGCCACAGTTCATTTGCCGATACGCGTTCAGGCGTGTTCCATTACTCGTTATCAAGGATGATGACCTCACTCCCCTGTCAAGCTCTTTCAAGGAGTACGTGGCTGACTTCTTGAAAAATCCCCCAAACGCAACCTTTGATCCTCATGTCGCATTGACAGATTGGCATGACGTCCTATTCCCATTCTCTTCTATACTCTCCTTGATCGACGATATCTCCTAAATTGGTCCTTCCCGGCGCCATCCATCGCCAACCGTCAGCCGGCGCTTTCTTCCCCTAAACGGCCATCTCCAAAATGGCCCTCCAGACGACAGTCGCAAACGTATCCTCGGTCGCCCTGAGGATATGTGCCGTTGTCTTTTTCAGACTTGTTTGTATTCTCCGATGGATTGAATGACATAATTGACTAACACTACATTTAGTTCCCTGTAAGCCAGGCAGCCTCAGAGCTCCCGAGACAAGTCTAACCTCCATAACAGGCTCATTTCCCTTCAATTGCATTTGCACTCTTCGCCATCTATGTTCCCTCTTACATCGCGACCTACTTCTCCAAACCCCAAGTGGAGGTCCTCAAGGATGAAGTCGACGTCACAGTGAAAGAGTCCGCCATTACATCTACAACACCGTTGTTGACCAGAAACGGTGTCGCAGTCGCCCCCGAGCCTGAAGTTGTTACCGATGTGGTTGACATCAAGGAGAAGATTGTCGTTGGTGAAAAGATTCCTAGCGCTTTCAAGATCCTCTTGCTGGGAGCTCCCAGCGCCAGACGCCCCATTGCCTCATTCCTGACCTTCCTTATCAACGTCATCTTCATCGCCTTGACAGCCGACGCTTTGTTCCGTGCGAGATGGTACTACCCTGCCGATGACCTCTCCTTCGTTCGTCTTGGATACGTCTCCCCATCTGAGGCTCGCTTCATCATCCGTGAACCTGATCAGACAAAGCTGCCCATCACATTCGAATACCACATTCAGGATCCCCAACTATCAGCTGAGACCAACTTGTGGTTGACTGCAGGCTTTGTCACCTCGACCACTAACAGCACCGACTTCACAACAACTCTGACTGTGCCCCTTGACGACTCAAAGCAGAGAAAGTATGAGTGGAGAACCTCCAACAACCACACTGGCGAGTTCCGATCTGCCCCTAAGCCAGGACAGATGCCCGACACCGAGAATGGATTGTTCACGTTCCTCTCTACTTCTTGCATCTTGCCTCGATTCCCCTACAACCCGGTGGATCATCCCTTGGCTATCCCTGGTTTGAGAAACTTGGCAGAGAAGCTTCCCTCGCTGAGCCCTCAGTTTATGCTATTCCTGGGCGACTTTATCTATGTTGATGTTCCCGAGCGATTTGGAAAGACTGTTGAGGAGTACCGCATGCAGTACCGTCAGGTTTACGCTTCACCAGACTGGGCTCCCGTGGCCCAGAACCTGAGCTGGATTCACGTCCTTGATGACCACGAAATTTCGAATGACTGGTCTTCAAACACGACTGGCATTTACAGCGCCGCCGTTGATCCCTGGCACATCTATCAAGCCAACGTCAACCCACCCAAAGCCCAGTCTGCCACACAGAGTGGCCCAAGGAGTAACGCTACTTGGTACGAGTTCACCCAGGGCCCCGCCAGCTTCTTCATGATGGACACCCGCAGCTACCGCTCCAGCAACAACCTCCCTTTCAATGCGACCGACAAGACCATGCTTGGAAGGGAGCAGCTGGCTGACTTGCTGTCTTGGTTGGCCCGTCCTGAGCCCCAGGGAGTTCGATGGAAGTTCATTGCTTCGTCCGTCCCCTTTACCAAGAACTGGCCTGTCAATGTCAAGGATACCTGGGGCGGTTTCCTTACGGAGCGAAAGCTGATCCTTGAGGCCATGTGGGATTCCGGTGCACGAGGCACAGGCGTCGTTATTCTGTCCGGTGATCGACACGAGTTTGCTGCCACCAGGTTCCCTCCACCTGTCGGTTCGCGATGGCCTCAGTCTGCTGCCGCTCACGAGTTTTCCACCAGCCCTCTGAACCAATTCGCTGCTCCTTTCCCGACATATAAGCAGACAGATGATGAAGATGTTATGATGAAGTAAGTTTGTGTGTTGTAGTCTTTCGTTGCTACCACTAACATCGATATAGCTATATCCCCGGTGGCATCTCCAAGTTTGGTTCCTTCTCGATCGACAAGCAGGGAGAGAAGAGCAGCCTCAACTACACACTCTACATTGATGGCAAGGAGACTTGGACAACACTGGTCGAGGCCCCGGAGGCCCCGGAGGGCTTCAAGTCTCCTCCCTCGATCTGGGACCGGCTTCACCAGTTTTTTTAGAACGAAATAGTGTCGCGGTTCTGGAATCGCGAGGATGATGGTTTTTCCTCTGGGTTGTTTTTGGAATAGCTTTGTAGTATCTAATATCTCGTGCTTAATTAAGATTTTACTGTCCTTACTTCAGCGAAAAGACCCTCATCCCAATGATTCTTCCACCAACCGACAACCAGGATGGTATGTCATGGCGAAGGTTGGGCTGCTCCCTGTTCGGTTATGCTTGATTTGAAACGAATAAACACTCTATATCCTCTCCCAAAAAGTCATTTCTTCAAGTCATAATCAATTTCATTCCCCGTACCATTACGACGCCAGATCGGCACCCATCAGTCCATCCCGGACCAGATCAACGGCCCCACTCCGATCTGCCCCACACTCAGCCTCCGAGCTTAGCTCACCGCCCTGGCCCGCCCCTCCACTTGCCAGAAAATTTCCCCGGCAAAATTCTCAAAAAAGTTTCACGACGAGCCAGCATCAGCGCGACAACGTCCCATCAACAATTGCACATTTTCAGCCACCGCAACAACTCAACATTCGCAATGGCTGGTCCAGGCAACAGGAAGAAGCGACAAAATGAGGGTCGTGTACAACGGCCCTCGAAGAAGCAGAAGCGGAGAGCTCTGCAAGAATACAACAGCGACTCCGAGGGCGACGACGCGCCGCAGGATTTTGATGCTGTCAACCTCCTCGATTCCGACGACGACATTCACAATGCCCAGGTCGATGATGTGGGCGCTTCCGACCATGAAGGGACCAGCTCAGATGAGGAAGGACCCGCATTGAAGAAACCACTTAAGAAGACAAAAGCAAAGGCGCAGGCAGAGCCCCAAAGCGAGTCGGAGGCAGACGACGATGAAGAGGAGGATGAAGAAGGTTCCGACGACGACGATGATGAGGAAACTGGTGGAAAGAGGAAAAAGTCCAAGCGCAACGACCCCAATGCTTTCGCTACATCGCTCTCCAAGATTCTCTCCACCAAACTGTCAACATCCAAGCGATCAGATCCCGTCCTGTCACGAAGTGCCGCCGCTCACGAAGCCTCAAAGGCGGCGGTGGACAGCGCCCTAGAAGCCAAGGCGAAAAAACAGATTCGCGACCAGAAGCGATTGGCGTTGGAAAAGGGCAGAGTAAAGGACGTGCTCATCGCGACCGCCAACGACACCACAGGCGAGCTCGAGACGTCAACGTCGGAGATTCTAGTGACGGAGAGGAGGCTTCGAAAGGTGGCACAACGTGGTGTGGTCAAGTTGTTCAACGCCGTCCGCGCAGCGCAGGTCAAGGCACTCGAGACGGAAAAGACCTCGAGAAAGGAGGGTGTCATCGGTATGGAGCAACGAAAGGAAAAGGTCAACGAGATGAGCAAGAAGGGGTTCCTGGAGCTTATCGCTTCAGGAGGCGGTGGCCTGAAGAAGGGTGCACTCGAGGAGGCATAAGGTTAATGTTCTTTTTTCTTTAAGAGGAGTAGTAGAATCATCAGGCCGACCTCTTCCGGCCCTCGCAACGAAAGTCGCAACAAAGATACCCCTAATGCACCTGAATCCCCGCCATCGCCGGTCCTTTTCTTCCCAGGGTAATAGATACAAATACAAGTCCTCATATCAAAACAAGCCCGCCGCTCTCATCATGTCCTTTGTATATTTTATTGAAAATCGCTCGCCTGCAGGTTCCTCGTCATGGAGGGCAGCTTCACCCGGAGGCCGTCCAGTTCCTTGGTCATGAGTACTTGGCAGCCCAGGCGACTCGTCTCAGTGAGGCCAAACGCAAGATCCAGCATGTCGTTCTCGTCATCCTCTGGCTCGGGCATCTTGTCGAAGTATTCATCCTCAAGGACGATAACGTGGCAGGTGGAGCAGGCGCAGGAGCCTCCGCATGCGCCCTCCATCTCCAGGTCGTGCGCTTGAGCAATATCTAGCAGGTTGTCTCCTTCACAGACAGCAATCTTGTGTTCCTGACCATCCTTCTCGATAAAGGTAATCCAGAGCCTAGGAAATGTTAGTCTTTCGGCGGTGTGGTGTTCCAGTTCGGCGAACATACTCTTCGCCCGGCTTCGGAGGTTCAACATGTCCGTGTCGCCTTTGTGCCGAGGTGGTGAACGCTCTCTGGGATACGGGGGAGAAGCGGGCAGCTCGAGGAATAATGGCTGATCGACTTCGAGAAGAGGTCTGTGATAGAATACTACCTCTGCTGAGGAAGGGCTGGGTTCGTCGGCAGGCCGTGGCCGAAAGTTTGGCCAAGCTGGTCGCAAAGGATCGTGATGCGGACATGGCTGCCGGGGTATTCGGAGGATAGACCGCGGGGAAGAGTAACGAGAAACCGGGCAAATGCGAAAGTGGAAAGAATTGCAATGCGATTTTAAACTTGTCGAAATGTTCTTCGTCCCAAGCATGCAAATGTCAAAAAGGTTGCAACACGCCAATTTCGCTCAATGGACGCTGAGCCCTCCGCGGATTCGTCTCGTCCTCTAAGATCCAAGATGATATTAAGCAGGCCGAAAAAAGTGAGTACTAGACTCCAGCTTCGGATAGCGGAGGTCTTATCGGCCGGTGAATCAATTTGCCGGTCTCCGGTCCCGCCCTCTCTATCTCCGAAGGCTGGGTTTGTGGGCCGCGGGCGAGCATGATTTCATTTTCTAGGATCCGAGCTCGACGTCGCATTTCTCTCTGCAATTCCTTCTCTTGAGACCAATGCGGTCGCATGCAAAATGTCGACTCACCGAGAAGGCTTCAATCCCCTGAGGCCGTACTATATACCCCCGACCATCGGTGAACCCTCCGAGACCCTCGCCAAGTCGAGTCCCAGCCCAAACCCGTTCCCCGATGGCCGACATGTGACGGCCGCCGGTGGGCGGTACGCCTCCAAAGCGCGTGATATCTTGAACGACCTTGAGTACAAGGACTACTTGGGGGATAACTCGCCGTCCATGGTGCAGAATGTTAAGGACCTCATCGACGAGCTGCTATGGAAGTATACCTCGGTCCTCATGGCCCAACCTTTCGAGGTGGCCAAGACTTTGCTGCAAGTCCGGAACCAGGATGAAAATGCTGCTCTGGTTGCCTCTACGGTAGAGCCAGAACCTCTTAAGAAGCGAACTTCCACATATGGGAGTTCCATGTATGATGTGAGTTGTTGGAGTCACTTGTAAGTGGCACACCGCTAATGATGACGACATAGTTCCATGAATCAGATTCTGAGGGCGACGAGCCCGCTTACTTCACATCGAGCGTGCCTGCGACTCCCACTCCATCTGGTCCAAAGAGCTCAAATGGCCGACGGAGCCCGTCTCCTCTTCCAAAGCCGAAGATTCCGGAGCACTACCTGACTCTGCGTCGACCGGACTCGATTCTCGAAGTAATTGGGCAGCTATGGGGGAAGGAAGGTGCCTGGGGCGTTTGGAAGGGGTCCAATGCGGCGTTTCTGTATACCGTTTTGCAGTCGCTGCTAGAAAACTGGTCGAGAAGTTTTCTCAGTGCCATATTCAATGTCCCGGATATAGGCGTCAAGGAGGATATCGACCGTTTGATTGATATCGCCTCCCCATATCCTTGGGCATCCCTCTTTGTGGCTGCAACTGCTGCTGTTGCCACGGGGCTGGCTCTCTCGCCATTAGATTTGGTGCGAACGAGGTATGGACTATGACTCTTCACGCACGTGAGCAATACTGACTCTAGACAGACTCATTGTCACACCAAGCTCCAGAGGCCAGCGCCGGACGCTGGCTACTCTCAAGGCTCTGCCTTCATACCTCTGCTCCTCAATCCTTGTCATCCCGACCGTCCTCAACTCCTTGGTTCACCCTCTTATCACACTCTCCACCCCCCTTGTTCTCCGAACCCGATTCATGATTGACAGCCAGGCTTCGCCCATGACGTTCTCTGTCGCCAAGTTCTTTGCCTCATCGGCTGCAATCCTCCTTAAACTCCCGGTCGAGACCGTCTTGAGGCGTGGACAGGTCTCAGTCTTGTCGACCTCCGAATATGTCAAGGCGCTCGGTGGTCAGGAGCAGGCACTCACAACCATTGTTCCTCCTGGTCGCTATGAAGGCCCCTTCGGTACCATGTACCATATCGCAACCGAGGAGGGAACACGCGAGGTCCCCACCATCAGGCCGAGTGTCACAAAGAAGGGTAAGGGCAAGAATAAGAGCGTTGCCACAACCACCTACAAGGGCCAGGGCCTGGAGGGACTCTGGAGAGGGTGGAAGGTCAACTGGTGGGGTCTCGTCGGACTCTGGACGGCGAGCGTGGTTGGCCACGGCGGAGAAGGCGAGTTCTGAGACCCCTTGGGGTCCAACATTTATGCTGTACTGAGGTGCATTTGCTTGCATGGCGTTGGGTTGGCATGGATCTCTCCTCTACGAGCTTGACGACGGGACGCATGATATCCACTTCCATTTTTTACGAAATGGTGTTTCAAAACAAGAAAAGGTGCTCTCTCTGTTGATGACTATTCATGGATCGGATCCCATCCATGTTGATGAGGGATATGCCACCATCTAGAGGTACCGTAAGGAGGTGCGCCGTTGGTGATCATGTACATGCTTACCTGGATATCTTTACGGGCTACGCGATAAACGCAGTTATACGTCTTATGACCATTGATCAATTCTTTTCGTCCACGTTGTTGAGTGATTTGACCATGTTGTCTGCCTCTGCCCAGCATGCTTTTGAACTGCCAATATGCGCTGACGTTATCCATCAACCTCTTGCAGACATATGTTTCAGTCATCAACGTAACACGATATTCTAATTCCGGAGGCGCCTGGCCTTAAAACCCGTCGTCCAGCCTCGGAGTGGCGTCCGGCTTCTTGCATCTCGAGGGCCCGGATGACACTTCGAATGGTTGTGCACTTTCGGAACTGCCCAAGTTGAAACAACCGCCTCTGATCCTTTCATTACAGAGTTTCCGCCGAGAAACACAAGATCCCAACATCTCATTCGTCCAGTCCGAGGCAACACTTGCACATTCAGCCTCTACCCTCCTTCTATGCCGTGTCTCAAAACGCATGGTTCGTATCCTTACTCTCTGCTGACCAAGCCGGGAGGAAAAGGTCTCATGTAAGGGGGCCTGCCTGAATGGTTAGGTTGGTGTCTGAGAACGTTGTACAAATTGTGGGAGCATAGTTGCGAACCAAGAGAAAAGGCCAATCACGACTGCTCCGATACAGCCTTCGGGTGTTGTGACTGGAGATATGGGGACTGTGTCGGAGGTTTCGTACGTACATTAAAAACAAGGTCAGTTTTCGTCTTGACGAGATCGAAAGGTGTTGGAATACTGCATAGTTCTCGAGATGGCTCTTAAGCAGGAACAGAAAGAAGAAGAGCACTGCAGCCAGTTGTGTAGATATAAAATAGCATCAAGTCCCTCTGTGTTTTGGGGATTCTAAACTATCAGAGGCACTTGTTAGCTTTGCATTGAATCCAAAGATACATCAACTTAATACCCTCGTTTACACTTTCTACTCTCATCATGACTTTCTTTACTGCAATGAGCACTCTTTGTGCCTCCGCCTGGCTCTATCTTCTCTTCTCTGCCGTCTCTGTCTCAGCTCACGGCCATGTCACTCAAGTCATCATCAACGGCGTCGCCTATGGGGGCTACCTGAGCACCAGCTTTCCTCTCCAGAGAAAGCCCCCAGTTGTGCTTGGCTGGACCATCGAGCAGCGAGACAACGGCTTTGTTTCTCCCGACAAGTACGATCATCCAGACATCATATGTCACCGGGACGCTACCCCAGCCCAAGGACATGTCCAAGTGGCTGCTGGCGATACAATCACCATAAAGTGGTCTTCGTGGCCTGAGAATCACCGTGGACCTGTGATGGACTACCTAGCCAACTGCAACGGTCCATGCGAGACGGTGGACAAGACGAAGCTTGAATTCTTCAAGATTGATGGCATGGGCCTCATATCTCAAGACAGGCCGGGAAAATACGCCGACGGTGCCTTGAGAGAGAATGGCTACACCTGGAGCGTGAGGATCCCCAGCAACATTGCCCCTGGAAACTACGTTCTTCGACACGAGATCATTGCTCTGCACAGTGGACTCGAAAGGAACGGTGCCCAGAATTACCCGCAGTGCTTCAACCTCAAGATCACCGGGAGTGGCTCTGACAATCCACCTGGCTATCTCGGTACTGAACTCTATGATGCCAATGATCCTGGGATTCTCGTCAACATCTACGGCAACTTGCCCAATTATCAGGTCCCGGGACCAACTATCGTCAGCGGGGGAGTCTCGTCAGTGAGGCAGAGTCCTTCCAGGGCGACGACAACTGCCAAGTGCACAACTAGGTCTTAGGTTATGGTTGGCCGTTACAATGGTCATTTTACCCACGCTCTTTAGACATAGTGATATGCTGTAGTTTTGTGTTCATGTCGACTATACTTGTTAGTGTAGATATGGATAACATAATGGTAATTCCAGGTTTCCTTGAAGTTGACTTCAGAACCGGGTGTCTCGTATTTGATTACCATGATCATTGATTGCTGCTGATATGTACGGGACATGCGAAGGGGGAGAGTACTTAAACTTGGCTGGTTTCAATTAAAACACTTATTTCTATCAACATGGCTTGTTGCATTGTATCACGGCTAGCCATGTCGGTGTCGATGATTCATCAAGTCCATTAAGCTGTAGTGTAAAGAGGTCGAATTCCCGAGCGCACTATCAATAGTTAGAGTTTCTCTTGCTAGCGTTGAGATTTCGATGAACCCTTTTCGTGAACTGTCCATCCGGGGAGCGATTAGTGGAGGCGTATAATAGCCTAGGGATCTCTTTAGAGGGTAGAAACTAGAAGTTTTCGTGATTGCTGCAATGTCAAACTCAGAATTGTGGTTGGAAGTATTAAAAGGTGACACAAGCAACGACTGAGAACAAAATTTCAAAAACATTTAAATGAACGGAAATTCAGATAAAAGCCAGGCTTAATTAACAGTATAGATTCAATTTTCCAAAAGATGTTACTTGTCAAGAAAATTCGATCTGCGAAAGGCTCTAGGGTAGGAGTTGAACAAAGGGGGCCACGTGACTTGGCGTTTTCATGTCACGTTCCACTGTTCAACGTTGAAGCTCCTTGAATTTTGATCTATTCATACTTCGAGCAACATTAGAAAAGCCGCTCGACTGAGGGGTGCGGTGCAGCCTCTTAATTCGATTTCCTCTGCCCTGAACCGGCGCGATATGCACTGATTCTTGCCAACGGTCTCTGCGCCAGCTCTTGCGCGCTCCCGTCTCTCCCTTAATCTCTTTGTGCTGGGCGCATCGCGACATCATGGCAGCACCAAGCGCCAAACAGGCGCCTACCAATGGCGAACTGGCGTCTCCTTCTGCGGCGCGCAAATACAAAGCCTCCGATCTTCCACTCCCTTCGGCGACACGAGGAGCGATCGAATCTCTTGCGCATAGCTTCAAGAAAGAAGGCGCTTACGATTCCATTCGGAAGCAAGTTTGGGACAAGTTTGAAGCTAGTGTACGTCGCGCGCAAGGACAGCAAACCATATTTCGTCTTCTGACACATCATTCTCCAGGACTACGAGGCCCAAGTTACGAAAGCTATTCTCGAAGTGGCCGAACAGGAAATCGAGCGCAACCCACAGCAACTCCTGACTCTCGACCGACGAAAGGCTGCAGCCCTTATTGATGGCGCCCTGGAACGGTCTGGAGTCTACCAGAAGGCAGAGTCTGTCATTAGTCAATTGATTGACGTGGGCGCTATTGAAGAGCGTATCCGTGAAACCCGCCGCGCCGAAGTTGGTGAAGAAACAGCACAGGCGGAACAAGTTCGCGGATCGAAAACCGACGAGGAATACGCAGCCGATACCGAGGCTCGACGAGCTGAACGTGAACGCCTACGAGAAGAACTACGACAGAAGGAGCTTGCGATCGAAGAAGAGAAGCGACGGATCGCACGAGAGGAACGAAAGAAGGAGGAACGTGAGCGCGAAAAGGCCGAGCTCAAACGTCAGGAAGAACGAGATGAGCGTCGTAGGAAGCGAGAGCAGGAGCGCGAAGAGCGTGAACGGCAGCGAGACCTTGAACGAGAGAAACGACACAAAGAACGCGAGCAGCGCGACCGGGAGCGGGATCGGGAAAGAGAGCCAAGAGATCGTGATCGAGACCGTGACCGAGAGCGAGAGCGTTCAAGGGATCGAGACAGAGACCGTGATCGTCGAGACCGAGATCGACACAGAGACGACCGCCGCAAGGAGAAGGAAGCTGTCTCGGCAGAGCTCAAGGAGAAGCTATCAAAGGAGGAGCACGAGCGCCTGGAGCAAGAGGCTCTGGCTGATCTTCTCCGGGAAAGTTCCAAAACGACTCAAAAACAACCAGAACTGGAGATCGATTCGTCCTTGGCACCGCCACCGAGAAAGTCTGGACCGGTTTCTGCTATCAACCCTATCCGGCGTGAACATTCTCGAGTTACGGAGGGCCGCAAGCTTAGTGATGCTGGGCTCAAAACAGACCGTGGTGTTACACCTGGGGATTCAAGGCGCCCAGACCCAAGGGACGAAAGAAAGCCAAGCCGCAGTACCTCCAGAGTTGTAGACCGCGAACGGGAACGAGGTAGAGACACAGAGAGGGAAAGGGATAGAGACAGGGATAGGGATCGCAACAAGGACGGAGAACGGGATCGCGACCGCCTCCGAGACCGAGATAACCGTCGGAACGACCGACGCTCCAACTCCCCACGTCGAGACCGTAGTGGGTCTCGAATTAGGGATAGACGTGACCGAAGTCGATCACGGCTTCGACGGGATAGGACCCGCTCACGGACTGGGAGGGACGATCGTGTTGCTAGAAGCCGTTCGCGACCCAAATACGACCACTACGAGAGAAGCAGATCTCGAAGACGAGAGCGAAGTCGATCCCGAGCCCGTGTGGATTCTCGAGCCCGAATTGATCGAAGGGAGAGAAGCCGATCTAGAGCCCGAACGGAGAGGAGAGATCGAAGTAGGGACAGACGAGACCGGTCACGCTCGAGAATACGTCCTGAGAGGAGGGATAGAAGCCGCTCGCGCCCTAGACGGGAACGTAGCCGTTCTCGCGATGTTCGCCTTGGTGGAGCAGACCACTATGATCCGCGAGAAAGGGAGCGCGAGCGAGGTCGGGACCGGGATCGTGATCGTGAGAGAGACCGCGACCGTGACCAGCGTTCGCCTCCAAGACGCCAAAGCAGAGAAAAGCCTCGTGAGGCAGACCGGGAACAAGACAAACCCCGCGAAAAGGAACGCGAGAAGGAGCCCGAGAAGCCGAAAGAAAAGCCTGTTGGAAAGCCTGTTGAAAGGCCTACTGAAAAGCCTAGCGAAAAGACTGCTGAGAAGCCTGCTGAAAAGCCTGCTGAAAAGCCCGAAAGGCAGTCTGAAAGGCAGTCTGAAAGGCAGTCTGAAAGGCAGTCTGAAAGGCAACCTGAAAAGGCACCAGAAAAACGGCAAGATCGTACAAGTCGTTCTCGGTCTAGAGCCACGGCCTCTGCCACTCGACCAGGCTCAAGCAAGGCTCAGGACGGCCTTGAAGAGTGGAAGATGGAAGAGGTTAGGAAGCGAGAAAAGGAGGCCAAGGCCTATCTGGCGGCTCAGAAGGATGCCAGGAACAAGGGCCTGCCGATCCCCGGACTTGACGACAAGAAGAGTAGTGGCGAGAGGTCTCCTGACTTGCGTCGACGCTGGAACATGGACGACATTGACCGATATACACCTGGAGGCCGTGAAGAGCGGCGCAGGAGTCGAAGTCGGAGTCGCAGCCGGCAGCGGGATAGAGACAAGGACAGAGATCGAGACAGGGAGACGGTCAGAGAACGGGAACGCGAGAGAGATCGAGACAAGGACAACAGAGAGAGGGACAGAGACAGGGGAGATACGTATCGCCAGCGAGACATGGATCGTGATCGCGAGAGGGATAGGGACCGACGGGATAGGGATCGAGAGAGGGACCGTGACCGTGATCGTTCTCGAGATCGCGATAGAGACCGCGATAGAGATCGGGAGCGGCGTGATCGGGAAAGGGATCGTGACCGAGACCGAGACCGAGATCGCGAACGAGATCGGTCGAGGGACAGGCGCAACAGGCGAGACAGGAGTCTGTCACCTCGGCGAGATCGACGGGATCGTAGCAGGAGCCGTCGTTGAGCTGTAGTCGAAGCAGTTCGGGTTGGCTTACAGACGTGTATGGCAGGGATAGCTTGAATGACACTTCAGTAATCAATAATCAGTAAAGGGATAGGATTAGGTGTAGATACCCAACGGGGGCTCGAGATGATCGAGATAGATAATGAAAGCGTGGTTGGCTTTGCTTTAGACATTGACTTTAGCCGTCAGTCACTTCAGTTGTCAGATGATTGTACACAATGTGAATGGTTCATTATATCTATCTATTTATTCTATTTATCCACGTTACTCGTCGTAAAATCATGCCGCACTGTTGAACCAAGAACTCGTCAGGCTCACGACCTGTTGGCTAGAAAGCCCATGGAAGTGCCACAGGGAGCCAGCAAGGACGACGGTGAAGAAGCCCAGGACACCAACGATGATACCCTTACGCATCGCGGGCGACATCTTGTTGTCACCTTCAGCGTTCCAAACACCAGCGGCCCAGGCAAGCGTCTCGTGCCAGCCCTTGACGAGCTGCTCGTATCCAACGGAGTAGAGGACGAGGCCGACGAGAGCGAGGGCGTAGCCCAGGACTTGGAGGATGGTGATCTTTGTTTGCCAGATGAGGACGGAGGCGGCGACGAGGAGGATGCTCTTGAGGATGCCACTGAGAGCCATGACGAGGCCAGAAGTCTTGCCGATCTGGTAAGAGAGTTAGCTGCGAGTGTTGAGCAAAGGGGGTATCTAGACTTACCAGGAAAACGCTGACCACGTTGAGAATAAACGCAACAAACGCGTTAAGGAAAAGCATGCCGTAACCAGCCTTGGTAACATCCTCCCATTGAAACTTGGGACCCTCGCTGAAAATAACAACCACAAAGTTCATGACTGTGCAGACGGGGGCGTAGTAGTAAAGACCAACGAGGGGATCCATGCGAAGACCCTCTGAGCTGAGCATGACCTGAATCATGACAAGACGCACAGCTTCAGAGATGGTACCGCACATCTGAAAGATGAAGCCCAGCCACGAAAACTCAATCTCTCCAAGACTAGCAAGTCCAACGCCAAACACGATGAGCATGATGTTTAAGAGGGTGGTGCTGTTGGGCTGCGCAACGCCCCAGATCCACGAAGCGATGAGCACACACACTGGACCCGTAGACTTGAGCATCTGGATAAAGGCGACCGAGAGGTAGAGGTAGACGACATTCGAAAAGACGAGGGAGCTCGAGTAGAGGATTCCGATGGGGAGGATGGTGTGAATGTACATGCTGCGTGAGAGGGGGAGGGCGTGGCGGGAATCGAGGAGGGTTGTCGTGCGGGCGAGGAGTTGGGTTGCTACGGTTGCGAAGACGAGATGCCATGTTGTGAGGATGATGGCTGATTTGTTAGCTAGATTTGTAAAGTTGAGAGGTTGAGCTTACGGTATCCTGGTGATGATTAGCTTGGTGTTTAGGTGTAAATGGTAGGAATTCAACTTACGGAAATTAGCAGTGTCAATGAGCCACTTGTTGAACAGAATAGTAAGGTTGGAAAAAAAGATCCATGTTCTGAAGTCAGTTAGAAAAGCCCAATTCTTTCGACTCGTGAAGAACATACATGATGTACACCGACGGGTGAAGCTTGTAAACCTTTGAAGTTTGAGGTTCGTCGTTCTTGGTCGCGGCGTTGGGATCTTCTACTTCGAGCTGGGTTCTTCCCGATTCGAGATCTCGAGGTGGTGAAGCCGCCATTTTCGTAATTCGAGGATGATTGAATCTGAAGTTGTCCAGGCTCGGGGGGTTGGATTCGCGTTGTTGGTGATTACTGTATGACCAAATTCTCCCACAGCCACAAACAAGCGCCGCTGATCTCTTACACAAACTCTTTCTAGTGTATCCTTTTTCTCGTCGATGAAATGAAAGCAAAAGGAGGTAAAAAGATCAAAAAGGATGGAAACAAGAGCCTGGTTTAAAATGAATAAACCCCGGCCCGATCCTTTTGATTGTCACGTCACACACTCCCGCAATTGCTTTTAAACCAGCCGACTTTCCCGTCTCGTTGGTAGCGTCACACTCGATTGGTGTTGTTTTGTCTCTCAATTCGAGCCTTGGCGGAGTGATTGAAGGATTAAAAGAAAAAAAGAATGGAAGAATCGACAAGAAGGAGGAAGAGGAAAAAGAAGATCAGGGGATGGGACAGAAAAGAAGAGAGCTATCGGTACTTAATAAACTTCAGTCACATTTTACTACCGACCAACAGACGGAAAACATGCAGGCCTCGTTAAGCAGCACCGCCCTTTAGATATGGGCCTTGACCCTGTCAGTGTCTGTAGTCCTTCAAAAGTCTAGTCCAGCCCAGTCCAAAAATAAGCCCGACACCAAACGAACGACTTTCAATGGTGAGACTTTACTCTCATCGGCGTCTACCCTCTTTTACGGCCGTATTCTGCGCTTTGAGCTTCAGCTCGTAATGACAAAAAAAAAAAAAAAAAAGGAGGCTGAGCATCTTTTCTCGCTCTGCTTTCCCACTCAAGGACACCCTGCAAAATTGCCCACTCGTATTTGCCAAATCAGCCCAACACCACTCCTCCTCCATTCACAAAAGGTCTCATGGCTAAGCTTTTCAGGTAGGGGGCCCGCACCCGGCCGGGCAAGGGACCCGATCGGCCCTGGGAACCGGGGTGTGTATTTGGTGGGTTTTTACGGGCTGACCAATGGTTTTGCGTCAGACTGAAGACGTGATGATGGAGTGGGAATGGAGAGGTTGCCGCTTTAGCCTTGTTTGTTTATGCGATGGGCTCTCGTGTAAATGATGATATGATTTTGACAGACATCCATGAGGAGTTGTGATGGTGGTAAACAATGGCTACGATGGTATCGGCGGTAAAGATATGCAATGTCTACCCTTAAACATACACGCTCAGCATCAACCGGCATCATGGCACCGATTGGCAAGACATACTTTCAACCGTCACCAGTCAAGCTAGATCCGGCACGCGTGATCCGAAACCTCTCTCAATCCTCAACCATAGCATGCCGAAACCCCGAGAACGTGTCCATTGGCGGCCTCGACAAACACGTGCCTTGATCTTGCTCCCCATATTTAATTTGGTAGAATGTAGTCACCGTCACTCATGAGCTGTAGGTTGGTCGAGAACCTACAGCCTTACGAGTAGGTCCTTGCCCATGTCCCGACTGGCGAGAAGACGGTTGGCCTCCACTTTCTTGCCATGATTGATTGAACTCTTTTCAAATATGTACGCTTCTTGCTTTAACTTTGACGGGGGATTGTTTATTCTAATTTACAAGAGTGTCTGTTTGGCGTGGTGATACCTGTCGATGCCCCCTCCAACATCTTGAGCTTGACTGAGCAACAACTCATGAACGTTCTGATCGTTTAGAGCACCCCTGATAGCATGCCATACACGGGAACCCGGCCCACTAGGGGGTATAGCATATCGCCTCCGTAAACTAGGCAATGAAGCTCGCCCTCGAGATGCACGGCTCCGTTGTGTGCCTGCCCTAGTTAGCATTGTCCAACGACCATGAGTACAAGCGCCTTCATGCACCCCTGAATCCCCAGCTACGATCTCTCCCTCTTTTCAGCCCCGTTAGACGGCGAGTACGTCACTGTGGCCTAGATCCGCCTCCACTGCGTAGACGACGAGGGAGAACGGGACGTTGGATGCCTCCGTGACCACAATTTCTTAGGATGATCCTCATTTGAAGGAAGAATAAGAAGCGTACTAGAGATTGAAGAGGGCGAGGAGGGAGAAAAAGGTATTGGTAGAGTGGAAATGATAGATGAGTACTCAGAAAGGCGGATTGGTGATGCTGGCCATCTTGATGCCGCATGTGATACCCTCACTTCAACACCCAACAACTATCTCAACTCGGAAGCCTTCATGTAGGTATCCATAGATCTCAACGTCCTTGCATACATCCCGCTCAACTTTAAAAACCCTGGATCCATCATGAACAAGAATCTGTAAAAAACCCGATCCCATCACGACATTTTGACTCGACCTTAAAGCGGCACTGCCAGGAACTCCAAGTTGGTCCGATCACCCGCTGCCCGTGGATACGTAAAACCCGCTACGATCTCGGCTATAGGATAATTTATTTCGGTCCTGACACACTGACACACTCCCTCCGTTCTCCTATTTGATCGGCATGCACGTGCCGGGGGTCGAGGTGGTCGACTAGCTAAACGATAACCGCATCAGGGCAATATAAGAGCCTGTCCCCCATCACTTGCTGCTCTTGTAGATGGCTGCCTGAAGACGAAGGATTCAAACATACGTATACATGTTGACGTATACACATAAATAGGCAGCAGCAAATCTGTCTCTGTCACTCCTGATCAATTGTTCACTCATGTTGCATTACTTTCCTCTGTTTGAGAATCCAACCCCCTGCCCATCATCGTATAGCAACCCCTGCCCACATGGTCCGAGATGTCAAAAAAGGGCTGGGCCCACGTTCTATGTCACCATAAAAAAAAAAAGCCACGCTTCTGGACCTCTTCTTCTCACTCTTCGGTCCTTCCCGTGCCGTATTGACCGACGCCTCCGTCTTATAATAGGTCATGGCGTATGCGCTCATCTCCATCCATCACGCCCTGTTCCCTCTAGTCATGCCGTAAACCGAAACGTCCGTCGGCCCATGCGATGCGGGTACGAGAAACTCTTTTGTTGGTGATACGCAGGCACTCGCTCCACTAGAGTAAAAGGCTTCTCCGAATGATCGGTCGGTTCCTATTGCCAAGGACGGCAAACAAAAAGATGCATGCCATGCCATCCCCTGCCCCCTGTTTCTGCATCAACATGAATCTCGTCATGATACTCACCTCACCATGATGCGCTGTCCTCGATGCACACCTTCAATTCAATTCTACTATTTGTATACCTAGACGTGTAATATTCAAAGCCTAACCGCCGTCTCTTGAAACGCCGTCGCTATGCACAAGATACCATCCTCCGACTCTGCTTACCACTATCGAGAGTGGCCACTCCTTTCTCGGCTCCGCTTGGTAGTTATTTAGTTGTTGTTGTTGTTGGTTGTCCAAACTCTCAATTCTAATTCTTCCTCCGCTTCTTCTTGCGCTTTGCCTTCTTCCCGCCGATTTTCTCCGCCCGGTCCTCTTCTGCTGGCTTCTGCGAGGTTATCTCTGCCTCAACCTCGCCCTTGTCCTCGTCCTTGTTCAAGCCACCTGTTTCAGTCTCAGCATCCCCTTCTGTGCAAGGTAACGGTGCAGCGTCTTCGCCAACACATTTCTCCTCTGCTTTGTTATTGGTCGCTTGATTCTCAACCCCCTGTTCGACTTGATTCTCCTTCCCTGTCTGTTCTGTCGGGGTATCTGTGACTGCAACTGCAACTGCAACCTCATTTGTGACTTCGCCCGCATCCTGCATTTTGACATCCTCTGTGAGTACCATCGTAGGATCCACGCAGTCGTAAAACAGCATGAAAACTCCAGGTGACAGGCTCAGGACTGTCTCTTCGCTGACCATCGACACATTATGATCACTCAGCCGCCACCAGTCCATCTCGGGCTCGCCGTCCTCTTTGGGTTGCACCTTTGCGCTGACCTCCTCCACCTGGTCGCCCGGTTCGGAAGAGGCCCCATCAACCGCCTTGGTAGGCGGGTTATGCCTGGGGTATTTTCGATAGCAGATGTAGTGTCCATTCTCGTGTCGACCGTAATGCGTCACCACCGCTCGAAGCTCGTAGATGGGTCCTGTAAGCCTCGATTCCCCCAAGTCGCCTGCGATCATTGATTTCCTGGGATCAGACGTCCATTTCTCCCCGTCTTCCGCAGCCGCATCAGGGTCAGAGGTCGGGATAGGTTCGCCGGTACTACCGAGACACCAAGGACCAAGATCTAACGTCATGGGATAGTTGACCGGAGCCGAATTCTTCATCATGTTAAATGTCGAAGGGTCGAATACCGATCGTTGCATGTGAATCGCAAGACTCTGGGGAGGTCGGGCCACAACAATCTGCTTCGTCTTGGTTGTGCTGACCTTGCTCTGCTGTGAGATCTTGCACTTCTCTGTCAACGTCTTCTCTTCAAAATCGTCTTCTTCCAGTGCTAATTCCACAACTTCCAGTCTGCGCAACGGCTCTGCGAGCTGTTCGTCAGTTTTCCCTGTCTCGCGGAACCTCTCAACCAGTGTGCTCAAAAGTCTCTGGGCTTTGAGGAGTGTGCATTTGGCGCATTCCACATTTTCGATCGCCTCAACTTTGCTGTAAGCATCTAGTCGCTCATAGAGGTCGTGCCGATTCTTATCAAGTCCGAGACTCAGAGTTAGGCAAGTAAAGGGTATCATGGACAGACCGTCCGAGTGTCCACACTGAATGCATGCCACTCTCTGCGCAAGAAGCCCCTCCAAAGGATTTCGTGGTAACTTGTTGTCGAGTGTGCCTGAACTGCTAAGACTTTGATAACCGCTGTCGTCGCTATGCTCACTAGCAGCTGTATCGTCCTTTTCGACCTTGGCGGCCAAGCCGGGGTTCCGTGGTTGGGCGATTTTCAAGGCTTTGGCGACACTCTTGTCGACATCATCGAGGATTTTTGAAAAGTATTCTTGCGCATCCTGCTGCGTCCATGTACTCATTGACTTGAGGACACCCGGCGTCCATAGCGTCCTTCCGTAGTTCGACACATCGTTTAGATCGTTAATAAGTGTTCGCAATGTCTGCGCAACATCGCGATCGATATCTTCGTTGTCGGAAGCTTCCAGACAAGCTGAGAGATAGTCGGGAAGAGGCTTCAAAGCAGACAATCCCTGGAGGATGCTGTTCTGGTAGCAAGAGTTGTCCATATTTCCTAGCCCAGGTGGGTGATCGCCATCTAGTTTCAAGCCCAGGACGCCACCGGTCATAGACAGGGCGCGATTCCTGACCTGGAACACAGAGGCCATCATTCCCCTGGAGCTGTCCAGGCCCATCACCCTCCGCAACCTCTCGCTCTTCGCGGCATGGGCGCTTTTATCGTCGTGCAACATGGATTTCGAGGTTGAGTTCGAAGTCGAAGTATCTGGGGTATCAAAGACATCCAGGAGGCGCTCTGGGACGATGGCCACGAGAGCATCCCAGAAGCACCGTCCAAGCAACTGTATCCACTCCCGGAGTGTAGCAGAAGTCGCATAGAAGTTGTATCCGACAGTGACGGCGACGATGAGGACCGAGAGGAGGATGCTCGGCTGGGTGATCTTGTCCCAGGTGGACTCGCGGTGGTAGGGCCTTCGATGAGCCGTCACAAAGTTGTCGTAGAGATCCTCGAATTCGAGGCGTTCCTGATGCGTCATGCTGTATGTTGCCGCTGTCGGGGCTTTCGACTCGTCTTAGCCACGCGACTCGGCCAACACGTGAACCTGTGATCAAGCAGGATGATGGCGCCGATCAAAAGGCAAGCTAGCCATGGCCTACGCGGCGTTGGAGGCGATGGATAGGAGTAGGTACGATGTCGGTTCAAGCGGGAGCGCCGGCGCGTTGATTCAGTTCGAAGATACAAGTAGGGAACAATTGAATTGCAGCGAAAAACGACATGCGACAGTGACTTATCGACGTCGAAAAAGGACAGCTTTGGTTGTGGAATTATTTGTAGAATTTCAGCATTGATGAGCTGCCCTTAGTGGATTTCAAAGACACATGGATCCTAATCAGGCATGTTGCACCGTGTCAATATCCGGAAGCCTCCCGTCCGCACCGTCTACACTGTGTAATACATCTTCTGCATGATCCAAACTTCATAGTTTCGTCTATTAAGATGCGTTTGCATACCAGCTAAACTAGCAACACAAAAGAAGAGGAGATACGTGGCCGACAGGGAATAAAGTCAGCTCATCCCGGGGAGAATCGTCTGAATCCGTGCAGGATCCCCTGCTCTTCCAATCCACGCTCAACAGTGGCTCACAAGCGCCATCCTCCCATGAATAGAAAATGATATACAACAAGGTATCAAAACAGCAATAACAGGAAACTGGTATGTGCAGCAAAAGACATTTCTCATGGTCATGTGATAGTCATCAATTCGTTTTCAGTTCAACCGGCCTCTACTGTTGCGGCTTCGCACGCACAACATAGGCCAGCTTTGGCTCCTCCACGGCCGCGTTCTCGAGGTTGCTCCACATGCAGAGCGATACAGGCGTTGCTGGAAGCTCCACGGGACTCTCTGATCTTCTTTGCGAGGGTGGTCGGAGTGGTGAAAAGGCAGGCGTTGTAGGTGTTACAACGAACTTTTCGTTAGGTCCACGGGTAACGCGAAGATACTTGGTCATCATTGGGGTGCTCCCTGTTGATGAAAAGTATCCCCATGACTCCCGAGTGTCGTGTAATATGGGAGTTCCCTTGGGGGTTTTCCTTCGGAACCACTTCATCCATACAAAGATGCCGATTCCAGCAAGACAGCAAACGCCGGCCACTGTGCCTGCCGTCACCACGCCTGTTGGTTCCACTCCGCTGCGGCTTTGTTCCTCGTCTTCATCTGGCGTTGACGACTCAGTAGATGTGGCTGAGGCTGAGGCCCTGGGAGGTGTTCCAGGAATGATCTCGGGGGTTTCCGACGTTTCAACCGGAAGGTATTCGGGAGGTGAAGTGGATGATGGCTCTGCCGTCGATGTAGAGCTTGCTGTTGATGAAGGCTCGGGAATCAGAAACGCATAGCTCTCCTCCTGGTCTTTATCGCGAACACAACGCGACTCCTCGTCACAGCTGTAACCAAATGGGCAACAAGTTTTGCTTCCGCAACGCTTCAGTTTCTGATCCTGCGCAAGAGTCTTGATGGGGGCGCCTGGATACTTGGATGAGTCCTGGCTGGCAATTTCGCAAGTGATGGCCTTGATGATGTTGCATTCGCTTCCTTCCGGGCAACATAGGATGGTTGTGTTCGCGGCGAGGACCTTGCAGCTGGAATCGGAAGGGCAGCAAAAGTCTCCTGGAAGTTCGTTTCCACACCAGGTCTGTCCAGAGACGGGGCACGAACCATCGCGCTCGCTGAGGCGAGGCAATGGCCAGGAGAAGGATGGGGAGTCCCCTCTAGGGCTCTCTGGTTCTTCGATCGAGATAACTTTCAAAGGAGGCTCAACGGCGGCGGGGGATGCTGGAGTTAGAAAGAAAAGAACCAGCACGAGGAATATCCCGACGAGATTCCCCTCGTGAGGCAGAAACGAAAGGGCCATGTCGGCTCTACATGGAAGAATTAAAGAGGGCGTCAGCCTAGAGTCTGGACCTCCCACGGTCAAGGGAAGAGTTGGTGGAAATGAGAACAGAGGGCGCGAGAGTGCAGACGCCGCCCGGCAGCTTTGATAATAAACAGGACGAGGAGCCCCGAGGGCTTTACCAGGACGACGGGACGCATTGTTGGCTGCTCTCTTTGCAGGCCTTTTCAGCGTTGGTCTTGTTCCTGAATAGGAGGAGCCATGTAAGTCAGCCTCGACAAGGGTCGCTGATCGCCTGGCGACAGCCGCAACACCAATCACGGTGCCAAGTTAGGCGCGGACGCGACAGATAGCTTCAACTAGGCCCAGGGCCACGACCTGCTAGACAGGGTCCGTGGATGAGCTCCCTGGCCGCATCCAGAATCTCGGGACCGAGAGAGTCTGTCATAGGGCGAAAGTTTCGAGGCCCTGGGTGATGGAGGAACCATGTTGCTCAAGGGTCGGCGCTTAGGCTAGTGGGGGAGTCGACGGGGAGAGGGACTATTGGAGGTTGAGACCGCCACTTGGCCGACGATTGCTGGCCAAGCCAAGAAGATGTTTTGAATGGAAGAGAGGACAGGAGAAACGATGCAGATTTTCTGCAAAACTGCCTTGGGACTCGAGAATGGGTTTGGTATCGGAGGGTTGGTTCTCGATCTGGTCGCGTATGAGGGCTGCCGAGACGGACGCAGAGAACACCCAAACAAGATCTGGGACAGTTCTTAGCACACGAGCCAATCTGAATTCGTCGGTTGGAATAAAAGCCTATCACCAACTGAGCTTCTTGATGTTGGTGATGGTGCGAGTTGTTAGCGGTTAAAGGCTTGGTAGGAGGCTGGGGGGAAGCTTCCTTCCATCCTTGGGATCCCCGCAGTTTCAACCTCGTCCCAGGATCCATCCATGGAAGGCAAGAGCAAACAAGTGGAGCTCACAGACACGCAAAGACGCATCTCAACTGCCGCCCTTTGTCTGCCTTTGATCATGAGCAGCAAACTCGACGCATCAAGGGGAAGCCGACTACGACGAGAGGGTTGCATTCTCTCAAAGAGTGCAGGGAATGACCCCAATACGAAAGGACGAGCTCTGCACTTCCTCGGTCTCACGACATCTCTAGTTCCGCCCTGTCAACGCCCTTTTCAGTGTCAACTCCACGCGGGTGTCGGGAATTCAGATGCGATTATCGGGGGCTTCCGGCAATGTGCCGAGGCATAATAGATGGACTGAATGCTGCTTCAACAACGTCAAACTTGACAATTCAGCCTTGACATCAATTAGCCGCCGCTTCTAAGATTCAAGTGATATTGCGTCAAGCTCTTGGCGAGTAAATAGCCTCTTTGTTTCAGAAACCAACTTGTTTCCCCGCCAAAGGTACACATCAGTACAACGCAATGATCGGCCGACTCAGTGCCGTTACTCGTCCCTCAAGGTACCGTGCCACCATCCAATCCCCATCCTGTCTCACTTCCTATCATGGCAAGGGACCTCGTCTCTAATTAATCAACTCCATCTATAGCGCCGCTCTGTTGGGCCGCTCTGCAGCCAGATGTGCGCGCAACCATGCTGTTGCCGGCTTCAAGGCATCCACCACGAGATGGTCCTCCAGTGACAGAACCGTCGCGCTTGCGAATGGATCCAAAATCAGCCTGAGCCGCAAGGAGCAAGGACGCCCTGCTCATCGGACGTTGTAAGTCGGATGATACCCTTAGCTCTGCCGCGCTTGTAGGATCATCGTCACTGACGTTTCGGGATCGTTAGTCCCAATTTATGGTTGCGGTGAGTACACAGCCGCGCGTAAATGTTTCGTCGAAGCGCTGATGGATGGGCTAGGGATAACTGCCAGTGTACCCAGTGCGTCAATCAGGACACGCGGCAGCGAAACTTTGATACCTTCCAGGTGAGTGTTAGACTCGTTCGAGATGACGATTGGGCTGACGTGTAGTAGTTGCCAGAGGACGTCCACCCGGTGAATTTCTCAGAGACTGAGAAGCATCTCGAGGTTCAGTGTATGCTTGATCATCCTTGAATGCTGTTCCTGACTGACTGTCGTTGGAGGGTCTGATTCGCACAAGAGTCAACATCCCTGGTCCTGGCTCGACAGCTGGTTCGAGGGAGGATATGCTGAGCAGTTCGGCCAAGACGAGTGAGCTATTCTTGAATATGGCATGTTTCAATGTCACTAACAAGCCAGGACTCGAGTGTTCTGGAATTCAAGCATAGAGGATGCACCTCCCGAGGTTGCCTTTGATGCTGTCATGAGCAAGTCTGATGAGAAGGGCATGGCTGATCTCACCAGAAACATTGTACGTATTTCGTGACTATTACTGACCTCTCCTAACTTATTATTGCAGTGGGTGCATGGATTTAGCTTCGTGGTCGATACACCCCCAACACCAGACGCCACCGAATCCCTCCTGGAAAAGGTTGGCCCTATCCGAACTACTCACTACGGAGGGTTCTACGACTTCATCCCAGATCTTGCTCTGGCCGATACGGCGTATACAAACCTTGCCCTCCCTGCTCACACAGACACTACCTACTTTAGCGAGCCTGCTGGTCTACAAGCCTTCCACCTGCTATCCCACCACGCCCCTCCTAATGCCAAGCCGAGCGATGATGCTCTCGGCGGCCAATCACTCCTTGTCGATGGCTTTCAGGTTGCCAGCACACTGAAGAAGGAGTCCCCCGAGGCTTACGAGACCCTTCGAACGATTCAGGTTCCATGGCACGCCAGCGGCAACAAAGGCATTGCCATCGTGCCGGACCGCACATACCCTGTCATCGAGGAGGACAATGGCGAGTTGACTCGAGTTCGCTGGAACAATGATGACCGTGGCATCTTGGATGTCTTTAACGCCGAGAAGTGGTATAGTGCAGCTCGCAAGTGGAACGAGATTATTCGTCGCCGAAGCAGCGAGTATTGGTTCCAGCTGACGCCAGGTCGCGTCGTCAGTAAGTGGATTAAGCGCCTTTGGTCACGCATGGTGATATTGATGACATTATAGTCTTTGACAACTGGCGCGTCATGCACGGTCGAAGCGCCTTCGAGGGCATTCGACGAATCTGTGGAGCTTATAGTGAGTCTTGCCTATGCAATGCAGCCGAATATGTTGACTGACTTGGAACTTCACAGCTCCCCGAGATGACTTCATGTCTCGTTATCGCGAGACTAACTTCCCCCACGAATCGGTTATTGGACGCAACCTCAACATGAGGTCGAGGAAACCGACGGAGAACAAGCAGGAGTACGAGGCCATCACCCGAGCACCTTGAGGCTTTCTTTTGAATATCTGTCGTCTTCTTCTGGTGAGGTAAGTAGCTATGTGTTGAGGTCTTCAACCCAGGAACCTTGCACGGTATTAGGTAGGGAACCATGATGGGAGCCAGGCATAAACAGCCTTGGACTGCTGGCGGGATGATTCCACATCGCCCTGCGTTCGCTCATTCAACATTGAAGGAACCTGGCAAACTCCCTCGGCCGTGAGGTCAACGAATAAAACAGACATGAGCAACCCCATCTTTTGTGCCATGGAAATCCCACCACGTAGAGTCATAGGCGCCTCCGCCATGGTATCTTTCAAAACGTCCACTGATAGGCCGCTGCGTAAACCCCAGAGTGCAGCACAGATACCACGTCCGGGGTCTTCGGCCTCTCACAGGTGTGCCGAACCGGGAGCCTGCGTTAGTCAGGGGCGGGCATGAAGGAGAGTGGACAGTATCAGGGCCTAGAACGTAACCCTTCCAGAATCATGAAGACGGCTGTTTACAGGAACTGTATGACAAGAACAAGAATCTCAAACGGACTCAAGTTCAACAGTGGCTGTGATAGGTGCGTGAGACGGTGGGGACGGGGTTTGCGCAAGCCTCGTCCTCTGCACGAACCTCAAAGAATCGCGGAAGGATCCACTGGAGGCCGGGGTTCGTGGCTTATTTGTCGATGACGAGCGAATCTCAGGCAGCAGTGGCTTGCCAATTGTCTCTGAAATGGGACAAAATGGAGGGGGAAGAGGGAAGACACCGGGGACCTTGGTAGATGCTGCGATAGGCGTATATAAGATAGGAACTTCCCTGTGGTTGGTTCTTCTGATATCCCTCTTGATTTGTTGCCCATTTTGAGGTTATTCGGAATCACGGTTACGTTCTTGGTTGAGCGACACACTGCACTCACTATTCACATACAAGCTGGCTAGACTTGGATTTGCTCGACCTTCCCTCAACTTACCTCTTCATACACAGCTCAAAGCCGCAAGCATGGACGAGAAGACTGGATCATTTCATCATGACAACATGGAGGCTCCCAAGTCCGACAAAGTGATGCCCCTCTTCTCCCTCAAGGGTAGAACAGCAATCGTCTCAGGTGCCGGCGCAGGCATCGGACTCGCCGTTGCTCATGCCTTTGCTGAGGCGGGCGCCAACGTTGCCATATGGTACAATAGTAACAAACAGGCATTGGATGAAGCCAAGAATATTGAGAAGGAATATGGTGTCAAGTGTAAGTTGCCGTTAATCCTCGAATCTTATTCTTAACCGCCACACCTCTGAGCTTGAACTTGCGCTTACAAGATACAGGCAGAGCATACCAAGTCAACGTTGTCTCTCACAAGGCCGTGGACAGAGTAATCAACGAGATCGTTGCCGAGTTCAACGGCCGGCTTGACGTCTTTGTCGCAAACTCGGGCATCAGCTGGACAGACGGCAACTTCATCGACGGACCTGCAGAGACGGTACGCCGCGTGATGGAAGTCAACGTCGATGGCGTAATGTGGTGCGCCAAAAGCGCAGGCGCGCACTTCAGACGTCAAAAGGCTGAATCCACAACGTTGGATGGTAAGCCGTTGGAGAACTTTGCTGCAGGTAGCTTTATCGCTACGGCATCGATCAGTGGAAGCATCGTCAATGTTCCGCAGAAACAGGCCGTGTACAATGCTTCAAAGGCGGCGGTGATCCAATTCTGTAAGTACCATGCCAACAGCAGAAGAGATTGGAGGCTTATGACGAGGTAGGCAAGTCCCTGGCTGTAGAATGGACCGGGTTCGGCCGAGTCAACACGGTGTCGCCTGGATACATCAAGACGGAGATTCTGGAGTTTGCCGACAACGATATGAAGAAGGTTTGGAAGGATAGGACAGTCATGGGGTAAGTTTACGGTCTTTGAGTTCCGGCAACTTACTAACGGGACTTTAGACGTGAGGGTGAGGCCAACGAACTCAAAGGTGCATACCTGTACCTGGCTAGCGACGCATCGTCGTATACAACAGGCCTGGACATGGTCATTGACGGGGGCTACTGTCTGCTTTGAACTGGCAATTAGGGACTTGTGTCTTGGCATGTTAGGCTGACTCTGGATTACTGGTGATACGGAGATGGGCATTATTCGAAGGGCACGTGGCCATCCATCAAAAAGCCAAGCATTTTGGTATTCTCGACACCGTCGACGTCGTAACTTGGAACATCAAAAAGATGGGCCTAGGACACTTTTCAGTTACGAATAGACACCGTTAAACGTCATTTCGGAATCACAAATAGATCAGACAGGACTATCCATGACGGAACGGAACAAACAACCGATCTGATCATCCCCCTATCAGGCTGCCAACCACACCACCGAGGCAGCCGAGGCAAGGCCCCTGGTCCAGTTGGCGGCCTCACGGGGTGTTTGTGATTTGTACTGTAATTGTGTGGAATTATTCTTTTGCGAGGCTCCAGCATGTATCATTCGCGGCTCGCGTATCTGGGGGAAGAAGGGTGATAGCCTTTCTGGCTTGATTGGTAACAGTTGATAGAAATGCTGGCAGCGAACAAGGTTGGGCTGTGACGTGGGGCCAAGGAATGTCAGAAAATAAAAGTTGGAGATTCGCTGAGACATTCTGACGATGGGAGTTGGGAGCCTCGATTCAGGATGTCAATCTCCAGTCCAAGAACCATCTCGGGCTGCTGAGTTTGACCGTTTGACCGTTTCACCGCTCCATCCCCAGCTTCGGTGACAGTCTGGGCCTTGGGCCGGGTCTAGCAGCGCAAAAAAATATGGAATATTCCAGGGCATTGGTCCCCTTCTCCCGCCCGCATTTTGGCCATGTCAAGCAAGATCCAGGTACAATCATAGACACGCGAGTCCGCTCCAGGGGACCAGGCCCCTCCTTTCTCCTGGTTTTCCGCCGTGAATGGAATAGCAATGATGCGTTTCAGGTGTGGTAGATTCGCAATTTTATACGGTCGAGTTTGGGCTTCCTAGATCCCCTATGAGACCTAAAAAATCATCGTCCCCTTCTCCAGCCCGCTTTTCACTGAGGAGGGGGGGGCTCTAGCTGCAATCATGGACACGCGAGTTCAACAGGAGAAAGCATTGCTGGGATCACCACGTCTCTCATTGGGCCAACGAGGACGCCCGCTGAGTCTGAGGTGCTGTCGGGCTTGAAAGAACTCGACACCCCAAAAGTACCTTTGCCCGCCTTTTCAGGTACAGCACCGCCTAGGTAAGCGGGGTTCAATACCTAAACCTGCCCCCCAAGCTACCTGGGTCCGGTCTGGGCCCCTACCTTTGTCTCTGTGAACTGCACTGCTCACCCGTCACCTCCTGGCTGCTGAGAGGAGAGTTCTCACCTTCCGCCTTCCCTCCTGCCTCTTGTCAGCCCTATCTCGCAACCGTCCTCCTTCAAAACCACCACAGCTCCCCTCCTCCCTCACGCTTCTTCCTCCCGCGCCTTCACCCCCCAACGCTCTGCTGCCGTCGCATCATTCTTAAAGGCACTCGAAGCTCTGACGGCGATTCTTTTTACGACGACAAGCAGCAGCAGCTTCTATTCTCACCGCCGCCCAGCTCGGCCAACGTTCCCCCCTCGTTGTCGCCGCCGCAACCCCTAGCCGCCCGCCATGGACCCCGAGAGCGAGTACAACGCTCCGCCCTCTACTGAGGAGCGGCGCAACGTTCAGGTCGATAATGCAATCCGCGCGATTCAGGAGAAGAAGCCCGTTCCCGAGATCGACTTCTCCATCCATACCATGGAGGATGGCTCCCAGGTCAGCACCTTGGAGCGTGTGTGCAAAGGTGCGTGAGATCCCCTCCAACTCGCAACCCCGCCATCATCATCGACTTTGTTGTTGTCGCAGAGCCACCCGCTATACTGCTACACTCTCTCCCATGCGTCTTCAATGTTTCCGCCTGTTTTTTAATACAGCCTCTGGCGCCATGGCTATGCTATTTCTACTTTGGTGTTCGTGTAGCTGACTTGCAATCGCCTCCTTGTAGATGTCCAAGCACCCGCCATGTACAAGCCTACCGACGACCAGTTCTTCGAGGACGAGACCCAGAGCAAGCCCGACATTCAATTCCTCAAGCAGCATTTCTATCGCGAGGGCCGCCTCACCGAGGAGCAGGCTCTCTGGATCATTCGCAAGGGTACAGAGCTCCTGCGCGCCGAGCCCAACCTTCTCGAGATGGACGCCCCCATCACTGTCTGCGGTGACGTCCACGGCCAGTACTACGATCTCATGAAGCTTTTCGAAGTTGGCGGCGACCCTGCCGAGACCCGATACCTGTTTCTCGGTGACTACGTCGACCGTGGCTACTTCAGTATAGAGTGTGTCCTCTACCTGTGGTGTCTGAAGATTCACTACCCCAAGACCCTCTGGCTGCTGCGAGGAAACCACGAGTGTCGCCACTTGACTGACTACTTCACCTTCAAGCTCGAGTGCAAGCACAAGTACTCCGAGGTCGTGTATGAGGCCTGCATGGAGTCCTTCTGCGCCCTTCCTCTCGCCGCTGTCATGAACAAGCAGTTCCTCTGTATTCATGGTGGCCTGAGCCCTGAGCTCCACACTCTCGATGACCTAAAAAGCGTGCGTACATTGTCGTTTGTATTCAAAGACCTGCGATTGACATTTCCCAGATTGATCGTTTCCGCGAGCCTCCTACGCAGGGTCTCATGTGCGACATCCTCTGGGCCGACCCTCTCGAAGACTTTGGTCAGGAAAAGACCAGCGACTACTTCTTGCACAACCATGTCCGAGGTTGCTCGTACTTCTTCTCTTACCCTGCCGCCTGCGCCTTCTTGGAGAAGAATAATCTTCTCTCCATTATCCGCGCCCACGAGGCCCAAGATGCCGGTTACCGAATGTATCGCAAGACCCGAACCACTGGTTTCCCCAGTGTCATGACCATTTTCTCTGCCCCCAACTACCTCGATGTTTACAACAATAAGGCCGCTGTTTTGAAGTATGAGAACAACGTCATGAACATTCGACAGTTCAACTGCACTCCTCACCCTTACTGGCTCCCCAACTTCATGGATGTCTTCACCTGGTCTCTGCCTTTTGTTGGAGAGAAGATCACCGATATGCTCATCGCCATTCTCAGCACCTGCTCCGAGGAAGAGCTCAAGGAGGAGACACCCTCTTCCACCTCGCCTGGACCCGCTTCGCCTGCGCTGTCCCAGGATCCCGAGTCGATCGAGGTCAGGCGAAGAGCCATCAAGAACAAGATTCTGGCCATTGGACGATTGTCCCGTGTGTTCCAGGTCCTGCGAGAGGAGTCGGAGAAGGTCACGGAACTCAAGACTGTCTCTGGTGGAAGACTGCCGGCTGGTACACTCATGCTGGGTGCTGAGGGTCTGAAGAACGCCATCAACACATTCGAAGACGCTCGAAAGGTTGATTTGCAGAACGAGAGGCTTCCCCCTACACATGACGAGGTTGTGAAGCATCAGGAGGAGGAGCGACAGACGGCGCTGCAGAAGGCCGCAGAGGAGGCCAACAATGATACCAAGTTGCAGCAGCTGTCCAGGAGACTGAGCACGTAAGTTGAGACGTCGTTGGAGTGATTGAGCTATCACTAACAATATCGCAATAGGGATCGCAAGAGTCGGCCAGCTTCATCATCGTCGTCATGAACATAGTTGTACATTAGCATCTACGTTATTGTTGTTAACGCTGAAGCTGGACTTGGATGAACGATGGATTGATATTCCTCTCCCTGCATGCCGTTTCCTTGGTTGCTTGAAGCTACCATTTCTTCTCTTCCCGTGATTGACGAGTTCGCAATCACTGCTATGGTCAAGACGAGCTTCAGCTTGCTGTTGCTGACTGACTGACAATGACTCTCACACTCGTAGCAGATTCAAAAGCAGGGCGAATGACCATGTTGTACTTTGAGCGCTAGATATGCACACAGCTCGGGCACGTTGTCTAGAGGCCGGCAGGTTTACTCAGGGTTTGTGGTTGGCAATGCACCTTAATGAATACATGAATGCTTGATCGTATTTGGGCTGTATATGTGCTTTTTCGTCTATGGGCGCGGTCGTCGTGATTTTGAATGCTCTGCGAGACGTTCCCATCTGATGCAGTGCCTCCTTGCCAGTTCTGTAAAACGATCTCGTCTCCCTCACTTGGCCGTCCCCATACATTAGCTTGAGAATGGATATAAGAGGATCGATGTGGATTCTGTACTGTGCCGTTGCACTTCGCGAAGTGGTTGCCGTACGCCAGTTCATCGAGCCATTAGATACCAGGTTTCAATAAGGCAGATCTTGCGCAGAAGAAGTAGTTCCCAGCCATGTCTTCGCTCTCCTCTGTCCAGAAACCATGCGCCTGTCTTTAATGCTTACAGCACCTTCTGGGCAAGCTCAAGAAGATCAAAGAAAGCCTCCCTCTCAAGATCGGTCTTGGCCAGACCAAGACCCACAACCAAAATGCGTCGATCATCTGGCGATCTTAGAGATAGGTGACTTGCGAGTTGCGCGGCGTATAGCTGCCCAAGCGTCTCACGCTCCTCGCCACCGCCGCCGAGCAGTGTTGTGGGAGTGAGATGTGTCGAGGGGAGGAGACCCTTGTTCATGCTGGGTAGAGTCATTTCAACTACTCCTGCGGAAGATCCCGTCAGAGGAACTTGTATCTATAGTGCAGTAATTAGCAAGAGTCAAAGCCGAGAAATGAGGACGACATACCCATTGTGAAAGACGGCCTTCTTGAGAGATGGTGAGGAGGATCTTGTCAGAGAAGTTGGTGGATGTTACTTCAGTGGCAACCCCATTGACGAGGCCTGAAGCTTCGCGAGATCTTGAGGGAAATAAGTCCTCTCTAACATCTATGCCTTCCATCTTGAATGAAGTTATTGTCAATGTCTGGAGGTTGACGGTCTTGACATTTCGATAGGTAGCTACTGGCCATCACAAGGAGTTGGGTCTAGAGCGGCCCCACCACCCCGCACTAAGCTCAAAGAGGCTTCAGATTCTAGCGGTGAGAAAAGGCAGAATGATCTCCGTCCCAAAATTTCATGAATTTCCTTGTCGCGGTTCCTGCTCTTATTGAATCGCGACAAATTGTCCATTTGTGTCATTTTCAAGGGATTGGTTGTCACCCTGGTTGATAATATCCCAAAATGGCCAAATACGTCCCCCGTCAGAGAAAGCACAAGGTGCTCGCCCGTGAAAAGGCAAAAGAAAATGCCCGTCATGAGGTTGAAGACACCAACCAGGATGAGCTTCTGCCCACGGACAAGGCCGAGCGCGAGGCCAAGAAGGCTCAGATGAGGGCGGAGCTCCAACAAGAAGGCGCCAAGATGAGCGGCAAGAAGGCGAAGCGCCTGGAAAAGTACATTGAGGGCAAGCTCCGCAAGGACGAGAATCGCGAGCTCATCGCCAAGCTCGCGGACCGCAGGATCGATACAAGCTTGTTCTCGAGTAGTCGATCGTTGGGTCAGGGTCGTGAGACGAAGAAAGAGGCGATTAGGAGAGCGATGAGGGAGGAGAAGGCGGGTCTGGAGGGTGGTGAGGAAGAGAGGGAGAAGATTCTGCTGGAGAAGAGAAAGGAGGTTGACCCGGATCAAGAAAGCTCCAGCGATGAGGAAGAAGATTCAAACGAGGTGGAAAAGGAGCCGACCAAATCTGAAAGCGCTTCCAAAGCACCAGCACAGCCAAAGCCAGCGACCAGTGCACCGGCAGTTGGCTCAGGTCTCAAGAGACCTCTCGAAGTCGACGACGAGGGACGACCAGTCATCCAAAAGCGACAAAAGCGAGGCGGTGTCAAATCAAAGTTCTCCCTGGCCCAAGTCGAAGCTCCACCATCCGAGGAGTCTGAGGACAGCGACAGCGAAAGCGACGAATGGAACGGATTCAGCGACGATGCGGCCGAGCCCCAGAAGGACGAGAGTTCCAGCGGAGAAGAATCCGAGGATGGCGAGGGCTCCAGCGAGAGGTCTGAGGAAGGATCGGAAGAAGACTCCGAGGACGAAGACGAAGAAATGGAGGATGATGATGGAGAAAAGGCACAGAGGTCATCCTCTTTCAAGGCTTGGGCTCATCAGCAGCGAAATGAAGCGCTGGGCTACCAATCGATCGAAGGAACGACGACGAATCTCGAAATCCCGAAACCAGACAACTTTGTCCCTCGAGCCCCTGAGCAAGACCCCTTGCCCATGGAGCTGAAGCCGACCGAGAATATCAACCGAAAAGGATACAGTGTGTCTGTCACCAGAACACCGGAGGTTCAGGAGGCGAGACTCAAGCTTCCTGTGGTGTCAGAGGAGCAGAGATTGATGGAGGCTATCCATAACCACGACATTGTCGTAATTTGCGGTTCTACAGGTTCTGGAAAGACCACGCAGATTCCTCAGTTCCTCTACGAGTCGGGATATGGTTCTCCTGGCTCGCCAACTCCTGGAATGATTGGTATCACACAACCCCGCCGAGTCGCTGCCGTCAGTATGTCGAAGCGAGTTGCCGAGGAGCTGGGAGACAAGTCGGAAGTCGTGGCATACCAAATCCGATTCGAGGGCACGGTAGACCCCAAGACAGCTATCAAGTTCATGACTGATGGTGTGCTGCTTCGAGAGGTTGCTCAGGATATCACACTGAAGAAGTACTCTGCTATCGTCATTGACGAGGCCCACGAAAGGAGTGTCAACACTGATATTCTTATTGGTATGCTCAGCCGAGTCATCAAGCTCCGAGCAGAACTGGCACAGGAGGATCCCACTGTTAGGCCCCTGAAGCTCATCATCATGTCCGCCACGCTGCGCATCGAAGATCTCACTATGAACCCTACTCTCTTTTCGACACCGCCACCTGTTCTCGAGGTTGAAGGTCGACAGCATCCTGTTACGATTCACTTTTCTCGAAGAACTCAGCACGACTACGTTGACGAGGCGTTCCGCAAGGTCAGCAGGGGTCACAAGAAGTTGCCTCCAGGTGATATCTTGGTCTTCTTGACTGGCCGCAACGAGATCTTGCAACTCAGCAAGCAACTTAAGGCTGCTTTCGGAGGTCCTAGGACAGCAGAGGGGCCCAAGGTGCAAATATCTGCCACCGAGGCTCCTGTTGAGGTGGAAGATATTGAGTTTGGCGACGTGGATGATCATGGAGGTGATGATCTAGATGATCTTCCCTCAGATGAGGACGACGAAGAGGATGAGGATGAGTTCCAGATCGAGGAAGACCAAGAGGTTGCGCCTCTGAAGATGCGAGTTTTGCCACTCTACTCTCTGCTCCCAACTCGAGAGCAGATGCGAGTCTTTGAGCCTACTCCTGAGGGTACACGAAACATCATTTTGGCAACCAACGTTGCTGAGACCAGTTTGACCATCCCTGGCATCCGTTACGTGTTTGACTGCGGAAGATCAAAGGAAAGACAATATGACCGGCTCAGTGGTGTTCAGAGCTACGATATCGGATGGATCAGCAAGGCGAGCGCAAACCAGCGATCTGGTCGTGCTGGTCGTACCGGCCCTGGCCACTGCTACAGGCTCTATTCTTCTGCGGTTTACGAACGAGATTTCCCATCATTCACAGACCCTGAACTGCTACGTATGCCCATCGAGGGTATCGTGTTGCAGTTGAAGGCCATGAATCTGCAGCATGTTGTCAACTTCCCTTTCCCTACTCCTCCAGACCGAAGGGCCCTCGCCAAGTCGGAGAAGCTCCTGACATACCTTTCAGCCATCTCATCTACCGGTCAGGTTACCCAGGTCGGCCAGACTATGTCGGTGTTCCCCCTGTCGCCCCGGTTTGCGCGCATCTTGTTGGTTGGCCATCTGCATGACTGTCTCCCCTACACGATTGCCTTGGTAGCCGGTTTGTCCGCCGCTGAAGTCTTCCTCCCTGAGAACCAAGCAGTTCCAGCGTTGACTGCAAAGGATGATACCGTCATCCGCACCACGGCCGACGTCATCGCCGAGGATCGCCAGGCCAACGTGCGAAGGATGTTCAACTCAGTCCACAAGAACTTCTGCTATCTAGACGATCGATCCGACGCCATCAAACTTCTGCAGGTCGTGGGAGAATTCGCGCATGAGCCCACTGAGGAGTGGTGCGAGAGTCACTTTGTCCGATTCAAGGTGCTCAAGGAGATCCAGCAGCTGCGGAGACAGATCACGGAGCTCCTACGGACAAACGTGGCGGCCTTTGCCAATCTCAAGTACCAGGATAAGTTGGATCCTCCGTCGCCGAAGCAGGTTGCTGCGTTGAAGCAGATGGTTGCGGCTGGCTTTGTCGATCAGGTTGCTATTCGGGCGGATCTTACACCGAACCCCCCTGAGCAATATCGCAAGCCTCGACGACCAATCGACGTTCCTTATATCCCCTTGATGCCCATTCATACCGGACAAGAGGTTGAGAGCGATCGTGCTGTATATATCCATCCCACGTCGCCCCTTGCCCACCTCAGTGTCCAGGAGTGCCCCGAGTACATCGTCTACTCATATCTCCAGCGCGCCACACAGTCGGCTGTCGACTCGGAGAAGCGACCCAAGACCAGAATGCACGCCCTCACAGACGTGACAGGCGGACAACTAGCAGGGCTGGCCAAGGGAACACCACTCATCACATACGGCAAGCCGATCAAGGAGCTCAAGGCTTCGGCTGGCACAGACGGAGCTACCGTGCGGGAGTGCTTCGTCGTCCCATATCTGAGGGCCGAGAGCGCAGGTGGCCAAGGATGGCCGCTGCCAGCGAAGAAGGTGAAGCAGAGAAAGGTTCCCGGCAAGGGATGGGTTGTGGAGTGATTAGTTAGCGGGTGACAGTTTGTTTCTTCAAAGCACTACAAGTTGAAAAGTTTATAGACAAGATACCTCATGGTTATATACAACGGCACATGGCGGTCGAGATACTGTGCGAGCTTCTGAGTGTGAAGGGGAATGGTGTTGTCCTATTGGGTGTGCTCGACGTCATTATGCGAGCATCACACAGCGTCTCGAGAACTTCATTGAAGACAAGTTTAATGAATGAGACTTCCAGTTCCACAGCTTCACATAAGACTTGAACGACTCGTTACTTGATCTTGATATTTACAAATCATGTCTGGAGCACCGACTACTCTCTTTCCGGGGGTCGCCCTCGTAACAGGCGCCTCATCCGGTGACTACTCACTCAAACTGAACCATTCACTCCAGATGACTGACACTTTGAACTCAAGGCATCGGACGTCAGGTCGCCATATCATTTGCAGTAGAAGGATGCACCAAGCTCGCCCTCTTCGCAAAGAGCGGACCCGGTCTCGCCGAGACCAAGAACGCCATCAAGGCCGTATCCGAGGACGCAGAGGTGTACACCTTTGAAGTCGACCTCTGCGACACAGAAGAAGTCCTAAAGACCATGACGCTCGTGATTGCGCACTTTGGCCGTATCGACTATGCCGTCAACTGTGCCGGTGAGTCCATCAACCTCGAAAGAAGAAATCTGCTAAGTTTTGTGTAGGCATCTACGGTCCTTCAAAGACGAGTCATCATGTCACGCCCCAAGAGTTTGATGAAGTCATGCAGACTAATTTTCGTGGACTGTGGCTCTGTGCGCGAGAGGAATTGAATTACATGACGACGCAGGATGTCTTGGGAACTCATGATGGGCGGCCTGGGTTCAGGGGCTCGATTGTGAATATTGGGAGTAACCTTGGTCTTGTTGGAAGACCAGAAGCTCGTAAGTTTCAACAAATCATCAAGTTCTCGTATGATTGCAGCTAATGCATAACTTTTAGCCATCTACAGCGCCTCCAAGGCGGCCGTCATCGGCTTAACCAAGAGTGATGCTATTGATGTCCGTTCTCGTACCAAGATAATAGCCTAAGATATAGCTCACAATACTTGTAGTATTCGCAGCACAAAATTCGGGTCAACTGTGTCTGTCCCGGAGTCATTGAGTGAGTCCCCCTGATTCAAATACTCGCATCAACGAGCGGCAACTAACCTTGATAGAACACCCATGACGGCTGGGCTCCCAGATGACGATCCGATTGTGCAGACTGCAGTCATGAAGAGAAAGGGTACGCCTCAGGAGGTAGCGGATGCGGTCTTGTTCCTGTCCAGCTCCAAAGCCTCATTCATCCAAGGCGCCATTCTATCGGTCGATGGCGGTTACACCATCAGCTAAACAGCTTTAACCAAGTAGGCGACAAGGGATACATAATTCAACTGTATTGGGTATCTACCAAACTTCAAGCATAAACTCCCGTTTTGATCCAGAACGCCGTTTCCATGCTGCCAGAATCTCCACCTCAGGATGCAGCTGGTGTGCTGGTGCTCAACATCTTGCTCTTCTTACGTCGCGGCTTCGACATGGTCGCTGACTTGGGCGTCTTGCTCTTGTCGTCCTTCTTATCGTCCACCTTGGTGTTGATAGTTGGGCCGCTGATACTTCCAATGCCCTCTGACTTGGCAAGTTGAGGTGGTGGAATGACCTTGCGGCCAGTGGATGAGAGGTGGAACTCTCCTGGGCGACCAGTGATGGGGTTCTCGTCGATGTATTCTCCGCCATATTTCATGTGTACCATGAGAGATTCCTCCACAAGCCTCTCCAGCGATGCCTCGTCGTCCTTCTGAGACGCCGTCGCAGGAAGGGCCGAGGCTTTGCTTGCTTCTTCGGGCATTGGCGTAGCGGCAGCAGAATCTTGGGCCTTGGATCGTGCTGGGGGTTGATTCGAGGGCAGTTGGTAGACGTGGCCGAGAGAGGGACGCCACTTTCTGATGCTCTCAGCAGAAGAGGCTGCTCGCGCGATCGCCGAGGACATTGTCATCTGCACGCCAGGTTAGAGTTGCCAGACAAAGAGACAGCGCAGCAGAACTTACGATCCTCGCCGCTAGAATATCATTAAGAGTAGGCGCCATATAGATATTCTCCCCCACCACAAAGTACGAAGCATGAACAATAATCTCGTCCCTGGCCTCGTAGTGCTTCCGTCGTGTCTGTTTGCGAATCACCCACACACCAGTACCAGCTCCAGGCCCCGTCTCAGCAGGCTCCTCCGCGACACGAAACTCGAGTCCAGCCATGGTGTTGAGACGGCCCTCAAAGGCCTCGCGGGTCTGTATGTCGGAGAACATGGCCGAGTTGTTCATGGCCTGGTTGTAAACGACGGCATTGTTAGACGTGCGCTCGAAAAAGGGCGACTCGGCGAAGTAGAAGAGGATGCTGTTGCTGTGGAGGCCGCCCATGTTGGCGATGGCGATCGGGGAGCGCCATTGGATCTCGTCGAGGGGGGGGTCGTTAGGGTTTGCCATGGCGATTGGTGATGTTTTCTCAAAGAAGTTTGGAGGTTGAAGACGATGGTCCAGGGATGATTCAAGATGGAAGCAAACGCGAGGCTGCAAGAAATAGGCGGCCAATTAATGGCAGCGGGATTCAACGATATTTATGTCACCCTCGGAGCTTTGACGTGGGGTTTAGCTTCAGGCGCGCTACAGGGGTCTTTCAGGTGCATCGCCCCGCAATTCTTTGAGTGGCGTCGCAGCGCATCAGCTCAACCTTGGACTTTTCAACTTTCAAACCAACATTACAATCTCGACAACAACAAACGGTTTGCGCGCGTCCATAAGAACACCTCTCATATTCGTCACCACCGAATCCCACTTCCATCATGGACCTGCTCTCCAGCATCCGCAAGTCTGGGTCCAGAGGAGGCGTCAACTTCAGCTGGGACGAAGTCGCAAGTTCCAGCCACCGCGAAAACTACCTCGGACACAGCCTCAAGGCCCCCGTCGGACGATGGCAAAAGGGCCGCGATCTCAACTGGTACGCCAAAGCCGATGACGAATCAGGAAAGGACGAGACTGGCGAGACGGAAGAGGAGCGTCGCGAGAGGGAACGCAAAGAGGAACTGCGAAAGGTCAAGGAGGCCGAGGAAGATGCCATGGCTTTAGCTCTGGGGCTCCCTCCTCCTGTGCGGAATAGTTCTGGCGCAAACGCAGTCCAAGTCGGGGACAAGCGACAAATGGGACCGGCGAGCGGGCCACCAGGCGACGAGGAACCTGCGGACGGAAAGAGGGAACGTTCGCGGCGTCATGATGATTCTGAGAGGCGGGAAAGGAGGCGACACAGAAGTCGAAGTCGAAGCCGAGACCGCGAGCGTCGCCACAGGAGGCACAGAAGGAGTCGGAGCCGTGATCACGACAGAGACAGAGACGAGGATAGACCCAGAGAGCGGAATCGGGATCGAGATGAGCGCAGACATCGTCGCGGTCGTGACCAGGATGAGGCCGACGAAGGAGGTGATCGACGACGAAGAGATGGGGGCAGGGACCGCCGACGATCAAGGTCAAGAGACCATCGCAGACGCAGTTCAAGCCCCAGGCCCCGTCGACGAGACTAAGGGGCCAAGGCTCAAATTATACGATACCCATTCACAACAGCACAAACGCCAAAAGCGCAATTATTCCTAGTACCGGAGTTCTTTATTCAAGTCAAGAGTCAATCACATTTTGCAAGCGAGTTCAGGTGAGGCAATATATCGAGACTGAAGAGTTGCGTCGTTGAGGTGAACACCAAGTTTCACATTCTCAGAAGCCGTAAGGTTCGCAATAATATGCTTAGAAGAACAACTTGGCCTCCAGCTATGAGCATAACATCATGAGCCACAGAAAACATGATGTGAAGCATCCGATGTTTCCAAGCTTGTCCAGGATATATCCATTTACCACTTTAATGTTGCAGCAGTCACATTTGCTTTTTCCATCTTAGAGCAGCTACTTAGTAGTCATTGTTAATGACAAAGACCAAGTCTCAGCATCATTATCATTGTAAAGGTTGCCGTCAACCAAGAATCAACTTGACTCAAAGCAACCCATTCATTCCCCTTGTCGTCAAATGCGTTTGGAGTTCGGACAAGCATCCAGGGACCCCGGCACTTGAGAAGCTCGCCCCCGAACACCCACCGGGTTGATGGGCCCCAGCGTCCAATGATGACAGTGAATTTTAGCGGCGAGGCTGCCCCAATGCCACTAAATCTCCCATGACAATAGTGGCGGTGGCTGTCGTGATTGGCTGCTTTTCATCCCAAGACAGTGGACAACGTCACTCCAGGGACCTCCTTGCGGCAGCCTTGGGACTTGAGGTGTCTCAACCACGGGCACCAAGTGGTCATCTGGGCTCCTCATCATCAACGACGACGCCGCTTCGCCACAGTCCGGAGCTCTTCTTTGACCTTCCATACTTCTATCCTCTTCCTCCATATCACAAAGAGCCCTCTTACCACCTTTATCGCCTTTGCGATACGTGTTACTTGCATACGTAGCTCTTGTCTGCCTTGTGCCCACGCTTCCGAACTACGACAAAGATGTTGAGACTAACCACCTCTCTAGGCGGGCGTTGTGATACTTTCTGTCTGCCTGGCTAATCGGTATCTTCCGGTCGGGATATTTCTATATAAACCAGAGTCGAGAATGCGAATTTGATCCATACACAACCAAGAAACGAAAGCTGTCCCAGCGATGGACTACTCAAGATTACGGGCCGCCGCTATGCGGGATGGCGAGGACGAAGAAGCCGTTACTGTCGATACCCGAGCCCTGATCGACAAGGTTCTTGCGAGATACTCTGGAGAATGGACGACATTACGAGAACTCATCCAAAACGCCGCCGATGCCCAAGCAAAGACCGTGAGCGTCAAGTGGGAGACACTTCCTTCGACATCAGTACCCCTACCCAGCACTACGAACCGATCCGACCTCCTGAAGCATGTCCTGTCAAACCATACCCTCCGCCGACTCGTTGTCCAGAACGATGGCCAGCCATTTACCAAGACCGACTGGGGAAGACTAAAGCGAATCGCCGAGGGAAATCCGGACGAGACAAAGATTGGTGCTTTCGGTGTCGGTTTCTACAGTGTCTTTGCAGACTGCGAGGAGCCATTCGTCAGCTCCGGGAGCGAGGCCATGGCATTCTACTGGAAGGGGAATGCTTTATTCACGAAAAAGTCTCAGCTACCAGCAGATCAATCAACCCATCATACTACCTTTGTCCTGGACTATCGAAATACCACGACGCCTCTACCGAATCTGCTCTCCGTCAGTCAATTTCTGGCGACGAGTTTGACCTTTGTAGCACTGGAGCAGATTGAATTCTGGATCGATGACTATCAAATCATGGCCCTCAAGAAGAAGTCATCTCCCAGCGTGGAACTGCCCCTGCCGCGAGACCTTGAGGCAAGGACAAAGGATGGCCTTATGAAGGTTGTGAGCGTGGACAGGACCAGCACACAAATTGATGCGTCATACATGGCTGCTATCGGTTGGAAACCCCAAGCTGCGGCGACCACTACGAAATCTACAGATTCCTACGGCGCCGCCGAAGCGCCCTCACTGAGATCCTTTTTTGCAAGACTCACATCAACTGCATCACAAGCTGGACTTAGGTCCAAGGCACAAAATGAGGAGAATGCAGCACAAGCAACAATCTCTGAGGATGTGACCAAGCTTTCGACGTCGACCATCTTCCTCCGGGCGACTTCTGCAAACATTCGGACAAGTGTACAAGCCTCCTTTGCAGCTGAACTAGAGCGAGCTACAAAGAAGCCCCCGCCAAAAACAACAAAGATTGGCATTCTGACTTCGTCTTATGATGAAGCCCAAGCTTCTCAAGATGCTGCGTCTTCAGGGGCACTCGGAAAGGCTACAGATGTCTTTGCATCTGTACTTCCGAGCAAAAAGCCTGGTGGACGTATCTTTATCGGTTTTCCCACCATGCAAACCACTGGAGCTGGACTGCACATTTCAGCTCCGTCGGTTATTCCAACTGTAGAAAGAGAGGCTATCGATTTGAACGCTCGATGGGTGAGGACGTGGAACGTCGAGATCCTTCGAGCTGCAGGAATCATAACCAGACTGGCATTTGCCAACGAGATGAGTGATCTTCGCAGTCGAATCAAGCAGGCCATGGACAAGGAGACCAAGTTCTCTCCAGCTGTCATTGCCAAATTCATGCCCGAGGCTCTACATGTTCTCAAGACATTCACGTTCGGCGACTCAACACCGAGTGGGCAGGTCGGCCAGATTATCGAGGAGGCATTCTGGATCTGCTTTAGAAAGGCTTCGATCGAGACCTACTCAAGTCGGGGTGTTCTGCAGACCGCAGATGTTCGCATTGCCTCAGAGGAGATGAGCAAATTCATCGACAGCATCCCAGTGATCCCTAAGGAGATGGTGGATGTCCCGTTTGTCAAGAAACTCATCGACTTTGGTCTTATTTCACACATCACCGTCACCGATGTGAAGAAAGAGTTGGAGACCAAAGCCATGAACAAAGTCCAGTTGATAAACTTCATCAGCTGGGCTGGCAAAAAGAGCTTCACTGGTGAACTTGATCCTGGCAGCCGAGATGCCCTCCTGGAAGTCGCCGTTGGTACGATGAGTGATGATGGTGAACAGGGCGAGATCATCGCCCTTGGGAGCATCAAAAACCATCTCATTGCCAACAGGATTCCCACAAGCTTGCCTATTCCACCGACCACCATCCCTCACGCACTCACAGCCAACTCTAGTTCTTCAGAGTTGCAGGCTCTTGGATGGGAGCCGTTGGAGATTTTGCCTTGGCTGAGATTCCTTCTGGAGACTGGTGCTGCCAGATCTGAAGATGAGAGCCTCACAAAGTCACCCAAGTTCGCCGTTCAGGTCTTGACTGTGCTTGCCAAGAACTTTGAGAACTCAACTGCAACTGCAAGGACTACTATTGTCTCACTACTTCAGGCCAATACCGTGGTGCCCACTAAACAAGGCATGAGGAAGCCCACAGAATCATTCTTCCCCTCCGTCAAGCTTTTCGATGATCTCCCCGTCATCCAGGGCTGTGAGAAGATCAAGGAGAAATTCTTGGTGGTGATTGGTGTCCGAAAGACTGTCGATCTCGAGACCATTTTCACCAGACTTCTCAACGCCTCGAATGAGACAGGAGAACAGAAGTGGAGTCATGTCGAGCTCATCAAGTATTTGGCTTCAGTTCGGGATGATATCCCAGCTCAGGACTTGATCAAGTTGCGACAGACGCGCTTCTGTCCAGCCGAGGCTGGGCCCAAAGGTATGGAGCCTACCAAAGCGTCAGAGACACGATACAAGGTGTCGGAACTCTTTGAGCCCAAAGACTCGCTCCGTGCTTTGCAGCTACCTATCCTACAGTGGCCTGGCCCTCCTGGAAGCTATCGTCCAAGCAGCCAGGAGGCCAGATTTCTCAACTCTCTTGGACTGCGACCTCATCCTTCAGTTCCCGAACTTGTTGAGATGATGGCGGGCAAGGATGAGGCGTTGCGAGTCTCCTCTATGACCTACTTCCTTGCCAATCATCAAATCAATGGATACGCGTCTTTCCATCTCGGCGACAGCTCGAAGGCGATTATGCCCCTTGAAGGCAGCACTCGTCTCGTCCCGCCTTCGCAATGTTTTTACAATCCACGAGCTGCTATTCTTGGCTTTAACGTTCTGAGGAAAGACCTGCACGACCACGCCATCGTAAGTCTATAGTCAATTCCGAAAGAAGCATCAACTAACTTGGGTAGAAATTCGGTGTGGCCAGGGATCCGCCCATGGTAGAGTGCACGAATCGCCTGTTGGCCTCGCCTCCTGAGGACCACAAGAAGGCCGTTGTTCTATTCAGCTACTTTGCATCTCGAATGACGGAGCTGGGTGAAAACAACATAGCCAAGTTACGACATGCCCCTATTGTCCCGATTACTCGAACGTCACGGTCAAATGAGAAATCAGTGTCCAAGATCGCTCACGTCAATCCCTCTCGAGTCTATCTGGGAACTTCGTCCACGTACGGCGACATCTTTGACTTTGTCAATTTCAGTCCCGATGCGAATGCGTTCCTGTTCCAGTGCGGTGCCAAGAGTGAACCTACCAAGCTGGAGGTTGCACATATGGCATGCACGGAACCGGCTCGCCTCCTTGGTGTTCTCCAGAGCTCAGAGAAGTACCTTGACCTCCTCAAGTCCCTGGCAGATGCATCACCGATGCTCCAACGTGATCGGGAACTTTGGAGAAAGATGCGGGCAGCTCCCTTCCTTCTTGCATACAAGGAGCTGGCGGCCCCCAAGGGCAAGTCGGACGACTTGGAGGATGAAGATGAGCCCATCAGACAGTATCAGCTTGCTTCTGCTAGCCAGATTGTGATTCTCGACGACATCATCAGCTATCGGCTCTTCAAGGACCGGCTCATCTGTGCGCCGGAAGAGGACGCCCTCGAAGTCTTCTATCTTTCCCTTGGAGCTCAGAAGCTGAGTAGCATCGTTCAGGAGGACATTAAAATTGGTCCACACAGCGACAGGCAAAAGACGGCTATGAGCCTTCGTAAGCATGTCATTGAGAGATCCAAGATCTTCCTCTTTGAGTACGCAAACTACCGACGCGACATTATCAAACATGACGCAAAGTGGCTGGACAAGAATCTCACCGTTGAGATTGTTCGTTCGGTTGCGCTGAGAAGAACCCTCAAGGGCCACACTCAAACTCA